GAGATGTTCTTTCCGAACGCTGAGATCTTTCCGAGGTTGTCCATGGCGAATAATAATGCGTGTTATGTCTCTCAGAGCCCTGTTCACGTCTTCTGGCTGGGCGGCGTCGTCGTCGTCTTTGTTGTTGCTGCTGTTGTTGTCAACGTCGTCGTCGTGGTCGGGGTGCTCTTGCGACTTTCATGTGTCTCCGCTGCCCGCTCCTGTCAGGGCCGCCCACCATCCCTGCATACTAGCCTGCTTCGGGCGCCATCTCCAACGCTCCACTTGCGCCGCAACGGAACAGCCACGCCTCAACTTCACCCAAACACTATCTGACGGTACGCACCGCTTGCACAGCTATCATATGCACAGGAATTCTATTTCATCTTGTTGAATTTGTCTTTTGCATGTCGCTTGTGAGCCACAATGCGTTACGGTGACGGTGTGCTTATCTAACAGTCCACATGATAACTTGGTCATCTCCTCCATCACGACCAAACTTTCCCTCCGTATGCATAAGATCCCTCTTTGCTACTCCGTACTTCTATCGATAGGATAGCGAACACCCGATCTCCATGGGACGTTGAAACTAACATGCGCCAGCAAACGTTACACCACATAGCTTTCCCTGTCCATCGCTCCATTCTGCCTCTTTGGTGTTGACCTGCCTCGGCATCTGGACACAAATCTTCATGCTGTGCATTGCGGCAGTGGTACCAGTAGGCAAGCCAGGCCATATCTGTGGAACGACGTTGCACAGAACGCCTCTCGGAAGGCCACCTCGGCCATGGGCCGCGGCAAGACAGGGCTGATAGAGCGTTCTAGACGAGAAATACTCTCTACTGTCATGCGCGCAACCGTCGTCTGAGGAACGTGGGCGTATGCGCTGCCGACGTGGCATTGCGCATCATGGACACCAGTCCTGATGTCTTATGCAACTGTCTTAAATAACTTCAGTATTTTTTGCGCGCCACACATCTTACTGCACAACGTATTGTTGCTGTGACCCTGGCGGATAAGCCTCCGCGCTTGACGACTTGCGGTCGCTTCCGTACCCTGATGACTGCCAGTCCGGAGATCCGTATGTCGAACCCAAGCCGTCGGCACTCGTTACCGTCATATTATCAGATGGCGGTGAGTCCGAGATAGTCAGGGAGCTGAAAATTCCTCGCATCTCTCGTAAATCGTCCGAGACTTGGTCTTTAGGCGCTTGTGTGCGGTCCTTGATGAAGTCTTTGATGGATCGGATTATCGGTGGACAGCTTTCGTCGTTAGGGAGCCACCAGTCTGATGGACCGAGACCCATGGATTCGAGCATGCGGTTTCGAAGAACATCCGAATAAATATACCTGATGCTCCTGTTAGTAGAGGTTCGGTAAGACTTTCTTGTTACTAGTCTGTGCCTAGAACAAAACACTCTAATCTCCCGCCGTTGCACGAACAAAAGATTTCACTTACCCTGCTGCTTCAATCTTCGCAAACGTCCGTCGAAGCCATTGCACAGTCTTCTGATCTTTCGGCAGGAACAAGGTCGCAATCGCGAAACTGACCTGTGCCTCCAGTAGTGCGCCTGGGGGAGCCTCCGGGTACGCGCATATAGCCTCAAAGACCTGCACCGCCTTAAATGCTTCTTTTGTAACTTCCGGATCAAGAGGCACTTTCAGCGCCATGGAAGACGAAATGGCGAACATGAACTGTATGCCCCATAAATCCAGCTGCAGGTAGTTCGACGTCCACAGCGGACCACCCCATATGACGTCCGGCTCGTAGGGGTTAACAAAGTCTTCTGGGTCTAGTTCTCCTGGAATCTGATGGACCTTGTAACTGGGATCCGTCAACTTGTCGCCTAGGTTTCTCCGGAGCGCCTCCACCCTCTCCTTCAGTTTTGGCAGCTGGGTCATGAAATCCTGAGGATTGACGAGACCTTTTGCAGTCCTTGCAAACAGGTCATTCGAATCTTTTGCTACCAGTCGTGAATGCGCAAAGCGCTCTTCGTACAGCATCTCAATGTCATCTGGCTTCTCGCGTACCTTCTCAACGTAGCATTCGTGTACCGTCTCGTACCACTCGCGACCAAGCACTGCTTCACCGCCAGACTGAAAGCCAACGAACAGGTCGAATCGGATGTACCAAAGAAGTACCTTGCAAAGGAAATCGGATTTAACGATAGTCTCCGGCGTGTATAGACGGGTGAGCATCTCGAAAGCTGCTTTTTGATGGCCCATAAGGTTGACCCAGTCACCGAGCATCTCCTGGAACCGGTGTCAGCATAGAGAAATTGGTTCTCTGCAAGAGTCTATACCTCAATACTCGCAAGTTGCAGAATGGTCAAAAATGTTGCGAGCCCCTGCTTCTTGTTCTTCGTGATGGCTATCCTCAGTCGCGAAACAGATTCGTTGTAGAACTGGAGGAAGGTGGACATGCGACCATCAGGCTGCGCAAGCGTGTGGAAATACGCTGCGTAACCAGCTACAGCGTACTTCAAGGGCTCAAACTTGGTCGCCCAACTCAGGAAATCGCCTTTGAGGAAGCCATGCGTGTCGCGTTTGAGAGAGTAATGATGGACGCTCATGTGGTTCCGGAAGTAGTTCAAGTAAAACTGGAGGTCTCGCGCCATAGCCGAAGCGCCCTTGGTGGTTTGCGCACTGCCTTTCCGAGACATGGATGGGCGTACCGTAGGCGGTATCGAGGATGCTTCAGTGGATGGAGACGTACTTTGATCGAGGAAAGAGCCTGGTGTGTGTGAAGAATCGCGAGCGTCTTGACTCTTCGACATGTCATCGTCGTCATCGTCATACTCAACATAATCGTCCTCTTCATCTTCGTCCATGATCGCAGGAAGGCGCTCCTTGTCCTCTCCTTCATGGGCTTCGGGTGAGGATTGATCCCCCGCGGATGCAGACTTGCCTGACTTTGATCCACTGCGTGTCGATTTCTGACTGGACTGTGAATCTGGGTAGATACACTCGCGACTCCCCTTGCGACATCCTAGCAAAACACGTCAGACTAAGCAGTTCTTGAGTGTGTGAGAGCAAGCGCGGATACTCACGTTCGCACACGGGATGGTTTTCGTCGCACTGTTACCTATCAGTCAAGCCTCTATCCCACAAGGTAGAGCGCATACCTTGACTCTTCTTTGCCTGCATGTGAAACAGCCACTCCGTGTTCTGCGATGCTTCACCTGTTCGCCAGGCGCTGGTCTTCTTCGTGCGCGGCCATTAGCACCATGCGCTGAGCCCATTGGCCCAGATATGTCCTCATACTGATCAACGTAGTTTGGTTGACCAATGTTCTCGTATTGTACAAAGGGTCCAGGAACACCAGGTTGAAACGGGTTGTCTGGCAAGGTGGGTGCATACGAGCCATGTGAGATTATAGTTGGTGGGGCATGCTGAATGTTGGAATTAGGGATCGCATTCGGATCAAGGTTGTAGTACTGAGGCGGAATGTTATGCCCAGGAGGAGGATAGAATCCAGACATGCCTAGGAGGGTTGGAGAGGATAGAAAACTGATGGAGTGTAGGTTGTTTGTATTGGTAGATGTTGGTGAGCCGTGGACGGTAAAGCTTGCCGTAAAAGGATCAACGTCATCCAGTTGCAAGGGTCCGAGGTCGATCGCCGTGTCCACGGGTGTGACAATGGCTCGGGCGCCAGGTACGGGATTTTGGAGGGATATACTTGTAGAAGCACGCTTGCAGGATCGAAGCCGTGATTTAGTTCAATGCACGCTGGTTTGGGCGCGCGGGTGTTGGCCCCAGCTAGCACCAAGACCAAGCGGCCTGGAATAAGTATGCGATAGACCTGCGTCTCGTCCACAAAGGAGCAAGTCCGTCTCCTGCACCACAATTGCTGATGACGGAAGCATGTGCAGTACCAGTCTGAGACTGAAACTGGGCAACGTTGAGGAAGAGAGAGTACAGCAGCGGCAGGCAGAGGTCGTGTGAGAGAGTTAGCCTGTGACAGGAGGCTTGTGTCTAGTTCGGACAAAGAAGCAATGTCCAATGCCAGGAATGGATAGTCTCAATTTTTATCAAACGTCTGCATCTAAGGCCGGGGTGCAGTGAAGGGGAAAAAGCAAGCCGCACGCCGCTGAGTTGTCTCCCAGGCCGCTGTGCTATGGCCGTGCACCTAAACGCTTCCGCCTTCCGCGCAGCCATGGATTAGCTCCGTGCAAGACGCCCTCTGCGATCCCAGGTTTGATCGCTCCTGATCACCGTGCGAACTGGTCCACTCGCCAGCATCCACATGGAATGAATTCTGGGGAGAATAGAAGGGTCTGTCCGGAACAGTCGCTCCAAAATGCCGTATAGGTCCATATTTTGACACATCCCCGCCGTTGATCCCGCCTGTCAACTACTCTTAGGCGTGCTGCCACGGCGACTATAAACTTCAGTCAGCTACGGCTTGAGGCAGGTCGTGGATCGCCTTTGCAGCAGACGGACCCAGCCTAATAGGAGGCAAGCACAAAATTGGGACATGATGTGCATCGGCCCCGATTTCACCAAGGTGGTGAGGCATGTGGGGCGTTTAGAGAAGCCATGGGGCTAGGTCAATCGTCAGCGAATGGGGCGTGATGTGAAGCTGCTCTGGAAGCGGCTGTCAGAGTTAGTGCACACACTCGTACGCGCTACACACGAATGCCCTTACTCAAGACTACCTGAGGGTGTCGTTGAGTATAGGGCAGGGCCGGTATATCCATGGACTTTTCCGCGAACTCCACTCTCCTGAAGTGGGGAGTGCCCCGATGCAATGCAGTGCAATTGCCCGGTGGCAGCCTTTAGACTTTCAAGCCTCATCAAAGTGCCTGTTAGGAAGAATATCAAATTGATATTTCATCTCACAAACGCGGCTAGTGAGGACGGCCACAAATTAGCCAGCCATGCAACGCCACCGGCTCCTTCGTACTGAGTCAACGAAGGCCGTGGACGGGAGAATAAAGCCTGCTTCGAGAAGATGGCGACCCTGCCTGCTAACCATTATCAGCAGCTTCGAGCTCAGCCCCGGGTCCCTGTCCCGTGACAATGGTAGCTCTTGGATGCCTGCGTCTCCCAGGGCACGGAGGCGCCACGGCTGTCTGCACGTTGGACGATGCTGCTGGCATGCCGCGGGAAGATTGGCGCGCAAATGTAGAGCTAGGTGGCCTGATGAGGATCGCCTCATCTGCCTTTTATCGCCCAGCACCACTAGGCGGCAACGGCACTTGGGAGAAGTGGCATGGAGACCCGTATCCTCCACTACCAGACTGGTTCCCTTTGGAGGCACTATGAGGTAACTGTCTCTGTTTCGTGCCATGCAGGAGTGGCCAACAGGAACCGTCTGTCCGGCCTGTGCGCAGCGACTGCAGACTCAACCAAGGCGGGGCAGGACTTGATATCGTCATGGGCCCTGACAGTCAGTGAGACCTTACAGAGGTTGATGTCGTGTTCTGCCCTATACCAGCATGGTAGATGGCGGCTGCTGTAATGGCGAATCTGGCTGCAGCTGACTGGTGGACCTTGAGCGAGCGAAAGAGCGGGACGCGACCGTGCAGTTGCTGTGCGTCATGCGAGCGGCGGGCCTTTTGGGTGGATCTCTCGATGATTAACACCACATCTCATTTGCCTCGCAGCTGGAGAGGCCCATATGCTGACGGGCCTAGATACGTTGTGCGACGTCTGGCGGAACCTTGGAAAGTCCATTGTTGCAAACATTGCCGCAGCTCCAAAGCCACCCCAGGCATGCCAATCGCAGACTACGTGTGCCTACGTGTGCCGGTGGCTTGCGTCTTGCATGTCGCGAATGACGGGCTGGATGTAACGGCAGAAGGTGAGGTAGTGTGTGGGGTGGCCGTCGAGCTTTTTTGCCGTCGTTGAAGGAAGAGCAGGCTTAGATTGGACTACTCGTCACATAAGGGCGCGACTTGAAGATGCACTATTCCGCGGCAGAGGACCCACGTGTAGCTGACAGGGTTATGCCCACTTCCAAAAAGACGACCTAGAGAATCGGCATGGAACAAGAAGAGCAGGAGACCGGCTTCCAAACGCTCCGTGACCTCTCTCCACCAGAGTGTCTCGTGAATTTTACGCTTTCTGGCACGTCGCCGACAACATCTCCAACGGGTCTTCTCTGTCTGTCTGGGAAGGAATGACTACTGCTGCTGACATTGAGTAAGCCCAGAATAAAACTGGAGTCTACTGCCAGATGCATCATGTGCGACTGCAGTCTATCCCTGCGAGATCCTCCAGTGTCATGTTCCTCGCATCAACGTCATTTCTGACTGCCTCCCATAGACACTACCGATCGTCTCCGCATGTATCTATCATGCGGATCAGCTGTCGAGTCGTCACAGTTGAAACGTCAAGATTCAGGCTACTTGGACCGGGCACAATTATGTACGGTACGTAGTCATGGAGTTTCCAAGGCAAGGCTGTGAGACATTTTGAGCTTCCATAGTTCCTTCCATATTGACTGAGAGACGTTGTTCCTGCCTGAAACGGCAACCTCATCTCCGAGCTGTTCGGTGGACCATCGATCCTGGGCACATAGCTGCTCGGGGTTTGGCCATCGGTGCCTGCTTTCTGGGTCGCCAACCTGTAGCCATTCGCAGATGGCGACCAGAGAACCTGCTTGTAGCCACTTGGAAAACAATCTAGACACGAAACCACGCAGCGGTCCGCCCTTGGTGTTGACCGCTAGACCGCTGCCGGGATGACCTAGAGGTGTACCCCGACACAATGAGACTGCACATCCCGGGTCCGATAGTCGATAGTAGTCTTGAATCATCAAACACCATCTTGGATGATCCTTACGTCTGCACAACAATCCTTTATGACCAATGTTTTTTTTTCTGTTTACCTATGGGTCCATGTGCATTTGTTTACTATATACGAGCTGCAGCAACTGGGCGACTTGTTCAGATATCCTGACATGAGAAACATGAATCCCAAATGTCGTAACAGATAACACCCGTTGTCAGATGGAAGTCCACCTGATGTGTATACATCCATAGTCCACGATATGCAGGGTCTCCAACTCTGCTGCAGCCACGCATGCCGCACAATAACGAAACCAGGCACACGTCCGTCTGGATATCCAGTACGATCAGCAACGACTCTCCCCATCCCGAAAGCAGGCGCACGCCATTTCGGTTTCTGTACCCTCCCTTCTTCAACTCAGTCTCCACGCAGCCTATATCAAGCTATATCAAGCTAAGCTGTTCACTCATCACAACTCCTTCGACGCTCCGCGGAAGCAGCGACAAGGAGATCATCACCCTTCTACGCCCTATCCAGACATAGCTGGACGCTATTTATCGTGGGTTTGGCGGCTGCCTGTGGAAAGGCGTACGCCATCATCAAAAGGTGTGTGCACTGATATACATCTGCGTTGACCTCCTTCTGGCCAGTTCGCCCACATCGTATGATTACTACGGTTGTGGCGGCCGCCCGCCCCGGCTATCATTACTCCTGCTACACGGTTCGGGTCAGCACCACACGTTCCAGAACGAACCACTCGTCCTGTGCTTCTTCGCCGTTTACCGTAAACGTTCCGCCGTATACACCCATCCGTACGGCCGCGAGGCCAGACGGTTCGGACATTTCGGACTACTAGGACCGAATATTGGCCGGCACGACGCGTTCCGTAACGTTTGGGCGACTCTTCGCACCCAGGGCGGTTGGTTGGCATCTATATCACCCCAACTAATCCACCAAGGTACGTGTGCATGACACGAGGCAGGCTTATGTGAATGATTATGCATCCATATATGCATTCGTTGTAAACGCAAGTCGGAGAAGTGATGTGCCGAAACAAGATCCTTTGTCATTATTGCTGCCTGCCCGGCTGTCTTGAGCACAGGCGTAGCAGTTCGTCATGTCTGCCCGGTGTAGCTTCGAAGACAAGATCACTCCCCCCATCTCATTCTACCGCATATACAGTGAGAGATTCGTAGCAAGTCGTTGAGATGCTGCCCGCCAGAAAAACAGTCGAAATTCCATCCCTTTTTCCCTGAGATGCCGTGATGCCAAATATGCCAAGATCCAAGTAATACATTGCGGACGCCATGAACGCTCCAGTTTGCAGGAAATAGAGAAAACAGCCTGACCCGATAGTCCTTCGTATCCAATAGTTCGGGTAGAGTAGCCAATCATGTAAGAAAGGGGTATATGTGAAGAAATGAGCGAAGCCCTCATGGTGAAGAGCCGAACATCACCTGCTGCAAGTGAGAATTGATCAAGCGGCTGCTTGCGGCACCGAAGGCGTAGCAGCATCTGAGGTGGCATCGGTTTCCTTGACCGTTTCATGCACGCCCTCTCCTCTACAGAGTGGACATGAGTTGCGTCCAGTTGTCAGCCACTGGAGTAAGTTAGCATGCGCAATGCCACGAGTCAAGCTAGCAACTCACCTGATCAATACAGATTTTGTGGAACATGTGTTCGCACTTGACTAGCTTCCGCGCCTCCTCGTCCACTTCGAAATCACACAGGCAGACGAGACAGCGCGCACCAGCAACAAGGTTGATTGTCTCTTGACCCTCGACAGCTTCAGCGACAAGAGCACCGGCATCACCACGTATCCTGAAAAGGCCTGGAGCCGAAGCCACATCCTCCTCACTCGCGACGGGTGGTTTGGCGGGTCCGAGTATAGATGAGAGCAACATCATATCTTCGTAAGTGGGCGAGTCGGTGAACAGGCTGGGAGTGGTAAGAATTGGGTGGTTCTCAGGATAGCTTCCACCTAGCACATAGATGATCCAGCTCCGTGAACCCTCCCCAGGATTGTTGTCCGGCTCCACGACGCCTCTTCTGCGGGGTGCGCCTGAGCCGTATCTTGTGAAATCCGACTCACTCAAGCGCCGTGGCCGAGCGTTACGGGTATGTGTTTGTGGTTCTTCCGCGGTGGGCTCGAGAGTCGAGCCAGCAGCCCTGCGGACGAAGCTGTTCCGCCGCGAGGGTGCTGATGATTGTGTGGTTGGCGAAGAAGGCGAGGTAGAAGTTGCAGGAGTCGTTGCGCCTGATGGACCGGCTGAGAAGTTCAGTGTCGTAGCTGGCGTAGAGGGTGGGGGGAGGGGCCCTGGAGGCGAGTCGGTGACGGATGACCATGGACGAGAGCGCTCTTGTGTCGTCCCACGGTGGTGTCTTTGGCTATCGTAATTCGAAGGAAAGTTGAAGCCGCCCATCGAAGCTCGTCTTCTGTGGCTGAAGCGGGTCCCGTTCTGCGGTGGCTGTAGGATGTTCGCATTGGCATCGCCTGGTGAAGTGGGGGGTGTGGGGAAGCTTGAGAGGGCGTCGAGGAAGGGCGGTATGCTGGCATCCTCTTGTCCCGTACCGCTTCCGGGCTGTATAGATCTGATGCCCACAATGATTATCGGCACCATCCTGCCTTCGCCATCTTCCTCTCCTTCCGTTCCGCCGTTCCCTGATGAACTGCCGCCGCGCCCAGTAGTGTCGTTCCTTGCGTTGTCGGTACTGGTGCCAAACCTGAACATTCTGAAGAAGTTGAGGGGCGCCTGTGCGGCTCCGGGATTGTCGCCACCTTGGCCATCCTCGTTGCCTCTTAGCGCCGATGCTATGCTGCCGTTCTGCAGTGACTGTAGGAACGTGTCGAATGTACCGTCTCGGGTTGCTGCTTGGTTGTCGTCGCCAACCAACGAGGCTGCTGTGGCAGCTGCAGCCAGCGATAACAGCCTTGACAGCACGTCGGCCTGGTCCTCGCCTTGCCTCAGCTGCTGCACATTGTCCATGTTCTCTCCATCCTGCCAGAGCGATCGTCTCCTCCGCGGGTGTCCTATCATGTTGCGTAGTCGGCGCTGCGAGGGAATGATGCTGAGGGCGCGTCCATCCCGTCGCAATGGGCTCAAGGGAACCAGCGGTCGCTGTCTATGTCCGTCTGGCCGCTCGGCTTGTGAGTTGGTCCGCAGCAGCTGGTCAAAGTCTAGTCCTAGTTCTGGGACCTGCACGCGTGGAAGGAAGGGCCCTCGGTCGCTCGCCGTATGTCTCAGAGCAGCGCGGCTTGGCACGGTGTTGTTGGGCGTACTCGGTGCCGCGAAGCCGCTCGTGGGCTCGGTGTTGCGGGCAGCCAGCGGCGGTCGTCTCGACAGCAGGCCCGTCATGGAACTGAGCGACGAGCGCGCCCGGTGCAGCCGCGACCGCGAGCGACTGGGGATCGGGGCATCTTCGGGCGCTGACGAGCCAGCATCGTGGCGCCCAAAGTGAGAGGAGAGGCGGTTGGAGATTCTGGTGGTACTGGGGCGGGATCGCGAGGGCGTGTCCGCGGCTCTATGCAGCAACTCTGGCACCGTATCGTCGTTAGGCTGGGACGAGGCCAGTAACCCAGGCGCCCATGACAGCGGCCGCGATCGCCGCCGTGTTTGCGCATCCGCAGCGCCCGTCGAGTTTGCCTGGCCCATGTTGTGAGGCCGTCCGGCGAGGAAGGCGCGCCTCGAGAATAGAAACGGTCGGAGAGGGTGTCGTCGGGTCGATGTGTCTTCGGTCAGAGCGACGAGGTCCAGCGGCGGCAGAGCGGTGATGTATGGCGCAGCCGAGCCTTCCCAATCAGTCACGGCGCTAACGGCATGGGGCTACCGTTGTCGATTGCTCTTGCCTCAAGTCTATTACTGAAACTGCTCGCCGCACCTTTATTCTACAGACTCCAATTTCCCATTCCCTTTGCGCAGTGTGTGCGTGGCCGCTACCGCTGCATAGCCTCACCGCTGCATCCCGGGCCTACTAAGCAGGGGCCGTTGCAGCTCAGACAGCCGCATGAGCGTGCAGTCCTGCGTCATCACCAACCATGCAGCACTTCACCACGCAGTTGCGTGATGAGCAGAACAGGACACGCTCGCTGCGCGCGAGTCATTATCGCAAGTCGAGAAGAAATAAAGAGAAAAGGAAACAAGACGAATCGCTTTTCGACCTACAAGGAGAGGACGAAACGCAGCCAGACGCCACAGTCCAATCGTACACCTCGTCCACCGCGCCTGGCATAGCTCAGCTGCGTGTCGCAGGCCTATTGCCCAGCCAAGAGAACGAGGTCCCTCCAGCACCCTTCCCCCATGCGCCTGCGAGCGTGTCCAAACCACATCATGTCCCTGCTAAAGTCCAGGAGGAAATGGCCAGGCCGCCTTCACGCCTCTACGCCGTCAACGCCACCTCTAAAAGCGGTGTCGTTCAAGGCCAACCAGAGGCGCAGAAGAGGGCGCACCTTGACTCTTTGTCCACGCTGATGCATTGCTGTCTGCTCAAGGGAGATTACGAGCGTGCGGGGAGAGCGTGGGGCATGATCTTGCGGACGCAGGTTGCTGGTGGGCGCCCGGTAGATCCGCGTAACCACGGACGTTGGGGCATTGGTGCTGAAATAGCCCTGCGTCGTGGACCACAAACGCTGAATGAGCATAGATTCTCTGAACAGGGCTTTGAGCTTGCTCGTGAATATTACAATCGTCTGATCATACAATACCCGAACCGGAAACTGCAGCCTCATGCTGTCGATGAGAGAACCTTTTACCCGCCCATGTTCTCACTGTGGATTTACGAGGTTTGCGAAAAGAGCAAGCGCGCAAGAACGGAGTTGCGTGATGACATCGCGAATCAAATACGCTCTTCTCGAAGTGTGTCGGTCGACAGTAACCTCAGTAAGAGGTCAGACGGTCTCTCTGCGAAGGAAGAGGCGATCCAAATGGAAGAACTTACCCAAGCCCTGGAGATTGCAGAACGCCTCGATCAGGTCATCATGTCACCACCCTTTGACAGACAGCCAAGTCTTCTAGAACTCCGCGGCAATGTCGCCTTGTGGATAAGTGATCTCAACATAGGAAAGATGGGCTCAGATGAGGACTGGGATATGGATCTACCTACACACTCAAGTTCAGTCTCAGACCAGCTGAAGCGACTTGGAAGGGCTCATCAGGAGCTACTAGCAGCACAAGCGTTCTTCGAGCGAGCTGCAACCAATGGTGGTGAAGCTGCAACCCTGTCCAGTATCAACGCAAAACGCAGAAATCTAGTGAAGATCATGGAGCAGTTGCGCGCTGCTGGGTAAGGCCGGTAATCAGCTTCACCGACTACGCTGTTTGAACACTTTCGCCAACAGGATACTACACCAAGCCTTTGGTGGCTGAACAAATTTTGCTTTTTTGCCATATACCCATTCACGACTTAGAAGCCTCTATAATACATGAAAAGATACCAAGTGATATCATGTGGTAGGTGATAACCTTTCCTGCCTATCCTATTAGTCTCCTCTGGCTCTTTGTAGAAACTGTTACACATGGGTCAAGGACTCGACAAATGAGAGAATTTAGTCAAACCCTTCTGGAATCCTACGTATGCAGGCACAAGTTGTGGCGTAAGAAGCGGCAGGGAAAAGAGCGATAAGCAATGTTTGCTATGTACCAACCACACTGTTTTCGCCTGGCAAGTTCCGGGTGTAGAAAAACAAACACAGCCGATCTCTTGTACCAGAACGATCAATTGTCACGCAGTAGGTAATTAAGCATGATGTGTCATACTGAAGTGTACAAAGAAGTTTATCTACTTTGAGTCGGTGCGACGGAGATGAAGAAGTTGAATGTGTGTTATATTTCATTTTCTACATTTGATGCTATGCACATTGATTGAGAAGAGAAAAGAAGTTCAAAAATAACCAGAGCCACAATAACACCAAATGATGCCCATGAAGATCCAAAGTCGATCTACACCCTTCACACCGCTGATACACCGCCTATCAAGGAGATGGACCTACGGTTCAACTTTGGGACAATGAGGAGCTGACCGAAGCCATCAGCACTGAGGCAAGTTACAGACCTTGCGCACGTTCTGAGGCGCGAAGGTCTGGGGTCCACCAGTGCAGACGCGCTTGTCGCCCTCGTTGTGACACTCAAGCGAGTCGACTTTGATCGCATTGCCGGATAGCCACTGGTTGCTATTTTACTGTTAGTTATTGCTCGTGAGGTAACGATATTAGTAGACTTACCCTGAGCAGGTCCAGGAATGGGTGATCTGGTAGTAGGCTTCATCTTGAGGTCCACGAAGGTCGAATAGAAGACGACGGTTAGCGACCTGACACTCGTTGCTGTTGGGTACAGAGGTTCCAGAGCCGCTGCAGTGAGCGCCGGCCTGGACTGGATCGTCGATGGTGCTACCGGTGGGGAAGACAGACTTGAACTTAAAATCAACCCTTCCAGAGGTGGGAGAAGTGACTAGCTTGTAGTCTGAGATGGTGTAGGAGGTGGGAACGCAGCCTTCCTCGCCACGGCCGTTCATAGTAGTAGGAGCGGCCACGGCGGCAGCGGTGAACACTACCGGGAGTATATTCGAGAAGTGCATCTTGATTTTGTGATGTTGGTCGTAGACAAAAGTGGAACTTGGCGTCGATGAGGCTAGGAAGTGTGGTGACTGTTGGTCGCCCTGGAAAGATAATATCAGGTTAAGTTGGGAAGTTAGAAATTACCTGATTGAGACGATGAGAAGGTAGAATCAGGAATAGGTTCTAGAAATATATGCTCGAAACAAGCGCGTAAGCACACAGTCAAGAGTCACTGTCCGCGTACTGTTGGAGGGGTCAGCGGAGGCAAACGGGTAAGTGGGCAATAGAAACTTGCTCAATCAGGCGCACGAGGAGCAGGTGAAAGGTAGTGAGCGAACTGTGGCTGTACAAAGCTAACATGACCAGTCCGTGAGGTTAATCGAGGTGGCCTTGCGGCTGATGGCGCGATTGGACAGGCCTTGGTATAAGCTGAGCCCAGGTGTTGGGTTGTACAACCAATACGTGAGCGATATATCAAGGAACTGGTATTGAAGACAAAGCGGCTATGACAGAGCTTGTATCAAATGTCTCTGGTTGGGAATACACAACACCTCATCCTATAGCGAATCCTTTGTGTAGTAAAGTTGGACTCGAGTTAGCCTTGACACCCTGGGTCCCGAGTACCCCTTGAGCTCTTAGCCTCTCTGAACGTTCTCGTGGTTGTAAGTATAGTTATGTTTGAACGTCCAATCGGGCGCGTGAGCGTCGTGAACATGCAGACAAAGGCGACGGCGGCAGACAGATGGTGAGAGCTAATGAGGTACGCCCAAGACATCTGCGAACGTGACATTATCATCAGACATATTACGGGGCGATAATCCTTTCTTTTGCAGTTGCTTGATGCGAATCTTTTCTAAATCATGATAGGAAGCATCCTTTCTCAACGTAAAGAATCTTGAGCAGTGAATAGTGATGGTAAGTGTTTAGGCAGGCGCAATAGTGCGTCATTGGCTGGGAAGCGAAAGACCAGCATGACACTCCCGCGGGGAGCATCGTCATTTCACATGAGCAAGTTGACTGCACTCCAACACAATGGATATCACGCCAATATTTAACCAGGTGCTCGCCAAGCACGATGCGCGTCCGATTGAGCCTCCCGTGTTTCGCGTCGAAGCCCTTGATGGCTTTGTAAAAGAGGCATACCGCATTGTAGGCCACGTTGCGCGCGTGAACCTAAAGGTGAAAGCTAACAGCCACAGCGAGGTCACATTGCAAAGCTTCACACAGACTTGAAGTCGATACGACAAAGCTATCTCTCGACTGCACATGCCCCCCGCCGGAAGCAGTACGCGCGAGCAGGCGCAGCATCGGCCTCTGCAGACAAAGATGTTAAATACCTTAGCGACACGCAGCGCAACGAGATCGACGCCCAGGCCAAACTATCGATACATCAGCTGAAGGATGCGATTGAGAAGCTAGGGGCTGCTGAGCAGGTGAGGCAGGAGACGCAGACGCAGGTCGCTCTGAAGAAGCGCGCAAAGCAGGGCCTCGGTGCGCTTGGACGATGGGCAGCAGGCGGGGCAATCACAGCGAAGAGCGTCGAGGAGGAGATTGAAGAGGCCAAGGCGAACACGATCAGGGAACACCGAAAGGGCATATTGTGGACGTTGGATTTTCAGTTGGAGCAGTGCGTCCTGTTCCAGACGGACATGATGGAAATCAGGCACATGCGGGAGGTGGAGAAGAGCAAGAGCGTGTTGTACAAGACGAGGGCTACAGGGCCAGCCAGCAGCGATTATAGTGGCATGGACGAGAGCCACAAGGCTGGGGACTATCGGGCCAAGTCGACTTATAACCCAGATGAGTCGAGCGCGGTGATTGAGAATCAGCTGGACCCAGAGCAGCTCCAGCTGTTTGCGCAGGAGAACCAGGACATGCTCAAGCAGTACGAGGACCAGCTCGACAAAGTCCGGTATGTGCTACGACACACTCGTCTTGAACAGCTACTGACACCGGCAGTGCAACCGAAAAGTCGCTCATGGAGATCTCGGAGCTGCACTCGACGCTCGCGTCCAACCTCAGCATGCAGGAGACGCACATCAACCAGCTCATTGAAGACTCGTTCAATACAACGGAGAACGTTGGAAGTGGAAACAAGGAGCTCAAGCGCGCGACGGAGCGGGGCAGTACGGCGCAGAAGCTGTTCTGGGCTACAAGTATCTTCTGCACGACGCTTGTTGTGTGGGACTTGTTCATATGAGAGTGGAACAAGGTGCGGTGGTGTTCTTGGTAGATACCCAACATGTGAATATATCGCGCTACGATCCGTCAGTATCCGGGGCGCTCTGAGTGGACCAAGTTTCCAGAAGCAGCAATGGCAGCCATGTGGGGTCGGCATACTTGAACCAGCAGCCAGCCTGCAGGCCATGCAGACCCACAACGGTTCGTAGCTAGCCACAGTGGTAGCAAGTTTACTCATCTGAAAGAAGTCGTGATGGTGAATGCCCTGCATGTGAGAAGGGCTGTACAGCTGACATCATTGCGGAAGCGGCAGCTTGTGCCTCGGCTTGCTTGCTCACACGACCCTGCGGCATACCTTCCGAGCTTCACCTCTATATAATGCGCTGGTCGGATGCGATGCCGTCGCCATGTCAGCCAACTTTTGTTCTACTGCATCGACTCGAACCGGCCTCCCGGTTCTCCGCATCTCGCCTTCCAAAAGAAAACTGCGGGGTTAAGCGTGGGCTGGACACGGCTTCCCATAGTTAGGCGGCGGCAGCGGTGAAACGTAAACGTGGGAGAGCTCATACGCCGTAATCATCATGCCAGACTCACCTGTCCTCAAACCACTCACCTCCTCCCTCTCCCTCTCCACTACTTCCACCCAGACTTCTTCCCAGACCCGACTCAACCAGATCTCCTCGCACATCGAACCAATGGCTGCTACCGCTTTCGACGCGAATGTCGTCCCCCAGGCGCCCGAAGACCCGCTGTTCGGGCTGATGGCTGCCTTCCGCCGCGACGAGGACCCCAACAAGGTCGACCTGGGCATTGGAGCCTACCGAGACGACAATGCAAAGCCCTGGATCCTGCCCGTCGTCAAGAAGGTGCGCCCACCACGCCTTCCTCTTGTCCTGACTTACCCGCGACTGACCATGCACAGGCCGATGACAGACTCCGCGACGACCCCAACCTCAACCACGAGTACCTCCCCATCGCCGGTCTCGCAGAGTTCACAACCGCCTCCCAGAAGCTAGTCCTCGGCGGTGACAGCCCCGCCATCAAGGAGAAGCGGGTAGGCACATCACTCCACCACGTCATGACTTGAGCTCACACCACACAGGTCACCAGCTTGCAAACCATCTCCGGTACCGGTGCCGTCCACCTGGGCGCCCTCTTCCTCGCCAAGTTCTACAAGACCAAGAGCCAGCGAACCGCCTACTTCTCAGACCCCACATGGGCGAACCACTTCCAGATCTTCTCCAATGTCGGCCTCGAACACAAGACATACCCCTACTTCTCCAAGAAGACAAAGGGCCTCGACTTTGATGGCATGATCAATGCTCTGCAAGATGCCGCCGAGGGCAGCATCATCGTACTGCACGCGTGCGCCCACAACCCCACCGGTGTCGACGCTACGCAGGAGCAGTGGAAGAAGATTGCCGACGTGATCAAGTCGAAGAAGCACTTCCCCTTCTTCGACACAGCATACCAGGGCTTTGCTTCCGGCGATCTCGCAACCGACGGCTGGGCAATCCGCTACTTTGTCGAGCAAGGCTTCGAGCTCTGCATTGCGCAGTCATATGCGAAGAACTTTGGCCTGTACGGCGAGCGAGCAGGCTGCTTCCACTTCGTCACCTCTCCTTCATCCGATGCTGAGAACACCATCAAGCGCATCGCCTCACAGCTCGCCATCCTCCAGCGCTCGGAGATTTCAAATCCTCCCGCCTACGGCGCCCGTATCGCCTCAACCGTCCTCAACGACCCCCAGCTCTTTGCTGAGTGGGAAGACAACCTCCGCACAATGTCCGGCCGTATAAAGGAGATGCGCAAGGCGCTTCGCGGTAAGCTCGAGGACATGGGCACACCAGGTACATGGAAACACATCACAGAGCAGATCGGCATGTTCAGCTTTACCGGCTTGACAGAGCAGCAAGTGCTGAAGATCCGGGAAGACTCGCATGTATACATGACCAAGAATGGTCGCATCTCCATGGCTGGTCTGAACACGCACAACATTGACTACTTTGCCAAGGCTGTTGACAAGGTCGTACGGGAGACGCAGTAGATAGCAACATGTGTAGGTTCTTCGGTGATCTGACCGGCTAAGACACGGCGGGTACCGGGAATGTGTTACGAATATACGAGATAGAAGAGCTAGCATAGACTAAATCCTCACCTCATTCAGAGACTTGACTATGTTCTCAAAAATCATGAAATGGAGTGGAGATCCCATTTCACTTGATCGAGTGCGCCAATAAACTAGTAGACACCGAAAAAGAGGGAATTTTCGGTTGACTGATGCCAATGTGCGCGTCTGGTTTTCACTTCGTGTTGCAAACTGGTACAGTAGTACACTTGGATCAATGCATAGGGTATACAGTTCATGGACTCTGGCCACAACCAACTAGGCAACAATGTTAAATGCCGACAAACAGCAGACAGTTGCATGCTATGCACCCGTCTACTGAATGCCCTTGCTATATGTGAATCTCGCGATATTCACCCCAATAGTCCACCCCTTTCTTTTTCTTTCCTTCTCTCTAACCTTCTTCTCCTCGTGTTCCCTTACTTCGTCGCTAGACTCGAGCAGACTATCCCCACTGAGCCGTTTTAGTATGTCCATACTAGACGATGCTTTACGTAACATGTTCCTCTTTGGTAGCGGCGGGATCAAGTCGTCGATATTTGAGGTAAAAGACGGCAAAGCAGTAATGTCCGCAGCCGAGGATTGCAGAGACGTTTTGCTTTGCTCATTGGCAATGTCTGGGTTCCGGCCTTGGAGGAATATAGAAGACGTGAGGATTGGGAAGGAGTGCTCCCGAGTGTCTTCGCTATTGTCCTTTGTGTAGCACCATGACGATTCGCTGGTCCCTTGTAGTGGCAAGCTAAGCGCGCTGCTGCTGTTTGACGAGTAGGCTGAGTGCTGATATGGCGGATATATTGGTGCGGACTGGTGATGAGGTCTATTGAAGTAATCCACGGAAATCAAATCTGGTTGGGCATGTCCCGTTGGGAACAAGGGACTGTCTCGAAAAGCCGGGTGCTCTGACAGTGGAGGTGGTGGATACGTTGGTGTTCTTGACCGTATGGGCGGAAGAGGCTGGAATGGCTGGACTATCTTATAAGGCATATCTGCTGTGCGTGGACGTCTCGTTCTTGTTGGTACTGTCAGACTTGCTTGTGACAAGATTCTAGACGATTCGGATGGAAGACGTGGCGATGCGGAGCGTGCGCGCGACTGAGTGGGAGTCTTGCGAAGAGGCAGTGATATGACAGGAGGTGGTAGTTCTGGTGTTGACAGTATCTTCGGAGCAACTTTTTGCGGTGCGTTCAACCAGTCTGGCGTAGCACATACTGAAGCTACTGGAGCATCGGTCTTTAAGCTAGAATGCTTAGCCTCGGCAGAGGTGAGAAGCTTCTCGATTGCCTCGCGCAAGTCCTGGGGATCGGGTTCGATATCCTTGTCTGAAGCATGCGCAACGACTTTCTGACTACCAGTTACTTGTCTAGAGAGCTGTCTTGAACGAGAACCATCGGATGACGCAGTGCTACTATTTGAGAGACCCGGTATATCGCTCTGGGGATGACTCCATGAATCTCCAGGATGTTTTTCTAAAATTGTCGGTACAGGAAAAGTTTGGGACGACCTGCGCAGTGGTCGTATGCATGCCCATGGCGGCGATTCTTGCATGAGGTTGTAAATATCAGGCATTGCTGGCAACGAATCCCAGTCTTCCAACTTCTTTGCGACCCATGGATTCTGGGTACATCGGAGCTTCGAAAAATAGGCGGAGCATGCTTGGGTATTGGAAAGTGGATGGCCGTAGTCGATCAGATCTTCCAGCACCGTCGTGAACTCGTTATTAAAATCCTCGATGCTTGCGTATTGATCAATGTGCAGGTTCAGGAAATGGCAGAATGCGTGGTGGTAGCCAGAGAAGCTGAACACGTTGAATCGTTCATCCAATGCCTCGAGTATCTCCTCCGAGCTAAAGTTGGAGGGTGGTAATGGTGGTCCGACTTCAAACAGCTCCAGCATCACTTCCTCTGCCAGCGAGAGAAAGATATCAAGCTTGACCTCTCGATCTTTCCGTACCCATGACCTTCGCTCTTCTAGCAAGCTCGGCTGCATGTCTTTCGTCTCCGTTACACAAATGGTCGAAGCTAGCCTTGGACTGGGCATGGGCATGGGCAAAGTGCCATTGCAGTATTTCCAGGTATCCTTCGTTTCGAGCGCAAATTTGACGCTACGTCGCCAGCGAGAGTATTCCGGCCCGGTAGAATCGAGTTTCAGGATGGGGACGCCTGGTAGGCGTGGAGAAGTTTGTAACTGCATTGGACTGTGTGCACCTGAATCGACGCAGGCGCGCATGCACTACCCAGAACATGCGATAGAGTGAAGGACACACACAAGGGAAACAATTGTCGAGGAATCGACCACATTTGAACATCACCGCACCCCGCGATAGCCATCAGCAGAATCTTACCAGCGCATGGCCGCATGCACATCAGCCACGATGCCCCAGCTCTTTGTTCCAACGCCGGACTCGCACAAGGCGACCTCGGGCCAACCGTAGCTTGAGGTACATGGTCCCGTACCACCAGGATCCCAGAACAGCGTCATACGTCCCGGGGCCTCTAACCTATACAGCCCATGGGACGATTTCGGTGCCGTTTGCATCCAACGTATTCCCTGGAGTGTCGCGGACACCTTGGCGTGGGCTACAGTCAGCAGCAAAGACGTCGGGTGCTAAGGTCCTGTAGGCTGCATGGCGCAAGCGAATCAAAGGGATACGACGCGAGGCTCAAGAAGAATTACTGGCTGTCGGGATCCGACGGGGAGTATCTTTGTCGCCTCATTTTCAACTCCGAAAGGTGACGACGCGGCTCTTTGCGCGATCAAAGAGACAAAAGCTTATTGCCCGCATCGACGGACTTGCGTCTTTTGCCACGCATGGAAAACTTGAATCGAGCGACTTGTCGCATCGAAGAAGGCAAGAACATATGCGGAGTTAAAGTCTCCCTTGAGGTCTTGAGGTATAGGAACTATGCAGGTGATGGTAGAGACGAGGCTGACCGTAAGTGGGGTTCATGAGTCGGTTCTCCAGCCTACATTGTGAAACTGCTTCTTTGAAATATATTTGCAGCGACTCGACAGTTTTCCATCGAAGTACAAGTACTCGATGACAACAACCGGCGTTGTGGCGGAGTGGTTATCGCGCAAGACTAGAAATCTTGTTCCTTCGGGAGCGTCAGTTCGAATCTGGCCAACGTCGTCCTTTTTGCTGAGTGAGCGGATGGGAAGAGGTGCTTCCGCTGCTCTATATTTTTTGCGCTCCTCTGTTCTATACAAGATGCGAGAGAAACAGCGTACCTACGCATTTTGACCCTGCCAAGCCTTAACCTAGCACCTTCGCACTCTCCTACAGCTTGAATGCTCTGTGACACTCGACTCATTCGATGCCACTGCGACCCTTTCCATATCCTTTCCGAGTGGGCACCGACATCTGCCATGTCCCACGATTACGAGCCGTTCTCATGCGCCACCATCGCGGCGAGCCTCTGCGACCTCTACACCAATACTTGAGACGAGTGCTTACCGATCACGAACGCCAGTACTTCTGGAACCGTTTTGGACCAGAAGACACAATCTCCAAGAGGATGGATTCAGTCTCCAAATTCCTCGCTGGCAGGTGTGTACGAGTGATGCTCTAGATACTAGCAGAAGGCTTACCCAATAAAAGATTCGCAGCGAAGGAAGCTTGTCGCAAAGCATGCAGCCATCTAGATATCGACGAGAGAGGATTCAAGCATATCATGATTCTACCCGTTAACTCGGTGGATCGCGGCGAGCATCAGTCAGCACGACCCCAAGGGTTGATACTCGATAAAGTGTATGACACAGAGAGCTCTGATGATACACGTGTTGACGTGAGCGGACTTGATGGACAGTTGTGCGAGATCAGTATCAGCCACGATGGAGACTTTGCAACTGCTGTTGCTATCGTACCGAATGTGGGAACAGCGTCGGATCCTTAAGTTCGATAAACTTGGTTCACAGGCTGTTGGTGCAGTGCGATTGTTAGTCAAACGGTGTTGTTAGATACATTCATGTCCCATGAGATAGTCAACCAACAGTAAAGTTGTGGATTCGCTACCAAATGCGCAACCCACGATTCTGAAAGGTATAATTTCGGACAATGCAATTATCAGATAGTTTATTCTACTGTTCTTGTATTGGGTTTGCTGCCTAGTAGCACGACCACTTGTCCACACCGAAACTCTCTCATTCTCCCACACGCACACACAATCTCAACGCAAGTTCTGAATCTCTAAGAAAATTCAGCACCTCATTCGGACACAGGACAGCAACATGAATACCAACACAAAATCTGCGTTTGGCAAAAACAACATCTTTGCGCCTGAATCACCCTCGATATGGCAGCACTTGCAGCGAAACCCGCTACTCATAACCACACAATGGCTATACGCCCATCGGCCGCCGATAGTCATACCACGGCCGACCTTCGGTATACCAGTAAAGGTTGTGTGCATTTCAGACACCCATAACGAGAAACCACACGTCCCTAATGGCGACATTCTCATTCACTCTGGGGACATGACCATCAACGGTACATTCGAAGAGATCCAACTACAACTCGGTTGGCTAAACAATCTGCCACATCATCACAAGATTGTAATAGCTGGAAATCACGACTTGCTTCTCGATCAATCCTTTTTCCATCGCAACCCACGACTTGCAGGCCCAGACAATGATGAACGTAAAATGAAAGAGCTGAAACGGGGAAATGTGGTGTACCTGAACAACGAATCAAGGACATTCCACATCCGGGACTGTACCTTCCGGGTCTACGGCAGTCCCATGACACCACAATATGGCAACTGGGCGTTTCAATATCCAGAGAACGAAGACAAATGGTGCAACACTATCCCAGAATCAACAGACATACTCGTAATGCATGGCCCGGCCAAAGGACATCTCGATTCTTCGCCTTCGAATCCTACGTATTTGCAGGGCTGTGCTCATCTCCAACGGGAACTATGGCGTGCCAAACCACGACTACACGTTTGTGGGCACATTCACTCAGCGAGAGGAGTTGAGCGAAGGAGCTGGGAATGGTTGGAGTGGAGTTACGACACTGTGTGTCGTGGCGAAGGACGCGTTGGCACTATGCTGATAATTCTTGCTAGTTGGGTCGGGGCTTGGGTACTGTATGCGTTGGGAAGAGAGAACAGAGGGGTTATGACGAGTGTCAACGCAGCGGTCGTCGGGGACTGGGGTTTAGCTGAAGGCAAAAAAACTCTTATCGTAGATCTTGTCTAGATCGTGTGGAGATGACTGCGGAACCATGTCAAATGTTAACATCTTTCTCTTCAAGTAGACGTAGCCTGCACCAAGTGCTGTGACATCGAAGCCTGCGTGGCTTCTCGCAGCCCAATATGGCTGTTCACACAGCACTATAGGTATGAACCAGCCATGCTTAGAACTTCTGGAAGCCAACAAGAACAGGAGATGCCAGAGCAAAAAGTGGAGATTGGGTTCCTGGGTTCATGCGTGCCGTCATGCCCCACCGATCCTCGCGATAGCGATACAGAACACGTTTCGGGACGTGGAGCCCATGAACAGTCACCCTGCTGGATGTGGATCTGACAGGAAACAAACGCGTAAGTTGGGAAAAGACAAAGGCGAACTATGGAGCAGACGGTGGTTAATGTAAGAGAATGGGAACAAGGATTGGCACCAAACCGAGGCAGAGTATAGGAGAAGGAACATAGCATGAACGCAGTGACCGTGCCCAATGTAAGTGTGGGGTTATAAATCTGTTTGTTAAGAGATGTTCTTTTTTCAGTTGACGGGAGCGGTTTCGAAACGTTCAAGCGCATGCCGGCAGTCCCGATATGTCGAACGGTACTTGGCATAGGGGGGCCTATCGCTAGGTACAGCTCTGCGGCGCATGTGATGAACCAGTTTCGATCGAGATGTAATAGCATCTTCATCCGCTGCGACGGAAGTCTCCTTGAACTGGCATCACGGTTAAGTTGGCAACTGACGATATAGCAAGCGACGGAAAGGGGAATCCCCGTAGCCCGATGCCACGGTACATTGGCTAGACCATTGGATCGGCCAAGGGCTTGTCTACAGTGAGCTCTGAATATTGGCGCCTTCCTCGTACAGTCGCACACAGAAGTTTGAAACGAGTCACGGACAGCGAACCTCGGCAACCACGATGCGGGAATGTTTGTAGAGGGTCGGCATCTACCAATTATAGGCTTGTGGGAAAGTGAAACGCTAGAGCACGCGATGTGAAGTTGAGGCGTCGATGCAATGGCGTCAGTCATGGCCAGGCTCAGTTGAAAGATGAAGGACAATCCAGTTAGAAAGTACCGGTAGGCTGACCAGGCACGGACAGGGGCTGGTGGCAGGCATGGTACTTCCTGCCTAGGGCAGCTGTAAAGTTCATGTCGTTCCCTGGTGCGCATGCGTGGAGGCGGCGAGCAGAAAGACGAAACCAGCCGTCTGCCCTAGGACGAACTTTGGCGAGTCGTAGAGACGAAGATGTCAGCGAAAGGCAGATGGGCGTCAAAAACGATAGCGCAGTCAGAGTAGCAGTTGGTCGCACTTCGGAATGACTGTGGACACGAGGCGAAATCTGTGGCTGCAGGCGATACACGGGCCTGCATGCCTGGAATGTCAGCCGGTAGAGACGTTGGCATTACAGTCTGCAGGGCCACTGGGGAAGTCCCGCGATATTGCTTCTGGAGGCAGATAATCAAAGCATGTCCACGGGTGCAGGTGCAGCATGAGGCGCGGTGGTGAGCGATCATCATCATTCGCATGCGAGTGGGACCCGTGTTATGCCGAAATGAAGGGCTGGGCAAGAGCAGGGGCTGCGCCATCTCTCATTGGCCGCCTGATGGTCGCTCCTTCGCCAGAACCCTCCGCATCGACAGCTACGAGGACGGCGCTGTAAACGAACAGCAAGACTGTGGAGTTTGCTGCATTCACGCTCCTCTGGGCTTTTGTATCGCACGGTAGTGTCGCGGGCAAGGGATATAGTGTGTTGGTCGATCAAGTAGGATGGATAGCCGGGGTATATATTACCCATCGCTAGTGCGGTTTGAGCATACAGCCGTCTGCACGACCAGGGCCTCGCGGCCAGATGCAAATTAATCCACTGGTGGCATGCGCAATCTGCTGCTGATGGGGACACAATGTCCACTTGGCTTTCTTGTTGTCGTCGTCTTCGTTTCTGAAGTCTCCCGTCTCCTCTTGTAAAACATTTTGCATTGAATGCACCGCCAACGTCAATACCGGACTACTCCCTCTCCAGCAAGCGCCGTTCTATTTTGCGACTATCGAATGCAGAGGCCCGCCGTCCGAAACCCTGCCTTTCCCCGTCGTGGACGCTCGCACTAGTGGTGAGCAGTTGGTTCTCCTGCAGGGAGCACACGTTAGCGACTCGCAGTCCATTGCGCTTGCCCTCTTCCGCCCGCGACCCCTGCCTGCCGCCGTTTTGGCCTGGACACCGGGGCGAGTGCTGCTGCTGACGCTTGCCCTGTCCTCTTCTTCTTCTTCACTACCCGTCGCCCACGCCCCCAAGCCGACTTCTTCTCCACCACCCGCCGACAATCCCCCCAACGGGCGCATTCATATATCGACTTTGCGCATTCGCCGCCCGTGGCTCCCCGTGGCTCTCTCCTCCGACCGACAAGCACCGCTCTCCACGTCGCCCCAGGCCTTACGCTCCCTTGCACGATTCTCCGAATCACGACCACTCTTTCAAAAGCAATATCGCTCCATCGTCGCAATTACTAGTAATTTGACCGTTGCCTATCAACGTCGCCGTCGCTCATTTTAGCATCGCACACGTACGAAGACGCGCCCCAACCCCGCTGCACCCAACCACGACGCGCACGTCCACCCGCTGCTCAGAACAAAGAAAACGCTCCCGCTACGAATCCTGCTTAGGCGACAGCAACGACCACCGCTTCGACCGACCGCTACGCTTCTTTGTTGCGCATCTGCTTCCTGGCTGACACCCACGTGTGAACCAACCTCTGCTCGGCCCTGGTCCACTACCGCGTGCTTCTAGACCGCGCGACGACTATTCTCCGGTACCCATCAGTGTCAAACATGACAGCATAGGCCCGCGACCAAATCGACTACATTGCGACGACGCTGTAACCGCATCGCCATCTATTCCTAGCTGCATCGACAGTCTAGTGAGTTGCCCGCTCAGCGACGCGCCTTCTTCGTCGAGACTGACAGCCTACAGGTCCATTCTTTACCCACCATTGACATTCGTCAAGTACACTCGTTTACCAAAGCCCTGACAGTATGTTTTCTGACTTTTCCTACAAATCTCATGTCTGACAGCAGTAGGCTTTCACGTATACCACCGACACCCTCAAGACACTTAATTCTACTTAACCGGGGAATATAATCGTAAACATGCCACGCTCAGCCACAGTATGGGCCGCCGCCCTTGTTCTGGCCAGTCTTTCTGGCTCTCCGCTCACGACAGCGGAGGCCATGCCTGCACCAGGACCTCAACAGACCCAAGGCCGTCCCCGATACTACTTTCCTAGGCAAGTGAAGCGACAGATCGTAACCAACTCGACTACCCCGGCGGCCACTCCGTCCCCGTCTCCTGAGCCAGAGTCTAGCAGCTACTCCTCGCAGCTCACATCGCGTCAGATGGACTTCCCGTCCTTCATTGAATCGCTTTTCCGTGGCAGTTCTGACACTTCGGCTCTTGCCTCTTCAGACTCACTTGTCAGCACCAGCGATGTCGACACAACTAGCACCCTGACCTCCACACTGGACGATCTTCCAACAACACTCCCCGAGAGCTCTTCGTCTGCTTCTGCCTCGCAAAGCAGTGTCTTTTCCCCGCCTCCTCCACCTCCAGCGCCGTCAAGCTCTAGCATTGGATCATCGAGCCAAGTTCAGGAGTCTATTGTTGTGCCAACCTCTGAGGCTGCTTCAACGCCCACTCCAGAGGCCCCGCAAAGCAAGAAACCAGCCGAAACCCCCATTGTGGAGAACCCTCCTCAAGTTGGCTCCACTAGTGGTCTCCCAGAGACCATCATCCAGCCAACTCCGTCACCTGAGCCTATTCCTGAGCCTGAACCAACCACTGTTGTTTCCTCATCAGCTGCTCAGTCATCTGCACCACCCGCGGTAGAGATTGGTACCACCAGCGGTCTCCCTGAGACCATTGTGCAGCCTACCTCCACAGCACAGAGTAGCCCTGCTTCCAGCACCAAGGCCGACAGCCCTATTCTGGGTCCTATCCTCGGCTCGACCGGTCTTCTTCCGGACGTCATCGTCCCGCCAACCTCCTCTGCCCCGAGCTCAGCTGCTGCCACATCTTCTACCATTGACAACAGTCCTGCTTCCTCTGACGTGCCCAGCGTCGTTGTGCCGCCTACATCCACTGTTCAGAGCGTAGCGGCAACTTCGACTGGAGGATTGCCTGATGTGATTGTGCAGCCGTCGTCTCCCACTGTTGGAAGTGAACCAGCTTCCACAGGTGGCATTCCTGAGACCATTGTACAGCCAACTTCAGCCATTCCGAGCTCGGCTGTTGCTCCTACTGGAGGTCTTCCAGAGACCATTGTTCAGCCATCTTCATCTGTGGTGAACAACGCGCCCGCCTCTTCTGGTGGTATCCCTGATGTTGTCGTACAGCCAACTTCTACTGCGCCTACCTCCAAACCTCCTGGTATCGAGAACACTCCTGCTTCTACAGGTGGATTGCCCGATGTCATCGTTCAGCCATCATCGTCGGTTGTTGAGTCGCCTTCCGCGACGCCAACTTCTGCCGGTCTTGTTGGCGGACTTCTCTCATCGCTTCTCAACCCTATCGTCGGCTCTACTAGCGGAGTTCCCACATCTGTCGTTCAGCCTACCCAGGCCGTTTCGTCGACCGTGCCTCAATCATCGGAGCAGGCTGTCGGTTCTACTGGAGGCATTCCGGAGACTATTGTGACACCCACTGCAGCTCCTGCTTCTTCTGCTGCACCAAGCTCTCCTGATGCATCAAGCTTCCTTGGGCCTTTCATCGTCCCCGGATCGACTGGCGGTATTCCTGAAACGGTTGTTCAACCCACCTCTTCCGCTGGCCTTGTTGGTGGTCTCCTTTCTTCGCTGCTTGCACCTACACCCACTGCCGAGATCGGTTCTACTGGTGGCATCCCTGAGACCATTGTGCAGCCTACTTCTTCTGGCGGTCTTGTTGGCGGTCTCCTCTCATCTATTCTTCCACCTGCGCCTACTTCGCAAGTTGGCTCTACTGGTGGCCTCCCCGAGACCATTGTACAGCCTACTTCAGAAGTTGGTTCTACCGGAGGCGTTCCCGAGACCGTTGTGCAGCCTACCTCATCTGGCGGTCTGGTCGGTGGACTCCTGTCTTCCCTTCTCGCATCCGAAGCTCCTGCAGCCACCACCCAAGTAGGCTCTACTGGAGGTATTCCCGAGAGCGTAGTCCTTCCTACAAGCGTCGCTGCGTCTGGTTCAAGTGGATCGCCGCTTTTGCCATCCTCTGGCATCGTTATTGGAATTACCACCGCTCTAGGCACGGGAGAATCTGCTGTTGTAACTCCGACACCGACTCTTCTAAGCTCTGGTGCCATTCCCACCTCAGAGACCGCAGCTACCAGCTCTGGAATCCTCGATATTCCAGGTCTTCTCTCGTCGGTCGTGTCGGAACTGCCTGGTGTTTTGCCTACTGGTAGCGGTCTCGCGTCCACTGCACCCACCCCTGTAGCGTCTGCCAGCGCGTCTGGTCTCCTTCCTCCAGCTCTTTCTTCGCTCTTGTCATCGGCTGTTTCGGATCTTCCAGCATCTGCTTTGCCCAGTGCTTTGTCGAGCATTCTATCTGGATTGGACTCTGCTCTCCCTACTGGCACTGGTCCTGTCATCATCCCGACCATCTTGCCTTCCAGCTTGTTGTCTTCGGGTATCCTGCCTTCATCTGGAGTATTGCCATCCTCGGGACTGCTTCCCTCCTCTGACGTCCTGCCATCTTCCGGCTTGTTGCCCTCTTCAGGTGTTCTGCCATCTTCAGGCCTTCCAATCTCTTCTGGCATTCTGCCTTCATCTGGCGTGCTTCCCTCTTCAGGCCTGTTGCCATCTGGTGCCGTACCTACCCCTACTTCTGAGGCATTGTCTTCGTCGGGCGTACCTGCTTCTGAAAGCGTCGTGCCCACACCCTCAGAAACTGCCAGCATTACACCTTCTGCGACACTCTCTGATACCATCCTGCCTTCGGGCACGATAAGCTCAGGCATCACTCCCTCTGGTACAGGTTCCGTGGGAACATCTGCGTCAGCAGTCCCAACCTCGTCAGGTAGCTCACTCAGCGTCCCGGCCTCAGAAGAGCCTTCATCGGCTACTTCGACCGCGTCTCCTAGCAGCGCCGCGCCTACTCTGAGTGCATCAGGCTCTGCCAATGCTACACTCAGCGAGGCTCCCACATCAGTATTCAGCACCGGCTCCGTTGTTCTGCCGTCTTCTACAAAGTCCACGCCACCGCCAACATCCGAGACACCTTCATCGACCAAGAGTGAAACTCCCTCCCTCATCATCCCGGTGACACCAACCCCCACCAAGACGGCACCACCAATCTTTTCCCTCAAGCCAACCGCTACAGACAGCGCAACTTCTCTCATCGTCGGTACTAGCATCATTGTAGAGGCCTCCACAATGCCCACTCCTAGCCCTACTGCCAGCACTATCCCATCGAACCTGCCAAGGATGATTGCGCCACCGGGAGGAGTGCCTTCAGAGATCCCTCAGAACAGCTTCATGGGTCAAGTGTGCTTCAAGTGGCCTTTGAACTACCCATTCGTTTCCGCAAACGACGGTGGACAGCAGATTTTCCATTACTTGCCTCTGGCTATTGCTGATGGTTTGAACATCTCATCCACTGAGGTCAAGAACTTCGGACTCAAGCCACTGAACACTATGGAGTACCAGGGTTTCATCACCACGCTGGCTTTGTTCACCATCCCCGCGGACTTGCAGACGAAGCTCGCAGCTCAGCTTCGCAACCCTGCGGATGCTTTCTGGAACAACAAGAACTCGACTGTCAACGACCTTACTACCTTGATCAACACTGCATGCCCTCTTCCCGCCGGCAAGCTTCCAGGTGACAGCAGCCCTGCCAACGCGGCCGAAGAGCCAGGCGCCACCTCTACTGGCGGGTCTGGTGACGGGGGGGCTATGGGTGGTGATATCGGCGCCAGCCGCACTGTGAACAAGACTAGTGCAATTGTTGCCAGCAGTGCCATCGTCGGTGCCATCGCGTACGGTGCGGCCATTTTCTTCGTTGCCCGCCGATACAGGAACAAGCGCATGGCCCACCAGCGCGCAAGCTCTGTGCCCAGCACAAGCCGCATGACTTACGGTTCGATTCCAGGTGGCGCTGCTGCTTGGATGCACGGTGCTCGAAATGGTCGGATGACGCCTGGCAGTCGCGGCAGTCAAGGTAGCAGTAGCACTCAGGGTCGCAGTGTTCGCACACAACAGATTTCTGCTCCAGTCATGGCCGAGAACTCTCTTGGCTGGAACTAAGGACTGCCGACTTGCTCTTTCTCACTGAGACTGTGCGGTTGTACTATATACCGGACGTGAGTAGCTCAGCAGCACGCCTTGATGATGGGAAGCCTTCCGATGTGTTTACACCACGGCAACACGCTTTGTCTCATATCTACGACCATCTATTGTACCGACCTCATCCAAGCTAGTATCTTGACAGGATTTAGCCGCAAACCATCTCTCTCTCGTCACTATCATTCCAACACGTTCGCTCAAACCACCATAAACTTACACACTATACTTTAACATATATTCTCCTTTCACTGTATTTCTCTTCTAAGATACCAGTCTATGCTTGCGGACAAGCTAGACCGTTTTTTTCTTCCTGTCGTCGATTTGTCGATATATGGAATGGCCATATTTGCCATGGGTGGAAGGTTTGGGGTGTAGTCAGAATCTTCATGATGCGTCGTGCATGCATAGGCGGCAGCGCAAGGGGCACTTGTGGGGAGGCTGATGTTCCGAGTATATAGTTGTAGGGATGGAATTGAAAAAATCTACTTACTCGCTGAGAATTACCAATGTACGTGAAGAGAAGGCGTGAGGTTTCGAGGCCCTCTGTGGCCGTCACGCTCATGGACAACTAGAGTTGAGCATCGGTAACACGTTGACCTTGTGATTCCTCTGCTGGCCTCTGATCTACAACCGTGCAGCTAGCGGAGGCGGTATTGTTCGCATTTCGTCTGCCATCGATGGTTTTCCGAACATGCCCTGTTGGGAAGTAGCGACGTGAACCCTGTCGGTGTCTTGGCGCAGCTCCGCCGAACATCGAACACATTGCGGAGGACAACAGGCAGTTAGACGCCAACTCTTCCCGTGACTAGCTTTTCCTCTTTGTCGACCATATACGCAAGCGATACCCATTCCCGTATCCTCGAATCCTTCGGCGTCTGCCTGCGCATTTGTGGACTGGCTACTAAAGCCACGTTCCCATAATCCACCCCTCCGCAACATATACACCTAAGCTACAACAATGCGTCTGGACGTAAAGGTACGCACCAATGCGCTATGGCATATCTTTCGATACAAGGGTGAATCTAACTCGACTGTGACTACAGAGGCAGCTCTTCGCGCGGTCGGAGCGTGTCAAAGGTAAGCAGACTCGACATACGCACATCAACCGCCAGAGGGTAAACTGACATATCATAGGCATTGGTAGGAACAGCACCTCTACCCAAGATATTCGCCGCTAAACCTGACCAAAGACTTTCATCCAACCGAGCCATGGATTCTCACGACCTTGTATAGCGGTATGCATAGCTGGAAACCCCCAACATAGGCAGAGCGCTGACGGAAGCAGGCCACGTCCACATATGGTCGTACATATCGCAATCCATCGTCAAGACCTTCGAGCTCACCGATGTACCCGTACGCGCCGGTCGCTTCATCGCGAGGAAGAATTGGATAGTAGCAGGTAAGGGCCCAAACACCCGAATCCTCAGGAAGAGAGGCTGACATGGCCGTCCAGGTTCCGATGACTTCCAATTGCGCGTCTACAACTACAACACCTCGGAGAAGGTCACATCTTTCGAGGCGCATCCCGATTATATTCGCGCAATTGCTGTGCACCCAACACAACCCTTCGTCCTTACCGCCAGTGTGGGTAACAATTTCCAACAACACAAGGATCGAGCTAATGTAGCTTCAGGATGACATGACAATAAAGCTGTGGGATTGGGACAAGTCATGGAAGTGTATGTGGACCTGCTGTGCCACACATCATGGCGTATGCTAACACACTGCAGGTGTCCAAGAATTCGCTGGCCACCAACACTATGTTATGGGTATCGCGATAAATCCCAAGGACCCAAACACATTCGCCTCTGCGTGTCTCGACCGAACCGTCAAGATATGGTCGCTCGGCAGCTCCACCCCCAACTTTACCCTCGAGGCGCACGAGACCAAGGGTGTCAACTTCATCGACTACTACCCCCAGTCAGACAAGCCATACCTTCTCACAACCTCTGATGACCGGACGGTGAAGGTCTGGGACTACACCACAAAGGCGCTGATTGCGACACTCGAAGGCCATACTTCCAACGTCAGCTTCGCTGTATACCATCCCGAGCTCCCTGTCATCATTTCTGGATCTGAAGATGGTACCATTAAGATTTGGCACTCTTCGACATACCGGTTGGAGCAGTCCCTAAACTATGGCTTGGAGCGCGCATGGTGCGTATCCTACCAGAAAGGAAGGAATGGTGTCGCGCTCGGATTCGATGACGGCGCTGTCGTCATTACCATGGGTCGCGAAGAGCCGGCAGTCAGCATGGATGGTAGCGGAAAGTTGCTTTGGGCGAAGAACAACGATATCCTCACCTCGGTGATCAAGGGCAGCGATCAGCTCAAGGATGGAGAGCGCCTCTCTCTTCCCAGCAAGGACCTTGGCTCAACCGAGCTATACCCGCAGGCACTACTGCACTCGCCCAATGGAAGATTCGTCGCAGTATGCGGTGATGGCGAATACATCATCTACACTGCGCTTGCTCTTCGTAACCAAGCTTTCGGCAGCGCACTTGACTTTTGCTGGGCCTCGAAAGAACATGACAAAGACTACGCCATCCGGGAATCCTCCACCAGTGTCAAGATATTCCGCAATTTCAAGGAGCGGAGTGTCCTGAATGTAGGCTTCTCAGCCGACGGCTTGAGTGGCGGCGTACTCCTTGGTGTGAAGGGTCAAGGTGGCATTGGCCTGTTCGACTGGGACTCTGGTGCTCTGGTCCGACGGATAGAGGTCGAACCCAAGAGTGTATACTGGTCTGAGAGCGGGGAACTGGTCACTTTGGCTACAGAAGACACATTCTACGTGCTACGCTACTCCAGAGAGAACTACCTGGAGGCAGTGCAAAACGGCGAAGTAGACGAGGACGGCGCCGAATCTGCATTCGAGGTTGTGTGCGACATCAACGAGAGGTATGTTCAAAGAAGACATGATTGAAACCTTGAAGCTAATGACAAAACAGCGTTCGCACTGGTACCTGGGTTGGAGACTGCTTCATCTACACAAACAGCACCAACCGCCTGAACTACCTTGTTGGCGATCAAACATACACCATCTCTCACTTCGACTCACCACACTACGTCCTTGGGTACTTACCCCGTGATTCCAGGATTTATATCGCCGACAAGGATGTCAACGTGGTTTCTTTCGCCCTGTCTCTGGCAGTTGTGGAATACCAAACGCTTATCCTCCGAGGTGACCTGGAAGCCGCTGAGGAGACGCTTCCTTCTGTGCCCAAAGACCAAAACAACAAGATTGCTCGATTCTTGGAAGGTCAAGGCTACAAGGAAATGGCGCTCAAGGTTGCCACCGATCCTGAACACCGGTTCGACCTTGCCTTGTCTCTTGGCGATTTGCAGCAGGCTGTTGAGATTGCTCGCGAGCAAGACACAGAACACAAGTGGAAGACTGTCGGCGATGCTGCCCTCACAAACTGGGATGTCAAGCTCGCACAAGAGTGCTTTGTGAAGGCCAAGGATCTCGGCTCTCTCCTTCTGCTTTACAGTGCGACGTCTGACACGGCCGGTCTTCGTGAACTTGCTGAATTGGCTGAGAATGCCACAGCAAATAACGTAGCCTTCTCTGCGTTATGGCAGGTCGGAGATGTCCAGGCGTGTATCGACCTACTCGTCAAGACCAACCGTTTCGCCGAGGCCGTCCTCTTCTCCCAAACGTACAAGCCAAGCGCGACGGCTGGCCTTGTCAAGCAATGGAAGGAGTCTCTGGAGAAGGAGAACAAGACCAAGGTTGCTAGACTCCTTGGCGCGCCACCCCAGGACGGCGAGGGCGACGCCGAGATGTTCCCTGAATGGGATGAATACTTGCGATTGGAGAAGGAAGGAGGCACTGTGGAGGATCTTTTGATTCAAGAAGACGAGGCAGAGGCAGAGGACGCGGACGAGGAGATTGCTGCAGATGCTGAAGAAGAGGAAGAGGAAGATGAAGAAGAAGAGGATGACGAGGAAGAAGAGAGCGAGGAGGAGAAGTAGGTGTGCAAGTAAAGTGGTACCGTGGTTAGTGGATGCATTCTAGCTGCAATTGGGCTTTTTGTCGTGTGGTTGCTACACGTAGCGTACGTACGGTAACGGAAAATGATACAAAGATATAGACGTTTAGCAAGCAGATGTCATGATCAAAGTTGTGATTGATTTGTTGTAACATGATATGATGTGACGTGGTATCGCCTCTCTTGTTGGAGACGTATGTCTAGCCCATGATAGTAACGCCGCCCATATATACGTTCGTGTCGTCTTGGTAACATTCCAAAATGTACAAACATTTTACAAATACTTCTCCCATGCCAGACATGGGCAGAAGACTAGCTTTACCGCACGATTGCCTCTTCGTTGGCCGCGCCTTGGTATGCCGAATCGCGGAACCTGTCCTCGCCGCTTGCTGTGCTTTCGCTGCTGCTCGCTTCCTCGGACACGGACTCCTCAGATGTAGTGTGCACTGTGCTGCGTACGCGTGCGTTCATCTCCTCGCGTGTATCGTCAACGGACTCCATTTCTCGCAGGCCCTTTCCGCGACCAAAGAAGTCTTCTGTACGCAGTCCACGTACATCGCCCTGGGCCATTCCTTTACTGCTCCTCAGGGTGCCGTCTGCCTTCTTCCTCCTGATGTACTCCCTGACCGGGCCCATGGCCGCGTCTCTACATGCCTCTTTGATGTCGGAACCGCTCATTCCAGCCGAAACACGAACCAGGTAGTTCAAGTCAAAGTTCTGATGGTCGATTTTTGTGCCGCGTAGGATGAGAGAGAAGATGTTGTGGCGTTGTGTAGCTGAAGGGAGGGCAACGGGGAACTTCTTGGGCATGCGACGGAGGATGGCTTCGTCAATGTCTTGGATGCGGTTTGTGGCGCCGAGAATGCATATCCGCTGGGGAGTCGATGTGCCGGAGGAGGTGCTGGAGGCGAGGCCATCCCAGTGGGTCATGAATCTGGGGAAGGGTTAGTCTTGACTTGGTCGCAAGTTGAATGGGGCGCTATTGGAGAAGTGTAAACGTACTCGGCCTTGACCATGCCGCTGGCTTCGTGTTCACCGCTCCTCCTCTGTCCGAGAACTGCGTCAATCTCGTCGATGAAGACGATGCTTGGTTGCAGTTTCCTTGCCAGACTGAATACCGCGTTAACGAGCTTGTTGCTGTCGCCGTACCACTTTTCTGTCAGAGTCGAGATGTGCAGGTTGATGAAGCAGGCGCCCGATTCGTGTGCGAGGGCTTTTGCAAGCATAGTCTTTCCGCAACCGGGAGGACCGTAGAGGAGGACGCCGCTGGGTGCGCTGAGGAGCGAGGAAGAGTGCGAGTAGAGGTGGGGCATGGTAAGGGGGTAGATGACGGATTCCTTGAGTTCGTCGATTATCGAGTCGAGGCCACCGATATCTGCGAGGTGTTAGTTCTCCATTGCGCCAGGGCTTCAAGCATGCCAATTGGCATGCGCCAGATGCTACAGCCCAAGGGCCAAGCTTGAAGGAGCTTGTGACGTACCCTCGAAGCTCACGGGAATCTCTTCAGGCGCAACAACCTCCATGGCAATCGTCTGTTCGTAGGTGCTCAGGTTGAGGTCCTGTATCCTCGGCCGTCTGGGCCTGGATTCTGTGTCGTCGTCTTCGCTATCGTACTCGCCATAGCTTTTCCGCCGCTTGCTTGTAAGGATGGCGTCGAGTTTACGCGTCGCAGCAGAGGCTTTGGCGCGGGCTTCTTCTTTTTGTTGAGCCTCAGGGTCGAGGCGTGTGAGGAGGTTGCGAATGACGAAGTAGGCTATCAGAGGCTACCGAAGTGTCAGAAGGTGCTTTGCAGGACAGTGAGGGGCAGAGCAGGGCAGATGTGGAGAGGACACGGCGCATGCGTGGGAAGGGACGTACTGCAGCAGCTGCCATGAGGATATCGGGGAGATAGCCGGTGAGGCTACTCTTCTTATTTGAGCTCATCGTGCCGGGTTTCCGCCTTCAGCGGTGCTCTGTGGTATGGATCTGGCGTGGAATTGTGCTCAAGAAGCAAAAGTCGGCTCTGAGAGTTGCTGCAGCGAGCGTTGTCGATGCCAAAACTAAGGTTCAGTCCAGGAACCGGCCCGCCACGACCATGGAACCTGCAGCCGCGGCTGCATTCACCTCCGGCGTCACACGAGCTCCGCTCCGCATCGGCATCGGCGCATCGCATGTCTTGAACGTCACAATTCACACACAACAACCACAGTCACAATGGCTGCCATATACAAACCTACCGAAGCGATTGCACTACTGCGTCCAACTTTCGTCCTGCCACGCATACATGCCTCACAGCGGAGAGCGCATATCGGGCGCATCGCCTTCTCCACTACCCACCATGCACAAGCTACACACAGCTCGACGAGCAGTCCGCCGCCAAAACCACAGAGGAAATCCATTTCCTTGACAGGCGACACGGGCCAAGTCCGATGGTCTGAGCTATCACCAGGCGAAAAAGCAGTGCGGACTACACAGCAAAGTTTCAACTTGGTAGTAGTCCTGGTGGGCATAGTAGCAACAGTAAAGTTTCCCCTCACCCCGCCTCTCTCTGCGAGCGCAACATTAACAACATATCAAGGGCGGCGTTGGCTACTTTCTCTTCTCCGATGTCTTCAGTCCCTCCTCCAAGACCGCCTACTTCAACCGCGCGACAACTATGATACGCCAGGACGCCCGATGTCAGAAACTCCTCGGCCCCGGTGCTGAAATTGCTGCATTTGGCGAAGGCTCTTGGTCGCGATGGGCGCGCAACCGCTACCTCAGCAGTACCGAAGAGACAGACAAGTGGGGCACAGAGCATCTGCGCTTCAAGTTTTATGTCGAAGGTCCGTTGGGGCAGGGTGTAGTACATGTGCATTTGACCAAGCGACCAAGTCAGAATGATTACGAGTATGAGACGCTTGCCGTGGATGTCAAGGGGCATCAGAGGATCGATCTAGTAGCTGGGAACAAGTCGAGCAGCGTCGCGCCCAAGATTTTTGGAGCGCGGTGGTGGTAAGATATATGAGTCTCACGGCGCATTGCGCTCTTGACGGATTTTCATGGTAGAGGCACGAGCCATTCTTCGTAATCCAACTTTTCACGTCCCCCCTTTGAAGAACAAACAGCCCGTTCTAGCCAACATGCAATCTTCTTTCTTCCCTTGTAAACGCCTTCTCGGTGCAAAATAAAATGACTAAAAAGCAAGGGCAAGGTAGGAAGCTGTGCGCTCGCCTACCACGGACTACACGACTCTGTTCCTCTGCCTGGGCGAACTTGGGCAGCAAGACTGAATTTCTCTGCTCCGTTTCTTACTTGTCCTTGCTCAAGCTGAGTCGCTCGTGGGTGCACCGAATGCGGTACACGAGCGCGGGTGTTACCCCATGACCCATCCAAACTATCGAATGGAGCCCAGCCACGTTCCACATATGCGCGCCACAATCTTGTAGAGTAACCAATACAACAAACATCTGAATTCTGGCCAAGGAACATCATCCATCCATTGAAAAATCAAAGCATCTTTTACAATGGCCATATCCATCACATCCGCAGAACCCAAGGACGCACCTCACATCGCCGCCCTCCATGTCCAAGCCTTCAGTTCAAACGTCCTCATGCGAGCCATTTATCCCACCCCTGCTATTTGGGCAGCATTCCAAGGCAGTGTAGAAGAAAAGTTCACGGCTGACATGCATGATCCTAACATGACGGTCCTCGTCGCCCGACACACTGATGAGGCTGGAACGGGAGAACAAGGTAAAATTGTAGGCTACGCGGTATGGTGTCATCCTGTGAGGACCGAAGGAACAGCTTGGAAACCGCCGGCTTGGAAGCTGCCAGGGGGCACGGATTGGAGTGTCTTGAGGCCCTGGTTGGCAGCTGCTGGAAAGGTTTCGCGTGAGGTTATTGGAGATAGGCCGCATTATGGTAGGTCATGCTGAACTCGGCAAGATGAACTTTGCAACGGACTAATTCGTGTTGAAGATCTCACGTGGCTCGCTGTGTCGGCTGATTATGCTCGCCAGGGCATAGGTTCAATGCTGTTGCGCTGGGGTCTTGACTTGTGCGACAAAGAGGGTGTGCCGGCATGCTTGGATAGTACTGTTCAGGCAGCCGAGACCTTCTATCAGAAAGCTGGGTTCACAGAAAGGGGCAGGATCAGATTGCCTGTCAGCGCAGAGATGTATGAAGAAGTTGCTTGTGTGTATGAACCCAGACGATAGATGCTGTCATAATAGAATAGCGCTGGACTGCCTCGAAACCTGACAGTCCTACTCGCCCATGCCAATACCATCTCCAAATCTCCGAGTGTCTCGCCATAGCTCTGGACTCTTTTAGGCTTCTATGAGAATCTTCTTCTCGCAAGCATAGCCAGAATTGTTTCGGTCAATCTCTTCGTCAGTACCAAGCCAGGATCATGATCTGGATTGACCTCTGCAACTGTTAACCCAATAACGTTCTCGCTAGCCAGGAGTACATCCAAGGCTAACATCATGTTCGTAAACGTCACTCCTGTGAAGTTGGGGGCATTTGCCAGAGGAAATTCGCCTGGATCGATGAAATCAACGTCCAGATGAACCCAAATAGCTTTGTGTTTACGCTCCAAAGCATCACGCGCACGTGCTTGCGGATCGAGTGCAACCGCCTGTGACGAGAAAACTTTGAAATGCTCGTCGTGAAGATAGGCTAGGTGCTCATTTTTGTTCCCCGAGTGGGAGAGATTTGTCCCGAAGAAAACGGTGTTGTCAGCATTACAGAGCTTGTCGTGAGTGAGCACAGGGTCGGTGTTTGAATCAACAAGTGACCCAGGACGGTCCCATGAGCTGTGTCATAGTCTAGAAGTTGGTTATGAAGTCAGTATGTCTCACGTCCAATCTGTACAGGACACTACTAACCATGCTCGCAAAGTAGCCGTTCCAATCATGCAACACTCGCCCCCAAGAACTAACTGGAAGGCATTGGGCTCTTGGTCGAAGTTCTTGGTCATTATCCGTCGTACTTTGCGAAGGAGCTCCAGATTATCAGCTCTGTTGCGGATGTCGTGCGGTACGAAGGGACTTGGTTGGTAAGTCATGGTTTCTTCGAGCACGTCTAGCTGTGGAGACGTATCATGGTAGCCCGAAGGCCCATTGTCGACAACTTCTATACCTGCTTGGAGCAGTTTTTGATGAATCTTAACTGCTTTGAAAGCCGCGGCTGCTCCGGACTTCCCTGGGATAATAGAACCGCGGTCTGCTGCCGCGTGAGTCACGCAGACTTTTTGCATACTCACCATCACGATTGCGTGCGTGTCGATGTTAGATCTGACGGTTCTTCTACAAAGTGCCTAGAAGAGGAAAATGAGTAGCCTCAACAACAGCAGGATGCTATGAAGAATAGCGAGTTCAACTGGTATGTTGCCCACAGGGCGTGCATAACAATGTCTGACTATCCCAGCAGCGGCGCAGGTGTAGCCACATGACATCTTGTCCTACATGAAAGACTGTTGATTCGACCCTTCAATACTGTTATCAGACCTTGGCGTAAGCTGGACTAAACTGGTCTCCAGACATGAGCTATACGCATGGCAAGAAAGCTTCCAGAACTTGTATACAGCATAATAACGAGTGATATCATCTGTGATCGTATCGCTTGAGTGAGTGGTTTTCAAAACGTAGAAGCAGAGTATATGTGGCTGCCGTCAATACGATAGAACGTTCGTGGCTGACTAATACACCATGCGTCATGGTCTCCAGCATAGTGATCCTCGAAAAGCTGAAGATCTATGGACGAAGCCAACGAGGTACATGCTAGTCAAAGCTCGTACCCAGACGTATAGCCCGTACCGCGCTGCTGGTCCGGAGAGATGTTGCGCTATGATCGCAGTCAAGTGACGATACCTAATTTTCCGCCACGATGACTCGACAGTCCCTGCGCTTGCTATTCACCCGACGTACCACCAAAGAACAGAGGGATTGAGTGCACGCTTATGCGCACGCCCCATGGGGATTGACAATGTTGAGCTCGGGGATGCGCGCTGTTCTCCAAAAGCTGATGCAAAGATCCATATTTCAAAGATGGCACGGATATAACGGACTTGTTCTAGTCAGGGAACGCGCCAATCAGAGCAATTCCTTGACACATGGTGTCGCTCTCGAACGTCGGCGTTGCATCATTTTTTATCCACGACGACGCGTTTGGGCTCCATGTGCAAGTGTGCTTCCTGTTTCGGCGACCCCTTTGATCGCCTCTACCCGGTGGTCCTCGTTCCGGATCCACAGCCAAGTCGCGGCCAAACGCAAATGTATTTTGGGTGTACCGGTCCGACGACAATTACGCAACGGAGAAATGCCGACGCCTGGCAGCCGTAGTATTCAAGTCTCATGACGCCTCTAACGTGACGACTCCTCTCGACTCTTCTCTTCATCTCAGTAAATACCGTACTACAACATCGCGACACTCTCCCACGCTATAGCTGTCGCAATGGAGCCCTCTTCCACCAATTCGTCAGAGCACACCCACGTCGACGAGCATGAGATGCAGCAAATACCACCCACATACCCGACACCTTCCGTACAACCCGAACAAGCAACAGGCAAGACAAGAGTACGATTCAACAGCTCTGCCAATGTTGAAGTCCCTCCGCCGCCGCTCGAACAAATCCGTAGCTATAGCCGCGTTAGCGAGTCCGGTTCCAACGAGATCACTACCAACCAGCACACCGTCGATGCGGAAGAACTTCTCAACGCGCACAACGCTGGTGAGCTCAACGCACAAAACTTCAATGCTCTGCCATTGAGTGAGGTGGACCCTGATGGCGCATACACCGTTACAGGTAACGCCAACGGAGGCGTCTTTTACCAACTCCTCCAAGCCTACAAGACACCTGTGCGTGGCTACACAGACACATCATCAGAAGTCAGCGAGACGTCACCTTCACAAAGGCCCGGATCTTCTTCAGGCGCCTGCACCCCAAAGCGGAAATGGTACAACGCGAACAAGCCCATACAGTCCACAGAAACACTGGCCACTCTTATCGGCGCTTCAGCCAAGCTGGCGAACCCTAAGGACGAAAAGAAGGATGTCCCCCTACGCCCACGCAACCACAGGCGAACTAGCAGTAACAACATCATCGCCAAAGTCTGGAAGGCAAAGGAAGATCAGGATGCCAAGATTAAGATCCACGTAGCCAACATTCTCAAACGACAACAGTACATCATCCGCATGTGCCGCGCCCTCATGCTCTTTGGAGCGCCTACACATCGTCTCGAAGAGTACCTCGCGACTACCGCCAAGGTCCTTGAGATCAACAGCCAATTCCTCTACATCCCCGGCTGCATGATCATCTCCTTTGACGACAACCTCACTCACACGGCTGAAGTCAAGATTGTTCGTACCGCCCAGGGAGTTAACCTTGGCAAGCTCAAGGACACCCACGACATCTACAAGGAGGTTTTGCACGATGTTATCAGCTTAGATGAAGCTCTCGCTCGTTTGGACGAGGTCATCAATGCCAAGGACCGTCACCCGCGGTGGCTGACTGTACTGATGTATGGTTTGGCGAGCGCCGCAGTTTCTTGTTTCTTCAAGGCCCGCCCCATCGACATGCCTGTCATATTCGTCCTTGGAATCGTCCTAGGCTTGCTTCAGCTTGTCATCGCCCCTCTATCCAAGACATACAGCACCGTTTTCGAGATCACCGCGACGATCCTCATGAGCTTCCTTGCACGCGCGTTTGGTAGCATTAACAACGGGAACTTATTTTGTTTCTCGGCTATTGCACAGAGCGCCATCGCCCTGATCCTTCCCGGGTGGTTGGTGCTTAGCTCAGCCCTCGAGCTTCAGTCTCGCGCTATCGTACCAGGTTCCATCCGACTTGTCTTCGCCATCATCTACTCGCTCTTTCTTGGATACGGCATCACTGTTGGTACCGCTATATATGGCGCCATCGACTCTAACGCTACCAACTCGACTCAGTGCCAAAGCCCGATGAACCCCTACTGGAACTTTCTCATGGTCCCGCTCTACGTCTTTTTCACGACGTTTACCGTGCAGGCCAAGTACAAGCAGATGCCAGCTATGATTGTCATCGCCTTTGCTGGCTACATCGTCAACTTCTACGCCGGAATGAAGTTCTCGTCGTCAGCGCCTATCGCCTACACCTTCGGCGCCTTCACCATCGGTGTTCTGGCAAACCTTTACAGCCGGTTGCGTCACGGAGTTGCAGCCGCCGTCCTCCTGCCTGCAGTATACGTCCAAGTTCCAGGCTCTCTTGCATCGAGTGGAAGCATCAACTCTGCTCTTCAAACAGCATCTGCCCTAATTAAAGGGTCAGGGGGAGCGGCCGACGTGAGCACCTCTTCATTCCCGGCCAAACTTATCACTGACGTAATGCAGACCACAACCGACAGCTTGAACGCAATCGTCTTCAACGTCGCTGCGTCCATGATCCAGATTGCTATCGGCATCACTGTTGGTCTGTTCATGGCTGCCCTTCTTGTTTACCCCATGGGCAAGCGACGCAGCGGTCTGTGGACACTATAAAGTATTCCCCTAGTTTTTTTGTTGTCTTGCATAGCGATAAGGCGTTAAAGGAACCCAAAATGGGAGGAGTTTTGGAGTTTTCCTGCTAATCATCTGTAGCATTTGAACATCTAGATGTTCAGCTTCGTTGGCCCACATGGAGATGAGTGGTGTCGAGGTGAAGTGTGAAGGTAAGCCCCGTTTGCAACAACATCGACCCCGAAGCACTTGTCGATGCGCCCTGCGACAACTATTTCCAAGCAACAAGCCGTTGCGCCATCCCCTGTATTGGTTTCCTTGCGACATCCAGGCCACAAAACCCTACTCGGACTTTGGATCCCCCTACCTATGCAGCATTGGCCCTAGCAAACAACCCACCACACGATGTCAGTCGCCCAAACCACCGCACCATACACCCGGACCTAGACCTTGCGCCCAATCCTTCCTTTGATCGACCTTTGCTTCATGCATTCACTCTTTCCCAAGGCCCAGTAGCTCTCCTGCACATCCGCGTTCATTCTTCCCTTCTGTGATGCTTCGCTCATGTTCACGAAGCTCACAAAGGTGATGTTGCCATGCATTATGTATACACGTTGCTATATACAGCTCATCCCCAACCACGCAACTACTAACTGTAAACCTATCGTACAGCTTATTGTGAGATGTTACATGTTGATTGATGTGAAACAAGATGCATAATAGTGCATATGATACGGGTAGTTATGATATGAGGGAAGGAGATTGTGCCTATAGCACTTTTGTAGAGAATATAAATCTTTAGCCAAAAACTCTCTTTTTGCTCCCTGCTGTTACCTGAAGTCCTCTAGCACAGTGGAAAAGTGTTTTTTTTTGTGATGTGTAGTTTGTATCTATGCGTTTGAACGGGCATTTAGCCCTGAAGGACGGAATACAAGCCACACAGGCAATATCGTGCTAATCTTTGTACAGCATATGCGAGAGTGACGAGTTGTAGGGCGTACACTGTGTAAGCTCGCTAATGTGTGTAGCAAATGCAACACGAATGACATGCATAGAAGCCCGTGCCTTCTGCCTTCTAGAAAGGACATGTAGGTCGGATAGGGTCAGTGCTCAAGACTAGATGCCAATGGGATACGAAGTATTGCATGGGTGACGTAGTGTGAGAGTCTGTGCCCGGTGACATCACTCCTTGTCTGGGAATAAGAGAGGCTGATGAGTGGCTGTATAGACTCCCATGGCTGTCTAGCCGACAACGGGTGTAGACATCAGCAGGAAAGAGCCGCTAACAAAGCCTCTCCAAGCCTCTAGCACAAGCCTTCGTATCTGCAGCCCTATGTCAGGCGGTGATGAGGCTCTGGCGCTTGGAGATCTCCGAAGCTTCCCCAGTGTCCAAGCGGAGGGAGTCACCTTCTAGAAAACCTTCAGAATGCGCACTGACGAACGTGAGGCGTAAGCCTATTGGATACTAAAAGGAACACGCCTTAGATCGGGTCCGAAACACGTAGCTCGTCTTCTGATTCGTGTTGGGAAGCTTACGCGAGACGGCTACGCAGTCAGCGCCATGGTGGTGGTGATGGTGGTGGTGGTGTCTTCTGTGCCAACTCGGATCCGCTTGGAAACACAGTACAGAGCTTGAGAGTAACTTTCTGTACACCTGGATGATCTAACAAGATACGAGACGTTCCGGAGGCTGCATGTACTTATGCTTGCGGGTCCACAGTGTATCCTGGATATATCTTAATGTTTCGGGGGCCGTCTGTACGTTAGCAAGCGCCAACTTCAGATGGAGTAGGCGGAAGCCATCGTGGTTCCCCGAGATCTGCCAGATATCTCACTCGTTCAGACTTAGCACATGTATAATGGCCTTACATCGTACGATAGGTCTGGACGGTTATGCTTTGACAAGGGAGCGGGGCTAAAGCCAGCCGTGCTTCCTGTAGGGCTGCTAGTGTCCGCTAGGATCTACAAGCGCTGGACCCTGACATCCGTTCCATAGCACTATCACGCTTAGGGACCGTGATAAGATGACTTGGAAGCGGAGAGGTTCGACTTGACTGAGACACTTGATCCATGACCATGTCATGGGAGACACACAGTGGTACAGCAGGCAGCCAGTGAGCTACTCTACATCCTCTAACTCTTGGAGTAAGTGAAGACATGGCAAACACTTTTCGCATTGGACAGTATTGACCATGTCGTGTAGATAATGCAGAGTATTTGCATTAACATTCGACAGTTTTAGCCTAGCGCTGCGTGCGATTTTAGGAGCGGCTGTGCTATGATGCGGAACAGATGAAGTCAAATGTGTATCTTGATCGTATAGAGCGTCTCATAGGCTCGTCTCCTTCATTGCTGCTTACTGTTTAACCGGTTGGCTAGCCTCGGCATCTCGTAGGCTCATGAAGCGAGGCCGGAGGCTCATGTCGCGAAGGACAAGCTGTGTCAGCAGCGGGGCAGAAGCGTTGTGTTGCCTGTTATGGATAGCGAGCTAATGTCTTGCAGGGCCAAGATCAAGGTTGTACGCGGTCCGAATGAGTATGCTTGTTGGCGGTACGAGTTGCATATCGGTCAAGGAAGGACCATCAGATAAGATGTACGGTCTCGCTTGCGTATGTGTCGGCCGATGAGCGATGCTGCACAAAGTTAGATTGAACAGCCCCAAAGCGGATCCGGTGAAGGATGCGTAAGACGCGGTGGATTTTCAGCCCTCATGCACGTTCCGCAGCAGAAGCGCTGGTGCAGGTCTAGCCAGTTCTCCCCGCTTACGTCACTAGTGCGCTGCTACATTTCGAAGTGCAGAATTACTGCTTTGGGTAAGTAGTCCAGCATAGTCGTAGCAGAGCGCCGTAGGGCTGTCTTCCTAACCATATGGGAATGCCGCATAAGAATCAAGCCATAGGGCAAAGATGAGGCCTTGTCTACAGCCTGGTCTGCGATACTGTATGTTTGAATTCAACTGCCTTGGAATCCCCACGATGCAAGCAGGCTGCACCATGTTGGCTGATCAAATGCAATATGGTAAGGATATATCACCTCACGTCGCCGAGCATTTCGTGATGGTGGTAATCGCTTGGGAACGTTACATGGACAAGGCTACTGATAAGTCATGGCAAACGCGCTTACGTAGCCTTTTCGCTAACCTAGCGTACCAACGTGTTGCCACTATAGGCTTTCTTTTCGGCGCGCCCTAGGTAACTGTACCCGACACTCACCGATCGGCCATCGACCTCGCCAACTATCTGTTGTCTTCCTCTAGCTGCACGATAAGGCATGTGAGAAGGTCTGCCAAGCACTTTGTCCTTTTTCACTAGGCGAACAAAGTATGAGATGGCCGTCCACCTCGATGGTCACAACTCGATATCGTGTGGCATCCAACCTCGAAGGCTTCGGGGCTGGCGATGGCTGCCTTAATAAGAGGGACGCCACACTGAGCAGGCTACTTCAACGGTGACTAGTAGGCCCCCCTGGATCGGTGCTCAGCGAGGAAAAGCGGTGACAGAATTGGAATGCACTTTACACTGCTCGCGGCTAGCGCGAACGACACTTCACTACGACCGAACTTCGGCCCATAGCTCTCGAAGCGAAAACTCAACAGGCCAGCTGGACGTAACCTTGGGTCAGTATGTCGCTCTAATGTCGTCACCTAGCTGAGGTCCTTAGACCCAGCGCATTACAGAGCAATCATGTCTAGCTCTGTGAGCGTCTCACTGCAAGAAGAATCTTGTTTGGTTGATCGCACGAATGTGCGATCGCAGCTAAGAGTTTCTAAACTGAGAAAATTACAGCCCTACCATGCATCGTGTGCGGGACGATAATCCTAAAGTGGAGTTACTCTTCGAGAAGACAGCGCCAGGTACCTCTACCTGTTACTACGGTCGCGACGACGGACTAACCTGGCCACTGTATGCTTGGTTGGCGGGAAATCATTCCGCTTTGGCTCAGCAAGCATGCCAATCTTTTATCAAGGCCTCGAAAAAGTATAGCGCACGCCTCCATGCAGACCCCTGCCCCATGGCCATTGGTTGTGTAACTCTGGGAACCACTCGAAGACGAGAATAACAACAGTTGATGTGCTTCCTGCAGTGGTGGACCGTGCTTCGGACCCGTGTGCCGGTAGCAAGCTGTGTGAACATGCAGCTCAAGCTAACTTCTGCACGTATTCCCGCTGGAAGCCACATTTTCAGGGTCTGCCGTGGCCGTTGAATTTAGTCGTGGGCAGAATTGCATGACAGAACCACCCCTGTCAAGCCACTTGCCGCCATCTCATGTGACTGACGCGGTTCCGACGGAGAGATACGCGACGTCCCCACGGTGTATAAGATCTCACCTTGCCCACCGTTGTGTAAGCCGTCTCCACCACATAAGTATCTTATCTTGAAGCAACAAACCACTTGCACGTCATACCATCAGTGGCCGTCAATATAGACCTAGTGAGAGAGAACATCAACACTCGTCTCTACAAACGTTTTCGCGAGCACACAGACGTATCGACTCCTGTCCTCACTCTTATACAATTGTAAATCGAGAGCGATGGATTCTCAATCATTCGATTACTGGATGGCACAAGGCAACTATATCGCACCACCACACCAGACAGCCATATTCGAGATGCCTCCAGATCTCTCTAAAGTTCCGAGTCTGAGTGGATCACCTGTTAGTATCATGATTGTGTCTTCAAAACTTGTCAACTAATCTTCCAAAGGTCTCTTCTACATACGACCAGTTTCCTGCACATATCCACCAAGCTTACTACCCTCACATCGTCGACGAACCCATGCACTTTGGATCATATCCCATGCCCATGACCCCCTCGGATTTTGGCTCAGAGCATGATAGCCCATATTGCAGTCCGAGACCACTACAGCACACTGAACCTACTTTCGGAACTACCCACACACCTGCACCAGCGGAACGAACCCACACTACTTCGGGAGTATGTATATCCTACTCTACATACACAAGCTCGAACTAACGTGCGAATAGCGCCGAAGAGCTCAGAATCGCGCCGCCCAACGTGCGTTTCGAGAGCGCAAAGAAAAGCACGCCAGAGATCTTGAAGCCCAGCTCTCCATCCTAAACGACAAGTACACCAAGCTCGAAACATCGCACACGGAACTCAATGCTGCCTATGAAAAGCTCCGAAGGACAATCGAGCTTCTCACACAGGACGACGATGCGGAGGGTGAAGACGAAGAAGGAACAATCGCCCGTAGACGAGGGAGCAATTCCGACACCCTCCGCAAGCTCCTGGATATATTGCATGGAGAGTTCAAGGGAACGGCACCGGTGAAAACAGAAGTATCCTAGTCCGCGGACATTCAACATGGGGTAACAGATTTCCATGGTTCTTACTTCGCTTCTTGTCTATAGCCTTTTTGCTTTTGCGTTAAAGCCAGCGGTCATTGGACGATGTGTTTAAGGCGCCCTTTGTGGCGATATTTGCTTTTCCCTTTGTGATCTGGCACCTATCATGAGCTTCTGAGCTACTAGTTTGTTAGCAAGCGAGCTGACCATTGCAGTCGGCTACATCTTCACTATACGTTCATGACTGACGAAGCTACGGCCGATCTATCTATATAGTACATAATACCAACTCGTAAACCACCATATATCTGAGTCATGAATATTGTGAGCTTCTCCCTCTTGAATCCGTGCATAGTCTACGTATGGAGAACGAAAGTATGAATGTCTGCCTTCTGTGAGAGTACAGTTCCAGCCCCCACATTCCCCCATATTCCCAACAAGATCAGTTGCAATGCCGATATAGGAAGCCGGCCCGTCATCAGCAGCCCCCTTCTCCACACATCTCCGCAATGCCACCAATAAACGTTTCAGCAGCTCCGGTCGGAGTACGCTCATTCTGACCAGCCCCCAAATCTGACTGTGGTATACATGGGCTAACAACGAATGGGGAAACCTTGACGGCGACCCTAAAGGTAGCTAAGTTGGTGGCATCCAATGAGCCGAAATGAGGCGGTAGGGAAGTGCTCATCTGATAGGCTTCGGTGTAGAGTAACGCAATAATTGTAGCACATGTAGTAACATATAGAATTCCGTTCTATCTCCGTATTAACAACTTCCTAACACGACAATGGACTGTGTGTGAGTTGGACAAAATCCGAGGAGAGACGTGAAGTATGAGAGGGACGAAGTAGCGCGGGACAGGTACCTGGATGGTCGGCCCGCCATGAATGCTGTTGCACGTGCATTACCTTTCACCGCGGAAGGACCGTCTTCCTCGAGTCTGGAGGCAAGTGCGATGGTAATTTGCATCCAATATCCACACATTGAGAAGCTCTAGCTATCCAGATAATGTGATGTATCAGGGATGTTCCTGACCTGTGACCCACCAAGCAAGTACACCCGTTAAAGATAACGCCTCAAAGGCTTGGCTACCCACAGCCATGCTATTGGGACGTATTGTATATCCCACCTTACCGAAGCTGGCTATGCTAGTAGATCATTCCGATATGCGCTTTCGAGACGCTAGCACAAAAAATAGAGCGAACAGGCGAGAAGATGTAAAGAAGGCGCGACGCGAGAGTGACCTCGTAAATGCAGGTCATTCCACGCAACGGCTGAAGGCGCACCACGCCAGCCCGCCAACCGCTTGCATTCCAGCGTCTTTCTTGCCCCACCATCATGTGCATTGAAAATCCGTCAAAGCTAGACAACACGGGGAAGGCGAAGAGGTAAGAATAGACGATGCGATCGGGACTCACAGCCTGTATCTGTACTATTCGCTTCTTTACGGACTGGTCTCGCGAGGCTTTTGACCTAAGAAAGCTTGATTGTTACCCTGTTCACATTTCACGAGACGGACGTTGCCGCTTGTGTCACCCAAAAATAGGTTCTTCCGGACGATACGACCTCGCTAATTTAGTAGTGGGCATGACGACATTGCTAGCTAGGTAGATTTATTGTTCGATGAGTCTTTGAGACGACTCATCTAGATGCCACGAATTCATAGGTACTGCCATGTTGGCTCCAGCATTTGACATCTTTCCACAACCATTCCATAATCCTACTCGTCAGAACACCAACAGTTGTAGGGTACCATCACAACACTAGTGACATCTGCACTCATACAGACACAAATGGCTAAATCATTACGTAGCATCTATCATCTGACTCGGTTGAACGTTTGGCCTAGAGAGAAGGTGAAACTCCATCTACACCGGTGACCCTATCTTGCCAAATGGCAATTACTGTATATCCTCATTTTACCCTATGACGTAAAGCCAGACTCCAAAAACTCCATGTTTCAGATCGTTTCTCATGACCAACGGGCCGACTCGCTAAGATAAACTTTGACCATCATAGAATGACACTATCAGCATGCAATGTTGCTCGCAGTTGCACTCGTGCCCTGACCTTCTGGTGCTGCCACGAAGTCGTCGCCTGTGAGTGCTCTACTGAACATTAGACAAGCCGTCTCGAGTTGTCCGCCAGCCGTGCCATAGTATCCTGCCGGCACCACGACGTTCTCTGCCCAGTATGCTGTCTTGCACTCGACATGATATCCGTAGCCGTAACATTGCTGGAGGCACTGTTGTGCCATGGCAGTTGTGTTTGATGTGTAGGAAGGGTAGTAAGAGCTGTATAGAATATCGTCGTGGGCAGCTGGTGCTGGCACGTAAGACGTGTTTGGATCGGTGGGCAGAGGATCCGTAACGGTGCAGTTCGAAGGTATAGGCGTGATCGCGGGCCCGCCTGCTCGAGCAACGATATTGGATGTGGGTAGCGCGGAGGCCAACGAGCAGAAGGCTGCGGCGAGAATAGCGGCTGAGGTGTGCAACATCGCGGCGGGGTCAACAACTGTTAGAGATTGTTTAGATGTCGAAGTAAATGTATGTGATAGCGGTTCCTATCGCTTGTGAATGATCTCGCAGTTTTAGAAGCGCTGAATACTATATAAGTATTCTTGCGCCTCGTTGATTGATGCCTGTTGGTGTGATGTCAATGTGGGTAGCTGGTAGGGCCAACCTCCTCGTCAGCGCATTCAGCCCCAGCGCTGTGCGTCTATCGTTATTTAGCCTACCAAAGATCGCCGCCCATAACCACCTCTAATGCGACTATACCAAGCAACCCTGACTTGTGCTTCCCTAGCAAGGGGACGATGTAACGAGCATAGCTGTCTGCAATACTTCAAAGATGCCGCGTTGTCCGCGATGATGTCAAGGGCACCGGCGCTGTGATACCGCCCCAACAAGGTTGGGAAAGACGCGGGGATATCCTGGAACGGCAATCTATGTCGCATCCTAGTTGGTGATAGAATGTCTCAGACTTGATGCTGCGCGCTTTGTGTTGTTGATAGAACTAATGCAGTGCGAGGATAGAGAAGACCAGATCCGTGGAAAGAAGTGGTACCACCAACATCAGAGCCAAGGTGATCCACGTCCACTAACGGAGAGTAATTCGAGACAACTACCATTATCACACAACCATGATGCTCTTGATGTTTATGGTGTTCGTCAAATCAACCTACTGAGCTATTTTAATGCCTAATAGAGAAGGGTTGCTGCTTTGGAACAAGATGAATAGAAAGCATGCGGGTGGTGACGACACGATTCCAGACTATGAAATGGCGCCTCACACCATCTGAAACATGTCAAAGCTGCTCACAGTACTCTGTATTACAACGACCAACACGTCACAAACCATGGCTGCTCCATCCAACAAATCCCTACAGTCCTTATCGGGTAAATGGCAACTAAACAAAGCCTGTTCCGATGACTTTGCATCAGTCCTCGCGCTCCAAGGCGTAAACCTTCTAGTCCGCAAGACAGCCACCGCAGCATCTATCCATCTCAAAATCAGTCAACCAGACGATCAACATATCAAGATGGCGCAGTCGATAACTAGCGGCAAAATCCCTGGTACTACAGAGGATTATACCTTGGACTACGAGTGGCGCACCAACCAGGATGGTTTCTTCGGTGAGGTATCAGGAAGAAGTCGATGGGTCAGTGTCGAAGAGGGGAGGAAGACGGGCGTAGTTGGCGAGGGCGACGGTGAATGGATTGAAGGGGATAGCGAGGGAAAGTTGATTCATGCGGAGGGGAAGAAGCAGGGTGAATGGGAGGCTAGCCACCTTTGGGGCTTTGAGATGGTTGATGGGGAGAGAAGGCATACGAGACGTGTAAGGGTTAGCAATGAGAAGGGTGAAGAGTTGAGAGTGAGGATGGTCTACGACTTTGTTGGCGAATAGCTTGTCTGATTGTTAGGTCAAATGTTTGAAACCACGAATTAGGCTATATGAAAAAGAGTAAAGATTAAACCAAAAGCCAACGTCCGTGAGGACTGCCGTGTATGATGTACGATGTGTCCATTATCTACACCTACCTTGGCAATACGCTGATGTCATTTCAAGTCCACTTTTCGAATCGCCAATAATGAACGAACTGAATTTATGATCCGGGCCCTACTCTTCTTGTTACGACGGTATCCTGCGCGAAGGTAGTGTTCCCTCCATCTCTCCACATTCATCATTTCCAACCACTTAATCCCGCCCAGGGGTCGTTCCCGTTCTGACCCTGTCCTTGTGCCGGTCGCTGCTGGTTCGCGTATCCCCCGGGTCCATTTGGATAGCCTCCTTGGCTGAAGTGACTATAATCTTGCTGATATTGACTTGGCGGCGGTCCCGGTGGAGGTGGCGGTGGAACATAACCCTGTGGCAGATTATTCTGAGGTGCACCACCCCACTGTTGCTGCTGGTTTGAAGGAGGTTGACCCCATGGCTGATGTGGTTGGTGTTGTGCAGGCGGTGGAGAGAAGAATTGCTGGTGTGCTGGTGGTGAGGTGGGGTTGTATTGGTTGTGAATCGCGGGGTTATAAGCCGAAGAGCTCTGCGAGTTCTGCGTTTGATGCGTGGGATATTGCTGTCCATAGCTCTCCCGTCGTGGGGGTTGCTGCTGGTTGTAGCCGTTCGAGGGTTGGCCATAGGATTGCTGTGGCGACATGAACTGTTGGCTTGGGCCTGTGGTCATTGGATAGCGTGGCGTAACAGGTGGTGAAGCTGCAGGATTATACGCCGGATGGCTAGCTCCTGATGTTGACGGATAACCAGGTGTTGAGGAAAGCGGAGGTGGTATGCTCTTCTTACGGCCTCCACCTTGTGATACAGGTGAGCCTGAAGGTTCCAGTGACATCCTCTCCATTAGTTCCTTCATTCTTTGTTGTTCCTGATCTGCGCCTTGTGCCTTGTTGCGCTCCTCGATCTTAGTCAGGAGCTGTCCACCCTCACTGCGTCTGTTATTCACAAAAGTTTCAACATTCTTCTGTAGGCTTAACACTGTGTCCTTCATCTCCGAATAAAAGGTTTGAGCGCGCGACAATCCAGCAACAAGATCATTGAAGCTTTGGTATACTCTGCGATATTTGGTCATGACAATGTTTCGTTGTCTTGAAAAGGCCTCATATTTGCTTTGCTCAGATCGCACACGCTTGTCTTTGAGTAAATCCGAGTAAGTTCGAGTGAGCTCTTTCAGGAATGAAGCTTGTTTATGGTTGGCCTGTAGTATGCGATTCTGGTGGGGCCTGAATTTCTCCAGCTCAGCTTTAAACAATTGCGACTCCTGGTTCGCAATGGCTTTTTTGTTCAGAATTAGTACATTAGAGATGTCATCAGAGTGAACCTGTCAAAGTCAATACATGGCATACTCGAGCGTCGATGATCACATACCTTGTCTTTGAGGTCCTTGAGTATCTGCGTCCTCTCCTTCTTGACAAGGTTCAGCTTCCGCAAGATATCTTCAACAGCCGCAATCTGATCCGTTACCGATGGGCCCTCATCAATGTCATCATCGATGAGATTGCCTTCAGTGGGCCTAGGGCTTTTGCCCTTACTTGCGCCTGCTTTGACCATAGCTCTTGAGTACAATACATCGGCTTCATCCGTTTCGCCAGCCGATCGCATCTCGTCAAAGTCGGCTTCACATTGCCTAAATGTGTTGTATAATTGTGCGTCGCTGGTGCTCGCCTCTTGAACGGCACCCCGATAATTTCTGATATCGTCTCGCAGGGTGGACGTTAACCGAGAGCTAGGCTGCTGTGTCCAGTCAGGTCCGTATTTGGACCTCATCTTCTCACAGACACTCTCTTCCATGTCTAGTTGTTTCATGCTGGCATCAAGTGAACTCAGTATCTCCGACTTGTCCCTATCCAGTTGCTCAAACGCAGGACCGAACGATTGGTGTCCAGCGAGCTCTTCGCACCACATTCGGAATTCGTTGTCGACATGGTTGTCTTGGTCCATACCTCCTCGCAGTACATTCAGACTGTCAGGTAATTTCAGGTAGTCCAGGCTAGCGGCCATCTCATCGTTGGCGACCTCGACACGCTCACTCTCGGCGCGTATTAGCTTAGCTTTCTCCTCGTCGTACAAACTGGCTGATTCAGTGACTGCGAGTGGGACAATCTTCTGGAAGATGTCTGGACCGATGATTCTCTGAATGTCCTGTCCCTGGTATAACTCGCTGACGGGTATCGCCTTGGCCGCAGGCATTTTCGGCACTGGCGTCAAGGCCGCTTCATTCGGAATACCTTGATGGTATATAAAGTCGTTGTCTTTGGAAAATTCTGCCAACTTTTCCTGAACGTTGGCCAAATGTTTCTTCGTCATCTCTGCTAATATTCCCCCAGTCTCCGAGGTCAGATTCGAGTTTGCCGGCGCGTTATTCGGGAAGCCGTGAGCTGCTCGATTGGCGTCTTTGGCATGCGTTTCGGCGACTTGTAGTCTGCAGATGGCTACACCGTGGGTGTTCGCATCGTCGTCGGCCAGAGCCTGATAGTACTGGGCTAGCGAAGCCATGTGATGCGATTTGATCTGCGAGACGGTCAGTTTCCAATTGCAAAAGTTACTGTGATGTTCTTACCTGGCAAACCAAAAGCCAGACCTTCTCAAACACGGCATTTGTGACGTTTTCCTGCGCACCTTCCGTTGCCTGTGTATACAAAAACGCGGCCTGACTCGCAAGTTTTGCCAACAAGCCGACCTTCTTGCCGTCAGCAATCTGCTTCTCCAGAAACACCTCTTGCGCTTGTGCCAGCATAATCGCTATCAGTGTCTTGACTGTCTCGCGGCTAAGGTCGGTCGACGGTGCGTGTAAGAAGTTCTCGTTGATGTATGTGAACATGCCGGCCGAGGCTTGGAACGAATGGTATGAGGTCTTGAGCCCGACATCCTCGTGGCGGTTCTGGTGTGCGGCATGGCAAGATAGGACGGCAGAGATGTTGAAAATGATGCTAGCTTTTTCATATGCGAGGGAGTACTGAGAGGTAGGTTTATGCGTGAAGGCATCGAACCTGGCAATCGTTAGTCTTACTTGTCCTCTTGCTTACTTTGCCCCTATCTACCCTCTGCCTCTGCCCTCTGCTCCATTCAACCTAACTATCGGTTCGGGACGTACCATGTGAAACTGATCTTGATGTGGTTCTCGTCCACGGGGAATCTCAAGTCCAGGAGTTCGAGCTGCCCGTAGTATCTGTAGAGTAGATCTCGGCCCGCTGCACTGTCCTTGCCGGCTCCTCGCATGTCTTGACGCAAGCGGTTCAGCGTTCCACATTCCTCATTGTAGCGCTCTGGGTCGTCGCCATATGTGGCGCGTATGTATTGCTTCAGCGGGGTTATCCAGTCAATCTCGCTCGTCTGCTTCAGCGGCACCGAGATCATGGGTATCTGCGTCGTCATGGTGGGCGGTGTTTGCGCTGAGGAGGCCGCCGCTGGGCGCGCTTTCTGGAGAGGTATCGCCGCGAGGGTTGGTCCTTGGGCGTGCGGGTGTGGTGATCGGCGACAATGGCGTAGGCGACAACGTGGGAAGTAGGCTGTCGTGGGCCTCGGAGGATACGCTAGGGCGGTAGCTGGCAATCCTTCTGCCTAGTTCTCGTGTATGAATACAGTGAATGTCTTTGGGGGGCGGCAGCAGAGCGATCACGCAGCAGATGGCGTTGAAAGTAGGGATATGCACAGCGGCACGATGCGCTGGTCGGGTGGCTGTTCACCGAATCAAGCGTTCGCAGGGAAACAGCCGCATGAGGCACAGTCTAGTCAATCCGGGTCCTGGGAACGATTGTCGTGCGGCGCAGGCGACGCTTAAAAGTCTACGTGGTAACGATACAGACGATGTCTGGTGCTGACGGTGAGCTCGGAGGGTGCGAGCGAGGTTGGTGGGGAAGACGCAGGCACATGCATAAGCAACACCAGAGCCGCGACTTCCTCATCCACACCCGCCTATCATGCCTCAGGCACGCCACGAGAATCAGACCGCTATCGATATGTGACTCTTCAACCTCGTCACACTGTCGCGACAATCTATGGCAACCTCAAAGCCAACCCCAGCTGTGCGGCTCGCGTCGACCAATTACCATGCAAGGAGGTCGAATCTGGCCCTCGTTACGCGCCCGCGATATTGGCTACAGAGCTAGTCAAGCATCTCAAGAACACTGCAAAACTATGCCCTTCTTGGGTGATCATGAACAGCGTAATATTATACAAGCCCTGAGTCGAGAGGCCAAATACGGATACTTCTATACACCATGTCCAAGCCATCGTCATATACGCCATCAAATGCTTTCAATCGTCTTGCTGCAAACATGAAAACATGAGTCGCATGAGTCGTCCTGTACGCCGGCCCTGTTATACAACACCTCACAACTTCTCCACATGCTCAGCCAGACCCTTTCTTCTTCTCGTCTTCTTCCGCCTTTCTCCGCTCCTCTGGATCCAGGTGCTTGTGCTGTCCCGTGAGGTTGTGCCATGCGCTCTTCAGGAAGCCCTCATTCGAGTGGTCGTCTCCTACGCTGTTCCCATGTTCATCCTTCATCTTCCCGGGGTTGATGACGCGTTGCGCGCTCTTGTCTCCCATTTCGTCCGCTAGCATCTCAAGAATTGTCCGCTGGTTGACACTGAGATACTTGGGCATGTTGACCTTGAACTCAACACGCAGATCGCCCTTGCCGCCACGTCGGCCCGAGAGCACCTTCATGCCCATGCCAGAAAGTGTGATGCGGTCGCCGGTTCCAGATCCAGTAGGAACCTTGACTTTGACTTCGCCGTCTAGCGTGGGGACTTTGATCTCTCCTCCGAGGACAGCAGTGGTGAATGGAATGGTAGCGGTATGAAGGATATCAGAGCCATTGCGCTTGAACTTCGAGTCATTTGCTACGCGAATCAGGACGTAGAGATCTCCCTTCTGGCCGCGGACGGAGCCAGAAGACATGGCGTGACCTGTCAGCGGTGCATCTCCTTCGCCATTAACGCGCAACCGCATGCCGTCCTCTACGCCACCAGGTATGTCGATAGTGATGGTTTTCCGGTCTTTGACTGCTCCATCGCCGCCGCAAGTGCCACAAGACGAGCCTCTAGGTATCGCGAATCCGGATCCTCCGCAAGATGAACAGGTTGCGCTCATATGGAAGCCACCCATGCTCGTCACCCTTTGTCCGGTACCTCCACAGCTCTTACATTCTGCTCTCTTAGCACCCTGCTTCAGACCACTGCCACTACATGTCCCGCACTCTGCCATGGGGCTAATGTGAATGTCCTTCTTGACGCCCTTGGCCGCATCCAAAAATGAGATGTTTGTTTGCACTTCGATGTTGTCGCCCACCATGATTTCTTCTTCAAAGGGATTCCTTCTCCCACCTCCCCCTCTTCCTCGTCGCCCACCCGTGAATGCTCCAAACAAGTCTTCGAAATTGATATCCTGGAATCCTCCCGCACCTTGAGCACCACCAAACCCGCCGAAACCGCCGAAACCTCCTCCGAACGGGTTTCCTCCTGGTCCTCCCGCACTGGCCCCGGGGTTGAAGCCGCCGTTTGCATCGAAAGCACCGGCTCCGTACGAATCAAAGGCCTTCTTCTTCTCAGCGTCCGAGAGAACTTCGTATGCGGATTGTGCGGCAGCGAATTTCTCCTTCGCACCGGCGTCTTTGTTTGTGTCGGGGTGGTACTTTTTCGCCATACCATAGTAGGCCTTTTTTATGTCGGCAGCGGATGCATCTCTACTGACGCCGAGTGTCTTGTACGGGTCGGCCATGGCCAAGGACGGGGAAGAGGCGTGGAAGAACTGTGCATAGCGTATTAGTATCTACAGTTGGAAGGGCACGGATGAGAACACATACCCGTATTGACTGCGCATTGTGGACTTGCTGCTTCTGTGCGATAGAAGGTCTCCGCGATTGTGTTCTTGAGGCCTGCGTCGCTATACATCGTCGTTGACATTTGGCGAAAGATCTCGAGCCAGCAATGCGTACAGGAGCCACCGCCTTGAGCGGCATCGGACCAGCAAAACTCATCTTGAAATGATCTGGGGAGGGCAATGGGTATGTTGATGCTGCTTATCGCTCTCCGCTTCGCCCAGTGATGTATAAGCCGATAATTGACAACTTTTTGCGGGCACGGGCCGGTGACGCACCGTCATTGGTCACCCTCGGTAAAGAGCGCGTCGAAGCTTCGAGAGTTTACCACGACGCGACTGCCGCTCACGGAAAAGCCGGGGCAGACAAACGAGCGGATGCATATATTACGGCTGGTCTTTCCAGTTCATGCCATTGGTTTTGCTATTTACCTTCGGTTCGTTGTGCGGGAGGCGCATGGCAAACGTGCTATGAACTTGATGCGCCTGCGGCGCATCCGTAGCCTCGAGCCCAAATCTCAGCATTACCAAATACTCATTATTGATAACCCTCATGCTTGTATATGCCATGCTTCACGTTGTGTGTCTAGACCAGACCGATCCCGCGCGGCCAACCCGAGCCATGATGCATAACCATTCCCTAATCATTAATGCCCAGTATCCCAAACTCCTGTTCAATGCTTGTAATCCGTATGTAAAAGTGGTGGCTATCGTGCCAAAGAGGGGTATCGTCGAAGAAAGTCGGAAATACAGCGATGTGTATGCGCGGAGTGACCCAGTCACTTCCTTTGAGGAGCGAATCGTACTCTAAACTCATTGTCTGGTATGTAGATCAGCAAAGGAAATGTGCCGGCCCGTGTCTGGACGCCTTACCTTGGTGTTTCGACTTGTACAGCCAGTCGACAATCACGTCACTCTCGGTGACAGCCTGAGAGTTGAAGCTCTTTTTGACAGCCATGCCGAGCTGGTCCTTGTGAACACGTCGTTTCCCCTTCGGTCGTGCCATGGTCGGAGACATTCGTCCAATGCCCTGGTTCAGTACGACGTGGCTGAGCGGGTTCTTGAAGCTGGAAGGGCAGTCGAGGCGATAGGCTCTTCGGTAGCCTTGGAGGACAGACGGGTCTTGCGACGACCATTTGATCTATTGCAGAGGTGATGCGTCAGCGACCGCGAATGTATGTGTGCAGGTAGTGAGGACAAGGGCGCGACGAACGTTTCCTGACGAGCTGAGATCGGTAGAAGTCTGGCCGCTGTGGGTAGACGCATTGTCTACTTCTTTCAGAGTACTGCCATTTGCGACATTCGGCCCACCGTTACGACGGCCGCCCCGCGCGTTGGAGCCCTGGAGGTTCTGCAGTTTGTCCTTGAGTGAGGTGTGCGCCTCGTCGTGAGCATGAGTGCGTTTTGGGGGCATGGTGGTGGACCAATGGCGTGTTGCGACGACAAGTGGAATGTGTTGGCGGTTGCTCTGGAGCTTGTCAGGGTCCCTCAGGGTTTCGCGAAGATGAGCCTACGGTGGTCGTGTACTGATCGCCAGCGAGATGGAGAGCAAAATGACGGGCAAGGCCCAAGCGCGCAATGACGTTGGCGCGCTTCTCGGTCAGGGTCCTCCTTTCCCTTCCCCTGCATTAGGCCAAGCTACTACGAGCTCCTTCCAATCTCGACGTGTTATCTATCACACGATGTGCCGTTTACTAGAGTGTCTGCGCTTCCGACTGTTTTGGCGATACACCTAGGTGCCATCTCCTACTTCACGCTGTGTCGCGTATGTCGCGTGCCGCGGCTTCCCCACTATCCCGGTCGCTCGCGTAGTGCATCCCCAAATGGCGGTGCGAGGCACTTGTCAATACACGGAGACTTGCTGCCTTGCAGACAGAGCTCGACGGTGTACATGGCCAGAAAATACCCCCTAGGCTTGACCATGACACAGGACCGTGCAGTTCTAGTGCTGAGGTGTGAAGTTGACTCGAGAGAGACGCGCTATGGGAGGTAAGGCACTCCATCCATCTCAGCACATGGCAGTACATCAGGGGATAGAGAGACGGTATGCATCAATTTTCGGGATGCGCATTCCGACATGACATTCATCGACCTCGTAAGCGCGGGGTACCAAGAGCCAGGAACTGGAACCACGATAAGCGAAAGGCCACGGAGCGAGAGAAATTTGCCGGCGTCGTTGTGAGTGGTTGTCAGAGTATAGACAAAGAGCAGTCGTCAACTTGAGTCGGTGAGACCTCGGGAGCCGGACACCCGCGTCTTGCGATTAGCTCACTTCGATGCCCAGCAGGTACCAATGCGTAGGCATCAAATCTGGCCAGCCGTGATCTCGAGGAAGGAGCTGCAGCACGGGAAAGCTAGTGCCAGAGCCTAACCGTGGCGGCGGCAGGTACGCGATACGTGCGTGCCTGTTACATACTGAACGACACGATGAGAGCCTCACATCAGATGCTACAAGACGTGATCAATGCCAGATTCGACCATGGCGATAGACCAAGCCTGCGATAATTCCTAGTCTAATCACAGAACAGAAGACGGGTCACCCACCTCCACAGGGTGATTCCGAATGCCTAGTAACATGCCATCAGCGCCATACACGAGGGCCATACTGATGTTCCTGGGGGGACAAACTTTACTTCATGCTTGTCAGCAAACTTCACTATCGATACATGTGACAGCGTCCATTGTTCTCTCACTCGAGGCAGCACGGAAGGTGCCGCCTTACCACCGCCTCTATACTCTCACTTGCAGCCTATATAAGCAAGTCCTCTGAGGTTTCCCACCGTCTCTTCTTCTATCTCCCTCCCATTGCTATCTCTGCTTCATTTATTCAAGTACGTCTTACTTACTCACGGCTTCTCACGACCTTGGACCACTATCTCACGGTGAGACTCCGACCATTATTCCCTTACACTCATTGTAGGCTCACACTGTATTGCAGTCCAGATAGTTCCAGATCATCACAGACTCACAAGTCGCCTTGGTTTGGAGTGGTCCAGTAATCTCGAGGTACAATGTCTGACCGTGATCCAGTCCTCCACGGTCCGTACTCTCCACAGTACATGATGAACCCTACGGCCAACAACTTCGCTCCAACCCGTCCTCTGCAGAACGGCACGGCCAGCCAGGTGAGCAGCCCTTCCTCATCATACCTGGAGGCACGGGTTCTCAATTTGGAGGAGGGACATGCAAGCTTGCTCGAGGATGTCAATGATCTTCGAGAACTACACCACGACCTCTCCTCCGTCGACAAGCTAAAGAAAGGTGGTTGGCCAGTACGTGTTGGCCCGTTTCAAGAAGTGGATGCAAAGACATCACACCAGGAAGCTGTACAACTCCGGGCAGAGTTGGAAAGCCTCAAAGACGAGGTACACGGATCTGTGAATGGCAGCGCTGACGTGCAAAAGGCGAATAGTATGGCCTCCTCCAAGATGAATGGCAGTACGCCTCCCCATCTCAGAGCTGCTAGTGTGACCAGTGGCGGTACAGTCAAGAGTTCGCTGCCTCCACATTTGCGTGGCAAGAAAGCAGAACCCAGCAATGACGGCAGGTGAGTCTACCGCGTACAAGCGTGAAAATACTTGACACATCGTGCTTTATTCGGAACTGACCGTGATGCAGTACCAAGGAACAGATCGTGGCCCGCAACCCTCAGAACCATGCCACTAGCAACGTTCAGACCGATGTAGCAGTCAAGCAAATTCCTATGCCAGCGCCAACTCCACCCGTCTCACCAAAGACGGTTGTTCAGGATCAAGCATTGTCCCTCGAACGCATTTCCTTGAACCGAGCTTGGAAGCCCTACCATCTTACAACTTTGGACGCCTTCTCAGGTCCAATTCTTCCAGGTAACACTACCGTCACATTCCATCCTGACTTCCTTGCCAATATCCTTGGCGGATCTTCTTGGTCATCGGGCCTATGCTTTGTCAAAGGCAAGGGTCCATGTATCCTCAAGAACCGCACGTACTACCAGCTAGACCCGCAGAATGAACCATACCTTCCCGAGGCGCCTGGAGACCATGGTGCAAAGCTCACTGCCTTCTTCAATAAGGCCCCGGAGGAAGAGTTTGCGGATCTACTTGGTGACGACTCCAACTCATACGAGAATGTACCCATGTTTGTTCTGGTCGACAAGCGTTACATGTACTATGGAAACTATTCCCAGACACGGTGGTCTGATAAGTTGGACTATGACACCATGACAGCTAGGGTACCTCAGCACGTTAAGAACTACTGGGCTGAGGAGCTCACTTCGACAACGCGCGAGGAGTGGGTTACAGAAGAGCTCAAAAAGCATTTCTTTCGCAAGCCCGAGTACGAAGGCCGTCTTTATGCTGCCCCAGACCACGAAACCACTATCGATTCTCATACAGAGATCGAGTTAACCGAGAAGATGGCTAAAGACGTGCGCAAGTACGTTGAACAACTTCGTGAGTGGGAGCGTGAGGCCAACATGAAGACCGCCATGATCAAAAAGCAGTCTATTCTCAAGGCTTTCGATGCGGTAAGTTGCATGGAGGTGCAGACAGCGTGGAAGCTAATCAAATACAGTCTGATATGGATGAGGAGCCTGCACTTCGCCTCTGGTGGGAATACCTTGAGTGTGTCGACTGGAGGAAGGACTTCTACGACCTCCTTGTTACACTTCAAGGGCGCAACCCTGGAAGCTATCTACAGTAGTCTGGCTTGCGTATGCTTGATTGGATAAAGAGGTTGCTGGTCATGGAGAGCGTGCACCAGGTCGGATTTTGCGGTGGGTATAAATCTGGGGTCGTTGAACTCATCTATCTCTGCGACACTGCAAGCGGCACATACGGTGGATCTACCAGTCTCTGCCGAGGTAAATGGGTGGGTCTGCATGGCACCTGATTCAAGATCTTGTGTCTTTCGCCATTCTACTTTTTGCTTTCCTTCATTTGGTTACCGAACTATCTCAGAACCACCACTATGGCGTTTGGGGAACCAAGTAGTGCATGAAAGTCATTTCCTATCATGTTGTCTCTTCGCACGGTACTCTCCTCCAGCTGGGTTGCCATTTGAGTAAGTCCGGCAATAACCAAGTTGTTTCTAACTTACCAGAAGCCTTAATTAAGCTTTGAGCGCCACTCCGTCTCCGAGAGATGCTTTCGGACCTGGAACTCGGATCTGTCTTCATTTTTCGACCCTCTGCTCAACGTAGGATGGCACCCCACGCATACCAATGCTTATCCGACGATGGGCATCATTGCATGGCGCTATTGAACACTATACCGTCTTGTCAGGCGACCAAGTTAAGTGACAGTCTGCCCGATACCTCGGTCGCACGATCTTACCTACCTCCACCGGTGACGAGGACATCAGCTACCGAAGCATTGTATGTTCTGAATATATTCGGTTCACCGTTCAGTCTTCCTCGCTCAGACAAGCCATCGCACCCTGGAATGACATGGGATGTTCCCACAGCCAAGCTTACCAACCAGGTTTCCATCTCGCTCAGCATGGTCTGCAAATCTGCACGTGCAATGAATACTGTCGCAACGCGCATAAGCGATTTTATAACTCTTCGGTAAACGGCCTCCGAATCGGTACTTCTTACAAGTTTGTGCGTAATCAGTCTTGCCTATGTTTTACAGGAACAGTAGTTCGTTGATGTCCATCACCAGCTTTGTCTTGAGTCAAATCCCAGACAACCATGCGACTCAAGCCCTGGACTTCACCTAGGCGGTCTCCACAGTCAACCAAGCATCGAGCATCTCTGATTCAAGACTTTTTCAAATTATAGATGACCCACACCCTCATATACCAAGCATCGAAGTCATGGGCACAAGCTACCGATGTCCCCGCGAATTTTGACCTCCGGCTATTAACATCCCTGCGAACTTCATCTATATACACCCACAACGGCTGCTTTCTCCGTCAGACTACCCAAAAAGCCTCACTCATCTCCCAGCATCATTGGTCGACCAAAAAGATTAATTGTTCTTCCCCAGATCTAGCCCGGTAACACGAGCTTCTCCCTAGACCGAGGCGCCATGCGGCTGTGGCAAACCGAGCACGCGGTCTAGCAGTAGACATCAATCTATGGCACATGTGGAGATTTGCTTCCGCTACATGACTGAATACCCGGTCTTGTCACGCGGTACACGCTAGTATGGCTTGCAGGGGCAGACGAAGTGTATATGAGATGATGCACTCTCGGTCTGTACGACTTCTGGTCTTCTCACGCAGCCAAACAAAATATCCTTCATCTCTACTCAATAATATCGAAAGGCAACATGAAGTTCTTTACAGTCTTCACAGGAGTTGCTTCGCTGATAGCGACCGCAACCGCACATGGTGGAGTCGATCAGTATATTGTGGGAGATACAACATATGAAGGGTAACGATCTTATCATGTCTGTTTATTGCGTACTCTAACAAGTTCAAGATGGTCGCCCTACAACTCGGCTGCGGGTCAAAAGACAATTCAGCGACAGTACTCAAGTTACGATCCTATGTACATCAAAGATCTTTCTGTAAGACTTTGCACGAAGGTGGACCAAGCAGAAGCTAACACTCCATAGACAGTCAACATCCGTTGCAACAACAAGGGCACGCTCGGTACAGGCGTGTCAGGTACCATTGCCGCTGGCGCAAAGTTGAAGACACACTGGAAGCAATGGACTCATAGGCCGACTTCACTTCTCGTATACATGGCGAAATGTCCAGGATCTTGTGACAGCTTTGATGGAGCAGGCAAGGTCTGGTGTACGTGTCAGTTCTCCCTTAGATGTACAACGTTGCTCACGTAACTACAGTCAAGATATTCGAGCAAGGTCTTATATCCGGCACTGAGAACGCAGGAATCTGGGCGGGTGATGCCATCCTTGACACTCTATATGCCACGGTCACCATTCCAGCCACACTCGCAGCGGGTAACTACCTGATCCGACATGAACTCATCGCCGTCCATCAGGCGAACAATCCACAGTGTAAGCTTCTTATTCGATGCACTTGCATCACAACATTAGCTGACACCCGCTAGTCTATCCTGAATGCGCTCAGTTCACCGTGACAGGTTCTGGCACAGCCTCCCCTCCGTCATCTGCGCTCGTGTCTTTCCCTGGTGCATACACCGGAACAGAACCCGGAATCGCTTTCAACATCGACTCTCCCGAAGCTATGAAGGCAACCACATACCCTATTCCAGGCCCTGCTGTCTGGGATGGTACGGGGAATGCTCCTGCTCCAGCGTCGTCTGCTGCACCAACAGCTCAACCAGCAACCCCTACTACTTTGATAACCAGTACAGCTGCTGCACCGACTGCATCGGCTGCTCCTATATGCGAAGTAGCAAAGTATGCGCAGTGTGGCGGTATGACGTACAGTGGATGCACGAACTGTGCGAGTGGATCAACATGCAAGGCGAACGGTGACTACTACAGTCAGTGTGTTTAGGCCTGACAGCTCGTATGATGAATTCCCGTTATTACTAGCATAAGTTGCAGCGCGCTTGCATTATTTAGATACCAGGACGCCTAATCGGAAGCGGGATGATAGGTAGCGTCTTGGCAGGGGCTTGTCGTTCTTCCAAATCCACGGGTTTGCCACCGTTACTCATGTCACCACGCTGTTGTCCCAGCTGCGGGTGTGCCCGCTGTCCATTTTAATACATTCAAATTTGCTTTCGAATTCATCAACTTTCTAACTACCTAGAGCCATAACCTTTGCGAGTACGGCGTCGTCACTCGGTCCATCCCCTTTGATGGTTGCATACGCTGGCGCGAGCACGGATTTCTCGATTTCCGTGTATTTACCATCGCAGACAAAGATGAGATCTCCGCGGCGAGACTTGTCCGCCATCAAATATGCGGCAGCCCGGGCAACCACTGCGGTAGACTGGCAGTTCTCTGAGACAGCATCTAGAAGGCCCTTCAAATTGGGCAAGACTTGAGTTGCTGTCCATGAAGGGGCGAGTGTGTTGACACGGATAGGCAGACCAGCAGCTTCCACCAAAAGGGCGAAACTCCTACCGAAGCCTAGAACACCCGCTTTAGCCGTCGCTGAGTCGCGTTGTCAGTTAGAGATCTACATATGATCGGCGAACCTGTTACTCACAATAATCAACTGCTCGGACGGGATGCAAGCCGGTGCTGGACCCCATGATGACAATAGATCCACCCTCGGCCTGGTCCTTCATGTAATGAGTAGCAAGCGTAACGGTCTTGACCACGCTGTCCAGGTTGATATCTAGGGTGTCCTCATTTGGTTCCTTTGGATCGCCGTTTTCGTCGATGTCAAGAGCCAGATAGTTCGCCCTTGGTCCAATGCCGGCATTGGCGAATACAAAGTCAACTCGACCATGCTTTTCTTTCGCGGATTTGAAAAGTTTCGTAAGATCGTTCCAGCGCCTGACATCGATTTGGACGAAGTGACAATCAGCCACAGACGCCGGTGGTGCTTGAATATCGCCAACGACAACTAGTGCGCCTAGAGAGACCAATAGCTCAGCTGTGGCGAGGCCGATGCCTGATGACCCACCTACGACGATGTCAGTACTTTGGTTCTCGAAGCTTATTTGACGGGGTCGTAATACCGGTCACGACGGCAACTTTGCCCTGGAAGCCTGTTAGGTCAGAGTCTTGGATCTGGAAGGATGTCATGGCGAAATTAGGTATGATGAAAGTAGACGAATGGAAGTTCAAACGAAAACCAGAAAGGGAGAGGGTAATATGCAGACATATCGGGCCCCCTGCACATCAGAGCGTATCGGCTCAAGCTCATGCTAGAGTGCACTGATTTGGAACAGTCAACGACTGAATGTGAGGCTGCCGGGATTCTAGGCCTAGAAACATCACCTCAAACAAGATCTGGGAAGCCTCCGGAGATTTACAGGGAAGACAACAAACCCGGAAAGGTCTTCCAGACGGGGCCCGTTTTTTTATCGCAGGGAAGGATGCGGCTCGTGGTAAGCGAGCCGTGGCCCAGGAGCCATAAAATCGATGTCAAGCCAAGCGTCTTTGCCTGCCCAGCAATTAGTCAGAGGCTGCACTTCAACGGCAGCAGACCAGCCCGAACAATTGTCCAACTTTTCCCGGCGTCTTGGCTGAGAACGAACGTATCCTACTCACGTAATCTGTGTAAGGCCGATGCTGGAACAAAGCTCAGGGTTGTAGAAGCTGCAAGACCCACTTTAACTGGCAACGGCCCGACAGGAAAAGAAAATCACGCGACCCATGTATCGTGTACGTACATAGAGCATGGTAAGGGGTCAACCACGCTTCAACGGCTTTTCTGTCTTTGAAGCCAATCGCAGGATAGCACAAGAAGGCTCCTTCCATGCAAGCAGCTCCTGTCACGTCGCGGCCCGTGATGGACCATGCGTAAAGAAAGCTAGACTTCCGCACAGCAGGGTCTCGAAGAGAATGTCGGACCATCCGGCATTGATAGACCAAACACTACCACGTTGGTAGGTTCCGCGGCTAAGTGACACATTAGATCCCATACAGACGAAGCTCCTTCCGTCTAGCGCCCGTGGCCTAACATTTCGACACGAGGCCCTGTTCGCACGGCTCACAGTTCAGGACATGCATCGACCGAAAAGCGGCAACCTCCTATGGCACAACATGGTAGAGATGAAACGTCCAATATATGTCGTCCGACGAGCTGCCCCAAGCTGCCCCAGGATCTCTTGTTCTTCACCTGCTTGCTTCGTTTCGAGTCTTTAATCTGTTTATCATTATTGCGTGGGGAGTATGACGACTGTTGAGGTAGCTAGAGATGGAGTGGCATTGTTGTATTGCGCGATCATATTGCTCGTGTTGAGTTGGGTCGTTTTCTCCATGCGAGTCGGAGTTCGGGTATGGAGAAAAGCGTGGGGTATGGATGACTACCTTATGTTTGTTGGAGTTGTAAGAATTGGACACCACCAGTATGTGATACGCAGGCTGATAGCTTATTACAGATTCTATTCTCAGTCACGGCCTCTCTTTGCATAGTCTGCTGTTTCTATGGCTCCGGGCAGTTTGCACGGGAGCTGCCACCCGTAACAATATCCAAGGGGACAAAGGTAGATACATCCTTTACACAAAGTTCTACTGGGACCCAAACTGACGTCTACCAGCTCTTCTATATCGCGGAGTATTTCTATGCTGTCAGCGCCATGTTCGTTAAGATCAGTGTTGCAGTGGCGCTTCTCCGTATCGCCGCCAATCGTCAATTCTTCACATGGGGTCTGCGGGCTCTTATTGGGGCTACTATCGTTGCAGCTCTTGTTTTCTGTATAGGTATCGCAAATATCTGTGGGTCAACTTGCTCTATATGGGGTACATAACGTTGCTAACGACCCGACTAGGTCATCCTATCAACACTCTCTGGGGCGAGTCAAACGGCACCTGCAACCTGCAGCTCAACACGAACGTCAGTCTGTTCTATTCAGCCATCGAAATTGCAGCAGACTTCAGTCTCTCAATCATGCCTGCGATCCTGCTTTGGAATGTTCAGATGAAGGGGGCTGTCAAGGCTTCAGTGGCTGTGATGCTAGCGCTCGCTTCTTTGTAGGGCATCCAGCACCCCTCACGCTACGTGGCCAACAACTAACTTGACTCAGTGCATCGTGCGCCACCATCGTGCGTCTCAAGTACCTCACGCTTTACAGTGACCCTGGCGAGTTCATGTACAGTACGGGCAAAATCGGCTTCTGGTCTCTGACCGAAGTAGGCATCGGCCTCATCGCCGGCTCACTGCCTCCTCTTCGCCCTCTCCTCTCCCTTCGCATCAGGGTATCCGCAGGCTCTAATACACCTGCCGCATCCAGTGGAAGAGCATACCAATCGGGGACGAACGGCAGGCAGCCCACCTTGCGCTCGCGTGGGATAGCTATGGACACATTCCAGACTTTGGGTGACAATGATGACGCTGATCATAGCGACGGCGACTCGCAGAAGAACATTATCAAGGAGACTAAGTTCACTGTAACATCAACAATTGCCGGAGGCCATGGAAACCCTGGGTCAGTGTCTTGGGACCGTAAGGAGGGAAGCCATGTCTGAGACTATGTGCCTACAATCAAAGGAAAACCGAACGAAGTCGAAGAACCAAAGGCTTTGAACAGTTTAACGAACATGCGCCACCCAATGTTCCCTATATTCTGAACGTAATCGTGGAAGGCTCCCATCATGCTGTATTCTCCGTAGACCCACAATCCATTAACGTTCTGGGAGGCTGCGGAGAAGTACTGCACTACCCGAGAATAGAAGGCAGTTTAAGCTCATCGTTTATCTCCCGATATACCCCACGCTTGTAAGATAGTCATAAACGTTGACGCCACCGTTCAATCAGTATACTTCGGTTCAGTTGCTTGTAAGGTGGTCTGTTGGGCGGCCGAGTCAAGAGCGGCATACGCGTAGTCATAGTTGGAAAAAAATCTGCCCAAGCAACAGCTGCTGGCCATTCTACAGAGATCGGGCGTGTGGGGCGTGTAGACAATCTGTTACTGGGCAAAACATACACACAGTCTTGGCGATAAATTCTCTTGAATTGCCCAAAGGGGTTAGCAGGCATGTTAAAGTTGAGTTGTTGACTACCGTGAATTGTCGCGAAGGTCACATGAACGCGTGTAAGGCGTCTATTTTCGGAGATAAACGACAAGCGGTGCGTACTAGCTACGTCAGGCCGTTTCAAGCCGAACCCCTCCGCATTATACTCCACGGCGCTCGAGCGTAGCACTACCATCACAACGATACATAATGAAGACAACTACCTTTCTTAGAGCCGGCGTACCAGCTTCCCGCAGTCTTGCATCCTCTTTCCCACGACCCGTCCGAACGAATCTACGAACGTTTACTACTACACGACAAGCGTCCTCCGACATGGATACAGCGGCATTCGGCGAACAACACATTGCAAAGGGCATTGGCCGCCTCACAAAGCATGTCTTTGAAGATGGCAAGGGCACCTTCATCACCACAGACAAGGGCGTTAAGCTGCTGGACATGACTGCTGGCATCGGAGTCGTGAATCTTGGTCATTGTCACCCGAAGGTCAGTGCCGCTGCAGCGGCACAATGCAACAAGATTACCCACGCCCAAGTCAACATTGGCTTCAGCTCCGCACAGATCGCTCTTCTCAAAGAGCTGATTCCAATCCTCCCGCACGAATCACTCGATACCGTCTTCTTCTGGAATTCGGGTGCTGAGGCGGTTGAAGCCGCCGTTAAACTGGCTCGTGCCGCGACGAAGAAGCCCAACATCATCGTCATGCAAGGCTCCTACCATGGCCGCACAAACGCCACTGCATCGATGACGAGATCAAAGACTATCTATGGTGAGGGTCATGGCCCACTAATGGGCGGCGTCTTCGCGTCTGCGTTCCCATACTATAGCCAGTTTGGCCTCCCACCAGACACACCAAAGGACCAGCTCGTGAGCCAGGCACTGCTTCAGTTGAGGCTTACTCTGCAGCAGCAAACGTCTCCGGCAGACACCGCTGCTGTAATCCTGGAGCCTGTTCTGGGTGAGGGAGGCTACGTCCCCGCCCCTCCAGAGTTCCTACATGGTGTCAGGCAAATATGCGACGAGCACAATGTCCTTTTCATCGCCGACGAAGTCCAATCTGGTATGGGTCGTACGGGACACCAGTGGTTTGTCCAAGAGTCGGGCGTACGGCCAGACATTCTTGTCTTCGCAAAGGGCATTGCCAATGGGTTCCCTCTATCTGGTATCGCCAGCAGCAAGAAGCTCATGGATCTCCAGAAACCCGGATCGATGGGTGGAACATATGCGGGCAACGCAGTCGCATGCGCCGCCGCGACAGCAACAATCAAAGCCTTCCACGAGGAAAAGATTCTAGATAACGTCGCTGCACGCTCCAAGCAAATATTCTCATTCCTCAATGATCTTAAGTCTTCTGGGACTAAGGCCGGCAATTTGATCGAAGATGTTCGTGGATCAGGTCTCATGGTCGGTGTGCAGTTCGCGAACCCGGAGCTACAACGCGACTCGTCAAACACCGCCGCGCGTAATGGTCAGAGTCAGCCGCAGATAGCACCCAAGATTGTACAGGAGTGTGTCAAGCGAGACATGCTTCTTCTCAGTACCTCCGTGTTCGACGTACTGAGATTCATCCCACCACTCACAATCAGCGAGGAGGAATTGAGCCAGGCTTGCAACATCTTCAAGGAGTCTCTAGAGGCTGTTGCGAAGGAGATGTAACTTTCATTGGCTAAGTAACGCGATACATGTCATTTCGAAATGTTAGGAACTGTAAAGTTAGCATATACATATACCCTTTTTTGCGCTCTAATGCGCTACTTGTCAACGAGCATCCGCATGGTTACCTTGTGTTGTTAGCTTGGACAATGTGATGGAGCTGTGACCGGGAGGATCGCTCTGTCATGCCGCCTCGCGTTCGTTGTTCTGAAGGCCGAGCACCAATCAGCGTCATCAATGTCAGCCACTGCCAAAAGCGGACGAACGATGTGCCGGCTCGCGCGCTCGCTGCGTGCAACACCATGCGAACTTGCAATGCTTTGATGATGCCTTAACATTATACCTCACATAACGGGCCCTTATAAGACATGCAGAAGTTACCCAATTTCCAATATCGACAACAGTCAAAGTCACGCTTTCTTCGCCTCAACCTCATCATCTAATACTTTATCAACCATCCATGGCTCTCAGAAGAGTTCTTGTCACGGGTGCAACTGGCAAGCAAGGTGGCTCGGTCGTAGATGCCTTACTGAGAGCGAACCCACCCTACGAGATCCTAGCCCTTACGCGGGATGCTCAATCTTCATCATCCAAGAAGCTTCAGCAAAAGTCTCCGAACATCAAGCTAGTCACTGGAAACCTTGATGCGGTCGATGAGATATTTGAGACAGCCAGAAAATCGACGCAGGCACCAATCTGGGGGGTCTACAGCGTTCAGGTAAGCGCGCTTCAAAGATTGACCATTGGGCTTTGCTAAATAGTCCCACAGGCCCTTGGCAAGAACGAAGAGAAACAAGGCAAAGACCTTGTGGATGCCTCTATCAAGAATGGGGTATCTCACTTCATTTTCTCCTCTGCGGACCGCGGAGGTGCAAACTCGGACACAGATCCGACAGTAGTCCCACACTTCATCACGAAGCACAACATCGAGCAGCACCTCTTCTTTAAGGCCAAAAAAAGTGGCATGACGTACACGGTCCTGCGTCCTGTAGCTTTCTTTGAAAACTTGACACCAAATTTCTTTGGCAAGGTCTTCACCACGAGTTGGGCGATCAAGATGCCTAGGGAAAAGAAGTTGCAATTAATTGGCACGAGTGACATTGGGTTCTTCGCTGCTCAAGCGTTTCTCAAGAATGACGATCCAGTATACAAGAACAAGAGCATATCGCTAGCGAGCGAGGCATTGTCCTTTCAGCAGTTCAAAGAAACGTTCGAGAAGAAGACGGGAGAGAAGCTTCCGATGACTTATCGATTTGTTGCCGGCGCGTTGTGCTGGATGTCGAAAGAGCTTGGATATATGTTCAATTGGTTCCGTGACGTGGGATTTGGTGCAGATGTTGAGGGATGTAAGAAGATGAATCCGGGGATGAAGGATTTTGCGACTTGGCTTGAGACGGAAAGCGCGTGGAAGAAGGGCTGAGAGGGGCCAGCTGATAGGAGGAAGTGAAAACCGGATTGGGCAGGGACTTGTAATCATAGACTTTCGTGAGCAATCATACATTATTGGGGCATCTCCAACCGTGGGACCAGAGCGAAGAAATACTGTGTGATCCATCTTCCATCTAGTTCAAAGTCTTGACGTCTCTCGTCCAGCTATCCTTAGCCCTTCCTCTCCATCAACAAGCACACACCACCCCTCTCCTCCTCTTCCGCCATTGCCACCAATCGCCGCCTCAAAGTTAGCTCGCGCATACTCCAGAACCTCTGCATCAAAGCTCCCAGGCTGCAGCCATACCGCGGGAATACCTGCCTCTTTCGCCTCTTTAAGCAACTGCCTTGTAACGGCAGGTGGCGTGATGACCGATAGAGAATAATTTGATGCTGGTGGATCTTGCAGAGCGAGTGGTGAAGGCACAGTGGTATGAGCACGGTTTAATATTGTGACACTCGGGCTTTTTGGGTTCAGTGGCGTCGCAGGAAGAGAGTGCTGGAGATACCACGCGAAGACTGTAGCATCTCGTCAGATATGATATAGGAAAGGTACGACAGGAAGAACAGATGTTGGCATACTTTTGTGTCCGTATTTATACGGATCTGAAGAAGCGCCGGCTACTGCGAAGCGTGGGCTTGAGAAAAAGAGTTTCAGTGCTGCCTCCATCTCCGCATCGCGCTTTTGGCCTCGTGTTGTTGGCATGTGAAGCTCTTATCTTTCAATAGAGTTTGTTATTTCGCAGTGGTTTTGAGGGCTGGTTTGTAATAGTGCAGCATGCCTAGACGTTTTATCGATAACGTCCTAAGTAACCGAGGCACGCGTCATGTCGTCATCCGCACGCGATCCGTGGTGTCGCGCCTTTGCTTTCCAGAATCATCATCAACATGGGTAGGCTAAGTATATCGTCCATGAATTTGTTGAGACTTCTCTCATTCGTACGAGCTGTCCTAGAAAATCAAGTATCTACGTGTAAACTAACATACTCCAGCTGCGAAACGATGCGATAGCTCCAAGGAAATGCGTGGGAGCTCTACACTTAATAGGGACTCCTGCGCCGAGTCGTTCCTTTGCTCCTCTGACACCCTCTTCTCATCTCCCTGACCCTCTGCGTGCTTCACGTCTTTTGGAACTCTGATCTCTCCAGGAGCTCGGAGTACTGGATGCTTCCCGTCAGAGATGTCGATTACAGCCAGAAGATCGCCTTTTCGTGTTCGCGGATAGTCGTCGCATGCGCCCTCCCACTGCCCAGCGCCAATAGCCTCATGTGCAAGCCGCTGGAGCTGCAACGTATCGCTTGTAACCCATTCGATACTGGCAAACGGGTTTTTGTACCTTTGCACACGCGCAGTAACGGTTGGTAGGCAAGCCGAGACGAGCATTATAAGGCTACCAAGGGAGAATATCAAGATAAGGCCGAGCACATTGAACGAAGTATAGGAATCGCTCCGAATCTTCTGGTTGCTACAGATCGCTCGCGCTCCGGGAGACGTAGGCGGTGAGTGGAATGATCGAGCTTCTGGTACAACTGGACCAGTCGCTTGATCAACTATCGCCCGTTGTAGATCGGCCATGGTGAACTTGAACCAATGTTCAAGTTCAAGTTCCCACTGATTATCAGGTAGGCCATCTTGCCCGAATTGAGACACGTAGTCACTTGCTAGGAGAGATCCGCCTCTTAAGACCATGCTGATTTCAGTGAAACCTCCAGCCATATTTTGTATGGCAGCTAGAGACCAGAGAAATCGATCGATGTCTTTGGATTGCGAAAACACTGTTGCAGGGGCAGATCTTGCTGCTTCGAATATACCCATCAATGGCGTGCAGCTTTCATTGTGGTTTAAAGAAGGGTTGCAAAATTGGTACTGCTGTACGCACGCTAGCGCCTTCACCGGCTGATTGCTTTGGTAGTAGGTGATATTCCCGTAACTCGTGGAACGGCTGAAGGGACCCTCTTCAGCGGCAAACCACGGATCGACGACAGGCGTAGAGTAAACGATATCGTTCGTCTCAAGGAAGAAGACACTTACATCGGCATCAGAGACTGAAAGTTCAGGGATAGGTTGCCATGAGTCATGGGATTGAAGGTTGTCTTCAACGAGTACGTCATAACGTGTGGTTAAACTTGACCAAGGTGTCAGTGACGAGACATGCCTTTCCATTAGCTATACTCACGAGATACCGTACTCACTGCGGGCTGTTCTTGGTCCTCCTTCCCCAAGACGCACAACATCGAACTGCCTAGTACACCCGGATTGGTCCTCTCCACATATCACCGGATCGTTTCCGTACAGAAACTGGACATTCCGTGGTCTCGCTGATGTGTTCCACTTCATATAACCCTCGTCTTTTATCGGAGCGCATTCGTTCACAGTTCGATAAAGGAATCTTGAGGATGGCTGCGAATTGATACCTAGGTCGCGGTGACTATCCAAGAATCCAGAATACAGACGGAGGGCAGATTCCGGTGAACGACATATCCGATCATTTCCTGGGAAAGGACAGGGGTTGCCCTTTGTGATCGTTATCGGAAGGGTATCCCGGACAAAAGTGCGACATTTCTCTGCCGACCTGGACTTCCCATAGCAATTTGCTTCATAGTTGGCGCTCGATCTAATTCGACTAGCAAGATATGATTGTGACGAGCGGATGTTTTGTGTTGTGAAAAGCGATCCGTTTAGCGTAGCGCATTTGTCGCCTACGACAAGAACCTCACTGCCTCTCGATGTAGCAACTCGTGAAGAAAACACTCCAGCGGTAGTGAAGGCGCAGAAAGTTGCTAAGCTCATGACTAGCGGCAGCGAGACAGATTTGAGCATGGCCAATGGCACAACTCTGCGCCAGGTCCAAGACATCCTTGACAGCCTCCATAGCGCTGCTGTGCTTGTGTCTGAGTTTCGAAGTATCGCTTGTTGTTGGTGGTACAACGCACTCTGGGGTGCCTTCCTGCTCATCTTTTGGTGGATAGAAAATGAAATGATTGCCCAGAAACATGTTCCAGTAAAGGTCACCTGAATTTAGTGAACGAAGTTAGCATGTGTAAGAACATGGCTCATATAAGGGATTTACTTACGAAAAGCGCGAGAAAAGCAATAAGCAAGCCGCCGTTTTGCAGGGTGGTCGTGAGTGTGAGCCCGGCAACAGAGCCATGAGACCAATTCGTCCAGATTCCAAGATATACCGACTCATGCTCAGACTCCATGGCAACAATCTTGACTTGTTTTGTAGAAGCACTAACGGCTCTCTATATGATGGCTAACGGAACCGACATTTCTCTGGGGCTGGACTCGAGGCATCTCATATATCCATGTAGAACGTACGTACAAACAAGATTGTCATATTGATAGATAAAGAAGCATACCGTAGACCCCAAGAAAGGAAGGGCCGAAGGTGACGAGGCGCAGCATAGTGTGATTTTCCAATGAGCCTATCACGACAACCCGTGAGGGTGGAGACGATAGACTTATGCATTTAGGTGGTGGGGGCGGAAAAGACCACGAGATACCCAGGAAGGTAAGTGAGCTCACAAGGCTAAGTGGCGAAAGTATTGCAATTACCCCCGCGTCGAGCGACAGTGCTACACAATGCGATATCCACATCGGATACAATTCGATTATGTGGCAGAAGGCTCTACATCCATCACAGAAGTTGTTGAAGAGAAATTAAGAACCTTGGTAGGGCAGTAATCGAAAGTAATTGCGAGGCGGGTCAGCCTTATCATAGTATGCAGTGTAATGCAAGATCTTTCGAGCTATAGCCCAACAGATTGCTACTCGTGGAGTCAAGTATACAATGGAGGATGAACTTAACATAGCTAGGTGTCAGTAAGATAGCTGCAGATTAAGGACATTGGCATAGCAGACTTGGCCTACTTGGATCACAAATCAACAGTGCGAGACGGACTTGAGTCGATATTATTAGACACCACTAAGGTTGTGTGACCTACGATGGCCAATCATGTTGTAGGTGTCAGATCTACCAAGACTGCACGCCATCCTTGTTAATGACTTTTCCGCTATCATCGTCTCTCTTTCCTTCAACAACATCCTTGATAAAGCCACCACCAATGCTTGGATCGCCCGCACCCCATCTTTTCATCATTTCCGGCCCCGCACCCCCCAGTCCTGTAGCTAAAAACCCGGGGCTGATACCGAATACCTTGACACCATCCACGCCAAGAGTTTTCGCCCAGTGCAGCATCAGCATGTTCAGGGCAGTCTTGCTAGAGCGGTATGCTGTTTGAGCCATAGATGGTGGTTTAGGCCAGCCCTTTGGCGGTGGCGTATTGAGGAGCTTGGAGTCAAAACTGCCGGAGCAATTTTCTAGAGAGGACAGACCAGAGGTAACGAAGATAAGCCTAGGATTAGAGGAGGCGATCAAGAGGGGTGCAAAGACATGCGTCATCACATGGGTGGAGGTTGTGTTAAGAGAGTAGGCTTTATTCCAAGCTGCGCGGATGCCCTTGGAGCTAGGATCTTCGCGCATGATGCCGTCGAATGATCCACCTACCATGAATCAGGTTATCATCTCGACGGAGAAAAGGAAGAAAATTACCGGCATTATTGACCAAAGTATCGACCCGTCCATACTTGCTCTCGACCTCTCCGAACGCTTTCTCAATAGATGCATCGTCTTCAATGTCGATTTGGATAGGTACGAGCTCCGACTTAGACCCTGAGACCTCGTTTTTAAGCCTGGAAATGGACTCGTTGGCCTTTTCCAGAGAACGACTGCCCATCAAGATGGTGTGCGGATGTGGCGAGGCATAGAGAGCCTTGACGCTTTCGTAGCCGATACCGGTATTGCCGCCGGTGATAAGAACGATTGGTGAGTCGGTCATTTTGGTCGAGAGGTTGCAAGCTTGTGCAATGAGTTCTGAAGGTGTCACCTGGGCAAGCTTTGTAGAGAGTATGTCATTATGATCCCGAGGTCTTCTCGTGCTGTTGACGATTTTCCCCACCCGGAGCTAAATCCCCCGCATTACCGACGACCATAGCAGATAACAACAACACATTGCTTCGAAAGTCATGTACTTCTTGGAGTGCCACTGGTGTTCAGGCGCAACTCGAGTGATGTTGTTCGACAAGCACGATATGTCTGTTGTGACCTACGCCATAGAAGAAGAGATGGTGATGCTGGTGCCGGAAATGGACATTGGTCGTTTAATGATCTTCAATACGGTGCTTGACGGGCTTTTTGGTCTTGGAAACGGCCATCTACGTGCTTTTAAACCCATCCCTCTGATTAAGAACACTCCGAGATTATGTAGTGAATTGTTCGTGGATGTTTTCTCTATTCCCCGCTCGCTACTAAAGATAATCTTATAGTTCCCTGCTAGAGAAAGTCTCAAGGAGAGCATACATAGTACAAAAGTTTCAACCGCGGGCGCATACAGTATATTTGATATGGAAATGAAGGTACAACATAATCCCTGTTGTATGGAAGAAAGTGCACTAACTAAAGAAACAGTAGAATTCCAACTGCCCACTCCCAAATATCATCACTCAGGCTGGTGGTTTCCGTCGTTATTAAAATTGCTGATGAAAACGACCAGTACTGCGCAATATGCCGCACTAGCTCCGAAGAGTTCATGCCGCTTCGCCTTTGTCACAAGTGACATGGCTGCCGAGAATAGAAGCGTGAAGACAACCAGGATACCAACAGCGTCAAAAGTAGAATTGCGGTCACCGACCGAAGTCAGCTGGTACATAGCCACGACCGGCAAGACTAATAAGACAAATATCATAACAGTGATGATCAGCCCAACAAGCTTCTCGATACGTGACTGTGAGTAGTAAAATGTGCACTTGTCGCTGGTCTTTTCGCGAAGCTCCTTGGTCGCGAACATTTTCTGCGTATGTTAGGCTCGAGAATGTGGTATGGACAGTCTTGGCTTACCTGAGTAAGACGACAATGCACTCTACGAAGGCACGATTCGATAAAACCGTCGAAACCTGACCATTCTCGGCCATGTCGAAGTGACACGAGGTCTTCCTTACGCATTATGAACTCTTCTTCAGAGTCGTTAGTCAGTGGTTTCACGTTATAGAACCACGTCCGAAAGTTGCGGTAATCACGCTTCGATGGACGTTGGAACGCGTTAAGGTCGCGTGCTTTGGACAGTATCTCGTCTGCCATAGCATTAGTTGTAGAGCCTGAAATCTGTGTGATATGTCATACCATAGTTCACGAGTTTACATCTGATCTCGTTGATGATGTGCGCACGCTTGCTCGTAGTCTTTGCTCTTTTGGCCTGCACAAGATCTCCGCTTCGAGACCGTAATGGCTTCTCGTTACCGTTCTTAGAATCGATCAAGTCCATGTCTGTGAGGCCTTTCTCTAGACAGCGGAGCTCGTCCTGAAGCTCCAAGATAACGCGAGAATGCAGGTAGTTGAATCCACGATAAATCGACCAGCTCGGCTCACTCGATTGGAATGCTGCTTGACGGGGATAACCTTCTGGATAATCTTCTACTGCTATGAAATTAGTTATATAGAAGGCTTATAAAACTATGGTTTACGTACACGGTATTGTTTTGGTCTCCATGATCTCGCGTTCGATTTCAGCTGCCGTGGGCTTGGCTTTTGTAACGCTCTTACCCGTCTCATTATGCGTGAAGTCATGCCGATTTGTCTCTTTCAGGGCTAAGGTCGTTGCTCGGCTATTGCCATCAATGGAAGCTTCGCCGAAGCTCTGTGGGCTCTGAACAATTCCCTTTTCCGCATCAGAGATATCAAAAGTGGGCATGTTTGCTTGTTCCATTGTGAGGTCTGTACTCATATAGACGAACTGGCAGAAAGACAAAAGAATCTCGTCGCACGCACATAAATGATCTGGAAAATCAGAATGAGAAGGCTCAAGCAACTCGCAATGGGGAGATGAGCCGATACTCTTGTAGTGAGAACGATATAGAAGGCTGAGAATGCCAAGACGTCGTAACTTCGAGCTGTTGTGGGTGATTTGTGATAGGTTGCCCAATGGCAATTTCGGAACGCAACCCAAAAGGAGACTCTGAGCCCCTCATTGATCATTTACGAGATCTTTTCCTGGGAATAATTTGCCTTCTTCCCAAGATGAATTGGTGACAGGATCTTTCAGCTCATACATCCAACGGCTGCCTACAAATTGGGAACGAGCCACATGAAAAGTCTTGTGATGCGTATTTCCTGACACTGTAACCATCATTTTGACTGGATCATCTTTCTCATATTCTGGCTGCCGCTGGCCAGAATCATTAGTCTGAGCACTAAGCTTGCGCGAAAAGAACCTTCACTCACATCCGCAGGAGTATCACTAGTTTGAACAGTTGTCTTGCTTCGCTCGTTATCGGAAAGATCTTTCTGTACGAGGCAAAGCACGACCGGTCAGTGGTAGGCTCATCAGCTGGCGATGGGGGTGGGGCCCATGTGGTCTTACCTGGTCCGGCATCGAGGAGATTTTATTCGCAGAGGGGCTATGAGTACACGACCTTCTTCGTTTATTTGCTGCGATACAAGTGCCTAAGGCCTCGAGGCGGACTAGCAGGCTTACTTGAGCCCTTTATCTGTTCAAGCTTGCAGCATGCTTCAGCCGAATTGCAATCCCGCTAGCCCCACAAACAGACGCACCGTACCGTATTGGACTTTTAAGCCTCAACTATGCCGGTTGATCGGACGGATGACCTAGTTCACTACAGTAATGGAGGGTCGGGTTCTCTTCTCATTGGGATGATCTCGTTTGTGGCGCCGTGTGCAGGACAAACGTCAGGGGTCAAGAGCCAACCAAAAAGGAGGCAAGAACTGCGCAAGCTATCAGGCAAACAGCCCTCTAGCATGTTGATTACCTGTGTTAGAAAAAAAGCAAAGCTATGCAGTTGTGACAGCACAGCCACATGGAGGACGATGGTTTTGAGATTTCACGGCCTGTCGTGAGACTTCAAAAACAGGACCCGTCCCCTAATGGCCGCTCTACATACCTCAGGTCGCACAATTGCTCGTCATGACAAACCAACAAAAGCCAGCTACCAGGCTGGGCCAACAAGGCGACTCGGTAGCCTTCCGCAGTTCTTCTCCAGCGAAAGTGTCCCGAAGGAATACGCCCGTCATACTAGACGATGCTGCCTCCGCACAGTCTGCCAGAAAGGAAGAGGAAAACATGGAGCGGAAACGAGACGCCGTAAGACAGGCCATATTTCAGGAAGCCTCGGACGAGGCTTTAAACATTCCCCTCGGTTACCTGAAGGTTGCAGTAAAAATCATTCGATGGGACGAAAGTATTGACGATTTCAAGGGTCACACTGAGGAGGTCAGTACGTCGTACCATGGCTTAGCAGCAGTCGCGTTCTTAACTTGGTTTTTAGATTGAGCGACTTCAGCGGATATTCGTGGAATGTTTCGGCTACGAGTGCTCCGTACACTCCATTGAGGATAACAAACGTCCACAGCTCGACATTAACAAAGCGATATTGGATCATGTTCATGCGCACGACGACCCAAATAATTTACTGATCATCTACTACACGGGCCACGGCTCCAGAGATGAGGAAGGGGGATATCTAGAGCTGTCGGCGTAAGTCACTTACCTCAAATACTAGACAAGGATCTAAGAAAATTAGAAAAGAAGACCCCTCGCATATTAGAGCGTCCCGACGACACATGGCGAAAGCAAGCTGGCGCAAAGCGGAGTTGCCAGTTCTGAACGATATGGAGGGCGACGCACTTGTCATATTGGATTGCTGTATGGCGAGTGTAGCAGCCCTCAAGTGCCGAAACGTAGGGTCACGGATCTACCAATTGCTAGCGGCCTCAGCGGAAGAGTCTTTCACATCTGGTCCAGGACCAAAATCTTTCACGACCGCGCTCTGCAACTCTTTGGAAGAATTGCTGGCCGAGAAGAGAGGGCCTTTTCTGTTAACACAGCTCTGCGAAAAGATAAACGAGAAACGAAAGAAGCAGCCATGTCTAACATGGGATCGACTACGGAGCTACAAGCGAACCGTGCAACTCGGGCCTCTACACCAGCATCAGACCCAGGAACGTAAGGCTGCTTTCCAAAAGGATGCTCCGGAGAGAGCGTCGATCAATCTTCGGTTATCGCTCAAGGTCGAAGATCTCGATGAGAACCAGATCAGATATGTTGCACAAGAGATACCTCGCATCTGCCGCGAGGTCAAGGTGGACATTCGACGTATATACTGGGAAGGAATGACAACTAAAAAGCGAACTATGAGCAGTATCATAGAGGCCGATAGCGAGGACGCTTTCAAAGTGCCAATAGATGACCGAGGTGAGGATGGGATCGGGCGTCCTCGTCCGATGATATTTGAGGCTGCTGTACACAGTGTCAACAGAGCTTACAGAGTTCGGAATGCCTTCAGGAGGATGCAGGACAATCGTCGACCAACATGTGAACGTGAGAATGGAGTATTCCAGCTCTTTGCCAGAACATTAATGACGGGTTCCATGGCTCTAGCGTTTGCATTGGTAGGCGCATTGGTCTTCACCGAAACAAAAGAGAGATGCATCTTGTTCGGAGCTGGTGTAGCTATGGTGGTGGCGTATCAGATGCAGCAGCTTGAGCAGTCTCTACAAGGGGATCGACGACGCCGTGGTCTCCGTTAACCACAGGTGTAACCTGTGCGTACCTAGATAGGTGGGAGATGATTGGCGTCTGGGTGATTTTCTCGGTTGCGGAGTTTGTTGGGTCCGTACTGGACGTTTTCTGACCTTTCATCAGTAGCATTATGAGAACTCTCTCCTGCTTTACAATTAGGAATAGAGCTCAACATGACATACAAATACCCGTCTTGGAACAGGATGAGTGTGCTCGGATATTCGTGCATGCGCGTGAACAAGAAGTGGAGCAGATGCGACGCGTGACTTCGTGACGCATGAGTTGCACGCTAACCCGATTACGACAGCTCCACCGCTATCTCCGCATCACCGCGTCAACGACCGATAGGTCTCCAGGCTGCACCTTATCATAGCTCTCACTACCATCTTCCTTATCAGCGAACATGAAGTCAACCACACTGTTGCTACCACTTTACACTGCAGCCTTTGCTGCTGCGGTTTCACATCCCAAGGACCCCCAAGTCGTCTTGCAAGAGCCGCAGCTTACTGTCGTCGAGCCGGATGAGTATCTTATCGAGCTATCACCTGGCGAGACAAGATGGGTCACCGAAGACGAGAAGTGGGAGCTTCGTAAGGTATGGAGAACCATCCAACATCGAGAGATACCCGCGTGATGTACATTTCGAGGCTTGTCGCTGACATGGTCTAGCAAAACATCAACTTCTTCGACATTACGCACAACGAAGAGCTCGGCACGCTCAACCGCCAGTTCAAGACTGAGAGCGTAAAGTTCCCCGAAAAGCCCATTTACAATGAAACCATCGCTCCGCTACTCAAGAAGCTGGAAAAGAACAACATGCGCGAGCATCTCGAGACCTTTACCTCATTCCACACCCGGTACTACAAGTCGAAATACGGTGCAGAGAGCTCGGCATGGCTTCTTGGGCAGGTCGACAAGACTCTCGCCGATGCAGGCGCTGTCAACGCCTCCGTGAAGGCGTTTCCCCACCCTTGGGGCCAATCCTCCATCATTGCCACAATCCCTGGCAAGAGTGATAATACGATTGTCATTGGCGCCCATCAAGACAGCATAAACCTCTTCTTCCCATCTCTCTTGGCTGCCCCAGGAGCCGACGACGACGGCAGCGGTACCGTTACCATCCTCGAAGCATTACGCGTACTGCTCAAGTCGGAGGAGATCCTCAAGGGCGAGGCAGACAACACAATTGAGTTTCACTGGTATTCTGCCGAAGAAGGAGGTCTTTTAGGATCGCAGGCTATCTTCCAGTCTTATGAGAAGGACGCTCGCAAAGTCAAGGCTATGCTTCAGCAGGACATGACTGGTTACGTTCAGAAGACGCTCGATGCAGGCGAGCCAGAGTCTGTTGGTGTCATTACCGACTTCGTTGACCCTGGCCTTACCGAGTTCATCAAGCAGATCATCACTGTCTACTGCGGCATCCCGTATGTCCTGACCAAGTGCGGTTACGCCTGTTCCGATCATGCCAGTGCATCCAAGGCCGGTTACCCATCAGCTTTCGTCATTGAGTCAGACTTCAAGTACAGCGACAACAAGATTCACACAACCGAGGACAAGATTGAGTATCTAAGCTTCGACCACATGCTTCAGCATGCGCGGATGACACTTGCTCTGGCATACGAACTCGCTTTTGCAAAGTTCGAGTAGCGTCGGATAGGATCTAATGAGATCTAAGTTGTACAGTCGACTTGAATGGTTTATTGTCATTGCACGAACAGCCAACGATGTTGTATTTATGAATCAACCTCATGAACAATGCTCAAGAATCGTCGAGCTCTCTATATATATGTGATACATGCATACCTTCAGCACTGTATGTTACAGGATTTGCGCAAAGGAATTATATACTAGCACAATGCCCTGTTGATAGCCGCATGTTCCTTCTATAGCTTCCGTCTCAGTCACCTCTACCCTCTACGTCATCTAATTCGTTACCGTCAGTACTCGTCATCGTCGCAATATTCTAAGTGATTAAAGTTACCATGTCTTCACACAGATCTTGGGTTCCACTCTGGACATCGACACACCCCTTCTCATGCTGCAAAGCCCTGGTTTGTAGGTATCCACGTACATAATTATGGGGTGGTAGTACGTTATCCTGTGCATCATAAACCACAGAATATTCTCATCACGGTACAAACGGCGAATGCTCTGGATGACGAGTTGCTGGTGCGTGCGGCATAGCAAAAGCAGCACGATTAGCCGTTGAGCAAGACTGTCAACAAAAGCGGCATATATAATTCAATGGTAACAACCCATCCGTCTATATGCAGATGCAGTGCGAGTATAAACTCATGTCAAGCCGTATACATGAGTAAAGCAGACTGAACAAGCGAATGTAGAGGATGCGAGGGGTCTCGAGACGAGCTCGAGGTCATGGAGAACTAGACCAAGCCATAGAGTGGTCGCGGCAAAGAGCTGCAGACCTGGCTGTCGTTGTTTCCTGCCTTGAGCTTCGCGCCCTTCAAACCAACGTATGCTTCGCGTCTGGCTGGATTGCCGACAGTAACACTCCACGTCTTCAAGCCATAGTAGACACCGATGTGATGTACGAGCCAGCGTCCAAAGCTGCCACCAACGTCTTCCTCAGGTGTCTCAAAGAGCATGAGCTCTTTCTTAATAGCCTCAGCCTCTGTAGGTGAGCGAAGATCGTTCATCTGTCCGTTCCTTCCAACAAAGACGATCTCGTCGTCTTCGCTGTCTGGATCAGCAGGTAAGCCATCTTGCTCTGCCTTGCGCTCCTTCTCCTCCCAGTCGGCGACGAACTTGCGGACCTCGCCCTCGAGGTCCATGAGAAGACCCTTGGCGCCGCGCGATCGCTTGAGCTTCTCGCGCAGTTCCTTGGGCACGACACCAGGAGTTGTGGGCTTGTTGGCTACGGTCTTGGTCGCAGCCTTTTGAGCGACTGCAGCGGTCTTGCGTTCGTTGGACTGGCGCTTAAGGCCGGCATCCCAGAGGGGAGCAAGATAGTAGGGCACGTTTTTAGCCGTGTAGGTAGGATGAACCTCCCAGTCCTTTGGCAGTGGAGGCTCGGCGTAGGGGTTGTTCAGGAGACGGTCTGTCTAGAAATCAATGGACGCATACTTTCAAGAATGAATTACTTGCAGCGCAAGTGGTGATAACAGGGCCGTATTGTGATGCGCAAAGTGTCATTGAGAGAGGGGGAGGGGGCACCCTCAACGTACCATTCTCCCAACGCTGCCTGCGCCTGGACCCCTCCTTGCCCTTTAGCAGAGCTTCACGCCTCTTCAAGCTGTCGCGGCGAAGTGGTTCTTTGCGACGGTAATAACCACCCTCCTTTGCAGCTGCTGAAGCACCTACGGGCTGTCTGGCAGCTGCAGGCGCATCGTGTTCATCGAGCGGGATCGCAAGCGTAACCGAGGTACCCTGAAGCGCATCTCCAGGGGCAGATATGGCCACAGAACTGAGCGCAACGGTCGCCTGCTCGGTCCACGCTTCAATATCGATGGGTTGAGGTGGGGCAGTTGCCTGCTGGGGGCTTGAGGGAATATCGCCGACGGCCATTGTGGTGGCGTTGAGGGTGTGAACTACGAGAAGAGGAGTATAGATGAAGTCCAAGAGAGAGGAAGTGCTAGTACACTCGGTAAGAAGATGTCTGAATAGGGGACAAGGAGACAGAAGCTCTATTACACACCGAAGATGTGTTCAGGGACAGATGGCGATAAAGGCTGCGGCGCGATAGGAGAGTCATTAGGTCATGGTCGTAGTTCGCGTCGTGCTCGCAAGCCAATCAAGCGGCAAACGTGGGGCAAGCCGCGCATCATGGAGTGAGACAGCAAGAGTCACACGTCTGTGACTGTACGTGCACTCAACGGTGTGTTCGTTCAAGGCCAAAAAAGATGATGAGGTAGTTATTGACGGTTGTGGTTCTCTTGTGTGCTGTATGAGCTAAGTACGAAGCGTACGCAGCCCATCTATCACATGTCATCCGTCGCCTTCCGCTTCTCCAGCTTCTCTTTGAAAGTAACATGAGCAGCTCAACACAAAAACATCATAATTGAATAGCACTACCCGCCAGCCGCATAGAAATCCTCAATATCAACTGGAGTGGTGATTTTGTTGCGCTCGGCAAACTCCTTCCAGTTCAGTGTAGGTTGATGCCACTTGCGAGTCGACACCAAATACTTCTTCCACTGCGTGCTGTTCCCCTTCCCGCGGCGCCTGGATCCCACAAGCGGCCAATCTATCTTCTCGACGCCTCCGCCTCTACCTTGGATTGATAACTGTAGACATTTCGTATACCACTCTGGCAGCCCAGTAATCTCTACGTCCTTGATGCCGCGAAGGTATGCAAGGCTTTCAAGACCGAACATGAACTTTTCTGTGTCTTTGGGAACACAGGAATTTATGGTGCCCCGAACAGTCTTCCCGCAGGCAGATTGAGCTGGCTTTTGTGAAGTAAGCTGGAAATCGACCTTCAGGTCTTCCAATAGAGATTTCTGGTCGCTATCGTCTGCATACTCTTTTAGGATTTCGACAAGGTACTCTAGTCGTGACCGCTGACGCTTGACGGCCCAATGGCTGTTGATATCCGGAACTACCTCGATATGAATGCGTCGCAGATTGCGTAACAATGGGAGTCGATCGGGATGACCAAGAGGTCCGAAGACGAGTGGACTCCGTAGTGACTTTGGCCACATGGTTTGTCCATGGACAGTGAAATTATAGGTATTCAGTCCATACAGAACCGCTGAAACAGTTAACAAAAGTGAATGCAAATATGGTGACAACTTACATAGCGCCTCGTTGGAAACGAACTTGCTCACCCGAAATAGCTGCGTCTCGACCGTGATGTGGTTCCAGCGGCGCACCAATGTGTTTTTGTAGAAGGGGTTTCCACCTATCCTGCTAGGAACGTCTTCACCCTTTCGGATGCCATTTGTGGTCCAGTCAGGCTCGCCGCTCCTCAACCAACCACAATTTTCAAATGTGATGACCATATCATTTGGGATCAAGAAAGAGTACACATGGTATCGGAGCTCCGCCGGAAGATCAAGAAGGCGGAAGTTTGTCATGGTTTCGTAGGCAAGGAGGCTTAGTCCATGTTGAACTTGTAAGAGGTGTCGGTAGTGACCAAAAGTCGAGTGGGTGAACGCAATGAACTCAGCAGGCGAGATGAGCAGGGACAAATAGCAAAGCCCACGTACGCCAAGATCACTTGTTCTACGTAGGCAGCAACGAACTCGCAATGGTGTATTGGAGTGAGCTGGGACGACCGGTGTAGTAGTGGGAGAACATGTATTTGGGCGGCGCGAGTGCCAAAGAGAGCAGTTCAAATAGGGCAGCGGCAGAGACGTGAGATCCAGAAGGCGGCGTGGTGTTGGGGCACAGTTGCAGGCTGCATCGCCAAGCGAGCCTTCCCACTGTTTCCGAAAGTAGTGTTCTGCTCGACGTCAGGCAAGTGTGAAAGGCACGATAGCACATGGGTGAAATGGGGTCAACTACAGAGGAAGGACCTCAAAACCTATCTGTATTATGTCTAAGATGGGCACAAGTTTGTAGAAGGGACAGAGGTCCATCTGTAGTGACGCGAGGCTCAGGCTCGAACGCAGAGGAGGTCATAGCTGGTGACCAGGCATTGAGCGCAGACGCAGTTTGGACAAAGGCTTTCAGACAACGCTCTGTTCGTCTCTTCCGTCCCTCGCCATCTCCTCTGCCAGCCATTCGGCTTCTTCCTGCATCTCTTGGTCGGTCCGGGGCTTGCGGCTATCATTGTCCACCGCAGGGAAGCGCCCCTTCTTTTCTTCTCCTGCGAGATGTGCTTTAGCTGCCTTCTCCCTGTCGGCAAGCTGCTTGCTCAGGTCCGCATCTTCGCTCTCCATCATGCCGTATATAGCATCGGTGCCACCCTTCTCTTCTAAGTCGTCCTTCTTGCGAGGGATGATGTGTGCATGAACATGGGGCACGCTCTGGCCTGCGTCCACGCCGTCTTGTATGGCGATGTTCAGGGACGAGGCACTGAAGACTCGCTCCACCATGCGGGACACCCGCTGCACGGTCAAAAATAGGTCCTGCACTTCGGCGGCGGACAGATCGTTGAAACGCGGCACGATACGGCGCGGCGAGACCAAGACATGACCAGGCAGAAGGGGCTTGAGGTTGACTATGGCAAAGGATAGGCGCGTTACGTGGAAGACCTATGTGCGTATGATTAGCCTGTGTCGTGTGTGGTCTGAATTTGTGGCTGCACCTGGTTCGTCACCACAAAGGTGCCGAACTTGATGACATCCTTTGTGAGCGGCATTCTCCCCGGTTCGTCGCCTCAAGTCGTGTCTAACAGGCGTCGCAAGTACTGAGGCGCCAAGCAGTCTCAACGCAAGGGCGCGCGCGGGCGGCGGCGGCGCGCCGAAGATTGAAACCACACGGAACTTTCCTCGCACCTTCTACTGCGTGCTGCGGTATGCACGCCATACCTCCTTCACCCCACTGCCCTTTAGCGCCGACGCTACACCGGAAACTCGAGGCGAGCAGAGGACCCCGTTCTCGGCCCAATTTCAGCTCCTGTCACATGAGTTGCAGCGGCGCAATCAGAGTCCAAACAGCTGCGACGCGTGGTGAGCTGCTGCAAATCCATTCGCACAACCAGATCCACGTCCACCACCGTGGGGACGCATCGTGGGGTTTGCCCTGTGCTTTTGGCTGCCCGCTCCGTGTGCGTGCTGACGCGCCATGACGCCGCCGCCGCCGCCCTCCTGCTCTGTCTTTTTACTCATCCACCGCCGGCCACCTATTACACTATAAATCTTACCTCTTCAACATAGCCTCTGTGTGACTCCCATACGTCCTGTTTGCTCTTATCAATACCCGTTACTACTGTGGAGCCACCTGGTGGACCCTTTACTCAGACCTTTTTGCTAGCACACACCTCTGACTCCCAGCTTAGCCTACTTGGACAGCCGCAACTCCACCAGCAAGACACGCCAAGAGGGTCTCACAAGTGAGCTTGGCTGGAGTATTGGGTTTCGAGCCCGGACCGTCTTTCAAACAAATCACCCTCCAGCACAAACACGATTCCGCCTCACCCGCCTTTGTGCAGACGAGCGACAAGCTACTATTGATTGACTTGGCACTCTGCGCTGCGGCGATCCTACATCCTGACGACGAGACAGGAAGGATCCCCACAGTCCCACCACGTACGCTTGTTCCCTAAGCGTAAGAACCAGCATCAGGGTTCGTTTACAGATTCCTTCGGTCCAAGTATAAGAGGGTCGGACCTCCGATTTTCTGCTCTTCTGGCCCCCAAGTCGGATATACCATATTCCACAACGTTCCACTCCGATTACATAGCGCGAATACCACACACGCTCCAGCCCACCTTCTCGCTGTCCTCATCGTACCACGGTTTCCGTTGATCGGTACCGCGCATCACTTTTAGCCGACTATATATAAAAGTCTCTCGGCATCTCCTCTTACGGTTCACAAGCATCAAATCTCCGATACAACAACCATCCAACTACTCACTCACACATCTACAACTTCCATAATGGATATCGCCACTACTTCCCGCGCTTACTTTGCCATGCCCTCTCCCACTCCTGAGGAGAAGATCTCCCTCCAGGCCAGCAACACAGTCTACACCTATCACTGCCTATGCAACCACCTCCTACTGGCAACCACCACACCGCTCCCTTCCCTACCCAAACGCCAACATACACGCGATGCTGCACATATCATGCCGCTTCCGCCAGCACCCACTTCGGGCCGCAACAAGAACGCGCCGTCGCAGGATCACTATGGACTCCTCCTCTCTACCCGACAAGACCGCCAAGCTGAGATAATAACCAGCGACGAGGGCTTTGAGAAGCGTTACCTACAGCGTTGTGGACGGTGCAATCTGGTTGTAGGATACCAGTTGGACTGGCAACAGTTCTCCGTCGACCGGTCTGGTAGGCGCGAGGATTACGTCTTCCTTCTCCCAGGCGGTTTCGTCAAGACGAGCGACATGATCATGGGAAAAGCAGCTACCGCATCGACATCCGCCTCAGCAGTTGGCGGCGCGGGCATGGGCACTGTCAGTGTCACCCAAGTCAAAGCGTAGGCGGATCCGTCCGACCTGCGTCAGCCGTTGAACTCTGGGGCTCCCCGCCTTCCGCAGCTTACTCCACGGGGAAGCATGCGCAGGTTTCCTCAACAGAACATTCTTATGGAATCATGATTACGATTGCCCTGACGAGTCTTGCTTTCGGCGCTTATTGATTTCAGTTGCTTTTTCGGAGTTCGGGACGTGTAGATCAGCGGGACACTTTCCTTTCATCATCATCATCATTATCAGTACATTTAGATACCCCATTGGTGAACGCGCAAGGCTTCTCATGCTACAGGAGGAAAGAAGCCTATATGTTTACAAACAGACAGCGTCCCTTATGGATCCAAAAACAGTGTTGTATTCCCTGTTTACATCAAGATATCACTGGTGTGCGTTTGTGTGCGTGTGTGAGTGTGAGACTTCACTAATGCAATCTTGTCTTAGCATCATATTCGCTGCTCTCGAGCTGTCCGACTCCCATGCCCTGCTGCCCTACAATGTGCAGATATCAAAGAAGTGTATATATGTATCATGTTAAGACAATTCCAACGCCAACGTAATCCGCATGCAAAAAACCGTGACCCGTTTCAGACATGCTCGCATAAAATCTCAATGGAGAAGGACAAGAAGGGACGAACAAGAATTGCAAGAACCAACGTTTAGTTCTCCGCAATAGTCTTGACGAACTCTGCAATCACCAGTCAGTCAAAGTCTCCTGATGCTCTGTTCAAAGGTGTAGAAACTTACCCCTGTAGTCCACCTCGTTATTGCTTGCATCGATGGTGCTCTTGAACAGCTCATCGACCTCCTCCTCGCTCATCTTCTCTCCCAGGTTGGTCAGAATGTACTTGATCTGGCCCTTGCCGACAAACCCGCTCCGGTCCTTATCGAAGACCTGGAAGCCGCGGATGTATTCCTCGATGTCAAAGGGTTCGCGGAAGCCGCCGGGGCGGTTGAGGATCTTGGAGAAGGTGTCGAAGTCGACTGTGAACAGCCTGTTAGCCCCGGAACCCATGTGCAGCAGGCGCAAATCGCTTCGAAAGCGAATGCGTGCATGGCGGATACGTACAGTCTGCGCCAACACCGCGCTCGAGATCGGCAATCTCAGCCAGTGTAGGGTTCTGTCCACATGCGCGGAGGAGGTCACCCAGCGCACCGCGGTCGACACGGCCGTTGCCACGCTTGTCGAAGAGCTGGAAAGCTTCGCGGTAGTTGGTAGAGGCCTGATGACTGTTATCCATGGCTGTTCTTCTCTCGTCTTGTTCAAATCGCTAGTGGTGGGGTTGTTGGACTGTTGGGCGTGGGTTTGCGATGCTGCCGTTGGAAAAGTCAAGTTGCAGTGTTGACACCATGTGCAACAGAATGAAGCACGCGTGTTGTTTTGCTGCGGCCACTCGCCGCTGCCCGTTGCCCGCACGCCAGGGCAGGGACGACCTGGCCCGCGGCCAACCAACGATTGCCCAGAGGCCACGAGCGATGCGGGGTCCGAGTTCCGAAGAAGAAAAAGACTCGACTTACCATTGTGTATAATGTGTACTGCGAGAGTTGCTTGGTGACAAGAAATATATTCAGCAATTCCGAAAACGGTGGTATAGGCGGTGTGAGGGTTTAATCTGGTGTTGAAGGGGCTGTTAGATGTATCCTGAGCGTGGGCCGCCGAGTGCGTCGAGCGCAAAATACTGCCCGCCGCCAAGGGCGATGCGCCGTCGTCTAAGCAACCAGCGGTGTACTAGCTGTGTCCATCAACGTTCATGTTAGGCACAACAACAAGCTATCGATTTCCAAGAAATGCTCAGAATCCTCTAGCTAGTACATATACAACACGAGCGGCCGTATCTTGTGCTCGGTCAAGACAATCCCGCACTTTGCACCTGCAACTATGAGACCATATGCTCAGTACGTTGATAGACAGAGATATTGCTATCTTGCAAATCCATTCTATTCACACCCTCGCATCTAGTGAAAAATATCTAGAACTTCTCCATCAGGTTCTTTCTCACGGTCCACATACGTGCTCTCTTGCCATAAATGTACATGGGAATACTGAAAAGCATGCATCCCAATTGGATGCCTCCAATCGCTAAGAATGTATCCTTGCTACCACTCGACTCTAGCCAATGCGGGAAGAAGAGAGAAAAGATGAAGCCGTGTAAAACGTCTGTCAGAATGCGTTAGTTTCCATGTAAATGTAGGTAACATCAGGCTGGACGTACTCTTTGAGAAATTAAGCGTGACAAGCGCCTCACCCGCATACATGCGGTAACTGTCAACCACGAAAGTAATGGCTGTGGTACTAGCCAGCGAACAGCCGAAGCTGATGACGCCGAAGAAAACGGTCGGAACAATCCAGCTGTCCCTCTCTTCAGCACTCCAACCAAAGCCCATAAGTCCAATGACAGTGCTAATGGAGATCGGTACCGCCATGAGGAGACGGAATTCTGGCTCGTATACGCCATCATTCTTGCGTGCCATGAATCGTACCACAAGGTCGGAGACTCGGCCTGCTACTGCAGTACCCAGAACACCACCTACAAAAGGTGAGATGTAAACAAGACCCACTTGAAGTGGGGTGAAGTTGTACGACGTGTCGTGGTAGATGTGGGCAACCGATTCAGAAAGCACAATCAGCCAACCAACAGCAAGAGCGTAGACAAGCGATGACCAAAGGACAGCTGGATAGGCAAAGAGGACGAATGGGCGGATGGCTACGCGAAGCCACTTGTCTTTGACAAGACGCCCGTTCCACGGCCTGAGCGACTGGCGATACGACTTTGCTGGGGCGTCACGATAATAGTCGGTGTAGTGAATCGAAAACTGTTCCGACACATGGTCATTTTCGGCAGGATCTGTCGATATATGTTCGCTGCCAGGACGACTATCTTGTTTCTCTGGATCAGCTACGAAGGTTTCCGGAAATTGCCCGAAATAGTCATGACGCGGGTTCTCGCCAGGGGTGGAGTGGATGCTCATCGGAGAGCGTGGAGTCGGCGGCACACTTGCGTGTCGCCCAGTACCATCAGCAATATCTGCATGATCAGTATTCTCGTCAGGATCTGGCTCGGCGAATCCAACATGTGTGTTCTTGTGACGTTTGGCGGGCACCTCGTTGGGCGCTGCCAGAGGCGATGTGGGCAAGGGCGTTGCTGGTACTGATGCATTCTGTGCCTGCGATGCATCGACAGCCTTCTTGTGGTGCATATTTGGTAGATGAAAGTGTCCATGGTGTTGTCCTGGACTCTTGCTACGGGCGCGATTGTGTCGCTTGGCTGGTCTGGGTGCTCGGTCCCAAAAGGTTTCGGGCACGAAGAAGAAGATGAGGAAGAAACAGAAACCGACGATAATGGCGGTAATCCAGAAGACCCATCGCCAGCCCAAAGACTGCACAATAACGGCACTGACCAAAGGAATCAAGTTCTTTCCGCCAAGCAGAAGTAGCGTGTAGATTCCCAGGCGGTACGCTCTCTCGTGGAGGAAGAAAATCTCGGCAATAGTAGCGCTAGGCAGACATTCGACTGGAGAAACGGCAAAGCCTTGGACAATGCGCGCCACTACGAGAGAGGCGTAATTGGGCGATACCGCGCACCATATTGAAGAGACGGTGAAGAGTATAATGGCACCGAGATATACAGGCCGCTTGCCAAACAGGATAGCAGTAGGCGACGCAATCACGCTACCCAGACCAAGTCCAAGCATGTATAAGCCTGTAGTCAAGGCCACTTGGGGAATCGTCACGTCGTATGTCTCAGCCACATCGTTGAAACCAGCGGCCAACAGCGGCGTCATTCCTCCTCCGACCATACAATAGAAGCCAAGCGACACGAGGGCGAGATCTCGTCGCACTTGTGCCCAGTTGAGCGGATCGTTCGCCGACTCTTCGGGCTGGGGCTCCAGAATGAAACGACCATCTTTTGTCCGCTTCTTCTCGGGCGGCCGAGAACGGGACGACTGGCGGGAGCCCGGTTGCGAGGCAGTTCGCTGGGGCCTGGGTCGGTACGAGGTAGGGAGCGACGAGGCCGATGTGCGTGCGTGGGCATGTTGGAGTCCCAGCGGTTCGTTGCGGTTGTGCGTTTTCGACAGGAGAATAACGGAGCCTGAGAGAAAAGGATTAGTTTGCCATTCGCCTAGAACAATCAATAAAAAAAAAGTCCTTACCAGGCACTTCGTCAGTCTGTGGATCGCTCAGAATCCCCAGATTCCACCTCCGTCGTGGGGCGTCCTTCTCTTGTGTGGATGTGGTAGTCGAAGCCACGGGACTCTCGTCGGCTGACTGCGACTTCCGCCAGGGGGTGAAGTTGACCATGGCGTCTGTCCGAGAGTGTAATACTTCCAACCGGAGAAAGAGCAATGTAAGAGATGGTAAGGTCTATATCATACGGCGTACCCTGTAATCGATACCAAGGCTCTGATGACTAGTTCCTTGAGCAAGACTCACGAGGACCCTTTCTCCACACCAACGGCCCAAGTCTCCACGCCGCTGCAGATGCACGATAAGGACAGGTGACGGGATGTGGAGTCTCCATATCCACGTTGGGGAGGCAGCACAAACATGTGGTTACTACGGACAATGCGCGTGCTCAAGAAAGAGTGTTATCGCTGGTCCGCGTTGGTGCATATCGCGGCTACCATTGCTAGCGCCAGTGCCATGACGTACTGCCAAGGTCCATGTGACTTGGTATGGCTAAGACAGCCCGCCTCATTGGCTGCCTCGACCTTCACCGCCAACACTCTTAGTCGTGCTCAGACATGCGCAGACATGGTCCTCGTTGCAACACCTCTCCAGCCACAGCAATAACGCACGCGATACTTGCCCTATCCGCCCTTTCCGCGACACTGCCTGTGCGATTGTCCGCCTGTAACACGTGCTTGTCAGAATATGCAGCCGCTATTCGTAAGAAACAGCCCATAAGCCCGAACGCTGCTGCCCGACAACCCTGTTGGAACGGAGCAATATTGGCGAACACGAGACGATCGCGTCTGTGCCAACGAACATGATGTCGGCCAAACCGCGGCTCCACAGCTTTCGGTCAATTGAAACGGGTCGATCAACCGCATGTTTGCTCTCACCACCACAATATCGCAATATTTTCCATACACTGATACGATCACGACGATTCATGGAATGACACGTACGCCATCGTCCGATACAAGCATCGCACCGCACATCGCGGTTAACCTTAGCAAGAGATGCGTCGATCCTGATTATCTTAATATTTCCTGCAATCAAGATCGAAACAATGTACCGCAATCGTCTTCCGTGTTCTCAATCTCCACAACCTCACTTCAGAGGTAAGAGTAATGCCCGCGTCCAGCGGTAGCAAGTATTCACCACGCAAATTCGTGTCCTTGAGCTCAGATAATGGTATAGTGTAAGCGGTCAATCCTACATGCTATCTTCCCTCCATCTGCTTCGAACCTTCTGCCACCCCTCCATCTCTCCCTTTCCGCCTCTTTTCTCCAATCCCAACCCGCGCTCAACCCACTCTTGACTTCCCATTTCACTCAATCTCGACAAGGCTCTAGCAAACGCAAATCGTTCTTCGTCACCAGAGAAAATACTGCTGTTCTTCAACATGTCCATATTCATGCCAAGATCATCCATGAGATTACGCATAACATCCGAGATGGCTTCATGGTTGTCTGCTTCGGCAGATTTGGAAGGTGGCTTGGGCGAAGGAGAGGTCGTAGTGGGAAGTTTTCCAGCTTTCTGTGTAGCGGTTACAGCGTCGTTTAGTTCGGACTGGTCGAGGAAAAGGGCTGTTAGGGGAACAGCTGTTGTCATTACTAGCTTGGCCTGGTCTTCCGTTAGTACTGTATACTTCCAACCACGTGCCCCCGTGTATGAGCTCCCGCACTACCAGTATCTCGCTTACCCTTGATTCGTACACGGCATCTATAAAAGTGATGAATCTCCGCGCCAAGTCTCTTGACCTGTAGTTCATCCCAGGCACCCCTGTAATGACAAACGCCTCATACTGCCTCGTAAGTTCCAGATAGTCGGCTGCTCCCGTAGCGCGTCCAATGATGTCGTCGAAGCTAAATACGGCACACTTCCCGCTAGCCTTCGGTACGCGAACTTCCCTTCCCCAGACCTCGTGAACAGCCGGGTGTGGTGGGTCGTTATCGAAGTCGCCGAGGAAGCGGAACCATCTCTCTACATGCGTTTGCGCTGAGGCGTCTAGCGGGTGGTGATAGACACCACTTGGTGGCCGTGGGATCTTTCTGTAATCTGTCGACGAATCCAGGTTCAGGACCGTAAGTCTTGATTTTAGAAGATTGATACAAGGTATGAAGCTTTCTCTTTGTATACCGTTCTTGTATAGGTCGTCTGGGTGTCTGTTACTCGTCGTGACGATGACTGTTCCATGTGCCATCAAGCTCTCCATTAATCTCCTGAGGATCATGGCATCGGCGACATCCGTGCATTGGAATTCGTCGAAGCAAAGAACCGAGGACCGTTCTGCTATACCCGCTGCGACGAAGGGTATACTGTCAATGTCATTCCCATGCTGCATCTTCATCTTGTGCAAGTCCTTATGTACGCTTTGCATGAAGGCGTGGAAATGGATCCTCGTCTTTCTCTTAATGTTTGGCGGAAGTGTGTCGTAGAACAAATCCATCATCATTGTCTTCCCACTGCCTACATCTCCAAACATATACATGCCCTTTGGTAGTGATTCTGGTATGGGTGGCAGGGCCGATCCTGCGGGGCTGGACGATGAGAGGAAAGAGAAGAAGGACTTTTTAGTTGGTTGAAGGGACTCGATGGTAGGTTGCTGGACGGGTGGTTGTTCATAGGATTGCAGCATATCGTGGAGGTCTTGAAGATTCCTGATGATGTTGCGTTGGTGCTCGTCGTCTCGTAATCGCCCGGATTCGACGCGCGCATCGTACTCGGCCATGGGGCCATGGGTTCGCTCAGGGTCTTCAGTTGCATCTGTTAAGATCAGCACTCATGTTGAAAAGCAGTCTTTTCAGTTACGAAACGTACATTCACGCGCAGCCTGCGCGTACCCTCTGCAACCTACTGGCGCAAAGGAAACTCTGTTCGGCACATGGGCAACGTTGCTCGGGCGCGCAGGAGCGTGCCCTGGCGCATGCCTCGCCTGTCTTGAACTTCTCGTGCAGTTGGTGCATATCGCCCTCTTGCCATCGACTGTCAGGTTGCGTCCCACCGCAATTCTCTTCGGCATCGGGCCAGCGCATCGCGAAAGGGTCCTCAACCCTCTCAGGGCCTCAGATGATGTCATTTTCGACATTCGGCGCACAGCCTAAAAGCTTGCGACGATAACAACAAGGAAAAGAAGTAGATTAAACTTAGGGCATGGTGGAAAAGAAAGCTCAGCAAAAGCCAGGCGACCAAGTTGAACAGGATAGTGGAGCGTCAAGCATGTGCGCGACCCACGACGGGTTGTTTAGGGTGGCGCGGGGAGTTTCTTCGCTGCAGCCTCGGCTTTTGACTTCCGGTCTGGTACAACTGCAAGGATTTCGGCCACATTTCAGTAGCCGACGTGAGAACAGCATAGTTCACGACAAAGTATTTGTATGGTCCTGGGAACCACTTGCGTTCCATACTCTTCATCATCATTACCATTATCGCTACCTGCGTCGTGATCATGACTCCTCCTCCGCAGCCACACTCTCATACCTCCCTCCTTCACCTCCACCACCTCTCTGATACCTCATCTTGGGCACCTCATACAACCTTGTATAGTCCACTCTCTCACCACCCAGCCTTGCATACCCACTCTCTTTTGAACCAAACATTGGACTGGCGTCGCACCAGAAATCCTTGCAATTCGTAACGATACCTCGTGAAAAGGGGTTGCCCCGTCTTTGTCGCATTATTTGTTCTCCTTGGCTTCCGTGAAGGGCGATTGTAAGGAAGGTGTCGATTCCAAGGAGACGCTTCCATTGATCCCAAATGGAAGCTTTAGGTTGAGGACGACGTGGAACGTCGCCTGTATCTTGACCAGAGCCGAAACCATTCGTGGGCGCGTTCCCGGCACCGCCGGACACGTCTTGGCTCGTATCGCCGGTGGTCACAAATGAGTTGAGCGCATCCGCAGGTGTGCCGCCATGAAGGTGTCCGCGCATGCTTTCGTAGGTCGTGAGATTGCGCGCGATCTGAAGAAGCTGAACACAGAGAAGCATGGTCACCCATGTTAGTTGAAAGGCAGCCCATATCGACAGTACAATCGTAAATGGGTCTTTGTTAAGGACTTTGCAAAGATCCGGCGAGATGACTGCGCATTTGGGGAAATCTTTGGGCGCGTCACGTATTTCCAGATCTACTAACATTAGCCTTATGACACCAGCATACCAGGCTTTGACTTACAAGCAAGGGCCAGCCTTATGAACATAACGATACCGAGTTCCAGAGATAGTACATACAGTACGAAATGTCTGTGGTTGTTGTTCGCCACACAGTTGTTCACCCATGGACAATGACTGTCACGGTTAGCGCCATGCTATGCTGTCAACGTGAACTACTCACTGATCACTCTTTGCAACGCAGCGCTCGCATCTCTTACAATGCTTGCTACGCAAAGGCTTCCGCACCATGCAGTTTACACAAAAGTGGCGTTCATCAAATTGTCGTAGCTCCATAAGCTCGTCAATGACTGCCTTGGAAGCACTCCTGCTCGCCGACTTGGGTACAAAGCCGGGATCAATAGTCATGGTGAAGAAGTAAAAATAGGCCGTGAGTCCGTAGAATGCTGCGAAGAGAAAGTTCATAAAGAAGTTGGTTCGAATTGTCCAGGGTAAGACTGTTGTTGCCCAACGGAGACCGACCCAGAACAGTGTGCCGGCGAAGATGCCGGCCAAGAAAGGCTGGGATTTGGTTAGCGATAAGGCACAAGTAAGCCAGCAGTCGACGTACAGTATGATGTATGCTTCGCATGTTGGAGGGACCCCATCGCAAAAGCCACTGTGCTCCCCATTGCATGAGATAGGCGACAATCAACGACAAGGGTATACCAACAAACGCCGGGTAGTGGCTGACGAGGAAAAGGGCAGTGAAAAGTATAGCAAACGGCCAGAAGAATATGAAGCGACTCAGGAACCATCTCGTGTCCTTGATACCTGGGATGGGGAACTGTCTCGGATTTCCATTTCGATCGAAGCCAGCTTCCATGAGGGCGCGACGCCATTGCCGAGTAGTGTTCATCTCCTGCGCCGTGACCTCCGGTGTCTTGCCGTCGTTGTTCTTAGCGAATCGGTCGGCGCCATACTCTAGTAGCTTCTGTATTGATCCCTGACTCCCCTTTACCAGGGCCCAATGGAGTGCAGTGAAGCCCTGGTCGTCGGTCGCGTACACGTTGGCGCCCCATCTGAGGAACAAATCAACACAAGACGGATAGCCCTTGTATGCAGCCCACATGAGCGGGGTATGGCTCTGGGGATCTGGAATATCAACGGGTATGTCCTGGTGGAGCAGCAAGACGATCTGGTACACATTGCCGTCGAGCGTGGCGCTGTGCAGGAGATTGAAGCCTTGGTCATCGGTGAGGAGAGGGTCGGCGCCGTGGTCGAGCAGGAGGTTGACAATGTAGTAGTTGCAACGCTTCGCAGCCCAGAGGACGGGTGTCGCAACAGCATCGCCGCCCTTTGCGTTGATGGGCGCACCGGCTTGGATAAGGAAGTGGCAGAGAGCATAGTGATTGTTGATGGCGGCCCACTGCAGCAAGTTAGCAGTCGGTCATTCTCAAGCCATCTGGTGTGCGCACATGTAGCGGTGTTATGCCCTGCTCATCTTTGAATGTCGCATCCGCCTTGCCGCTGTCGAAGAGTTTCTGGATAGCCGCAATTTCTCCCAGCCGAGCCAACTGCATTATGTCCTCCTCCACTGGGAGGCTGGGCTTGTTGTCCGCCATGACCTCGAGTTCGTGGTTGCCCGGGGAGGCTCCATTGCTGTCTGATGGCGTAGCAGCCATGTCGGGGATCCGCGTGATGCTGCTTGGTTGCGGAGCTTACTACACCTCCGGATTGTGGTAGCGCGCTTGTTGAGATGGCAGAGGGATCGGAATTTGGGCAAGAGATTGGGAAAGCTTGTTCGGGTGTCACAGCATGCTGACGACTGAGGATTTGGCGTTGGATTGCGAGTTGTGAGGCTTTGCAGACGCGGAAGATGCGGCGTTCGCGATTCCCCATTGCGCCCACACATCCTTGTTGCTGCTAACGCAAATCGTGGCGGTGCCACGCAAGCCTCATGCTTTAATCCGGAACCCGGCTTCAGCAGCCACTTATTTTTCCAGGCGACAGCAAAATTGTCAAAGAATCAACTAAACGATACATAAGTAGTCTATACGTCCTTACATGAAACACTTTTTTGCTGAAGACAACGTCTCAGACCTCGACGTCTAGGCCAACATGCCCTGAAATTCGCCGCCTTCTCTAAGCATGTCTTGGGCTTTACCTGCTTTGATCAGCTTGCCTTTCCCAAGCACCACACAATAGTCCGCCTCCTTGACTGCCTCCAATCGATGTGCGATCGTCACCACCGTACTACTCTTCATCTCCTCCCGCAGTACGCTTTGGATCCTCTGTGCCGTCTCGAAATCAATACTAGCCGTCGCTTCATCCATGATCAGTATTGGACTCCTCCGCAACATGGCTCTAGCTAATCCGACAAGCTGTCGTTGGCCCTGCGAAAGGCCCTTGCCGCCGCCCTCAATAGGCGTCGTAAGAGTCCAGTCGTACTGGTCGCCACCGATCTTTTGCAGCACCGATAGACAAGAAGCGTCCGAGTAGACAGATAGAGGGTCCAAGTTCTTGCGCATGGTTCCTGGAAAGAGGACAGGCTCTTGGGCGAGGAACGTAACACGGCTGCGGAGAGCCTGTTTATCCACAGTAGATATGTCGATCCCATCAATCAAGATCCGCCCGTTCTCCGCCGCAATGGTGGCAAGGAGGGAGAGGGCCAGAGTCGACTTTCCAGAACCCGTGCGCCCAATGACGGCTGTGTTGGAACCTGCTGGAATCTTCAGGGTAATGTTTTGAAGCGCAGGTTCAAGGTTCTCTGCGTAACGGATCGTCACGTCGTCAAACTCAATGTCGCCACTGTATGTAGGCCAGTGTGCTGGCGGCTTGACAACGCCGGGTGCTTCCGTCTCGATGTCGAGTAGCTCAACCACACGCTCAACACTGGTAAAGTCCATCTCCAGTGTTCCGTAGATCCTACACATCCACTCTGTGTGAACAACGAATTTGCCCGCGGTGATGAGCACAAACGCAGTGAGTCCGGGGGTTATATGTGTATACACGGCGATGAGTGTCATAACGAACGTAGCACTAGCCGACATGACACTGAACCGAAGCGCAAGCCACGCTTGGAGCGACCAGTAGAAATGGTCGTTCTTCTGGAAGTTGTCGACGACCTCGATAACACGAGCTTGAAATCTCCGTTGTGCACTGAAAGCTCGAACGGTGGTAAGGCCTTCGAGGAGCGCACCAAAGTTACTCATGAGTGGTGATAGCGATACCATCTGTCTCCGATTAGTAGTCAAAACCTCGTGTGAGTTTGCGTGACTCACCTCAAGTCGTCTCAAACTCTGTGACGTTGGCAGGAAGCGGAAGAAGTAATAGACGAACCCACAACCAAGCAGCAGGCCAAAAGCCAGGAAAGTTGGGGTCGAAGACAAGATGATGACGACGGCGCTCATCCAGCCTATGGCCTGCCATGCAAACACAATAAAGGCGTTGCTTAGTTCGCCATCAATGGTGTTCATGTCACTAGTCAATCGGTTCATCAATCGCCCTACTGGCGTTACGTCGTAGAATCTGAACGTGGCATGGGCAACGCGCTCAACAGTTTCCCTGAATATGGTCTTGGCAGCGTGGTACTAAACGTAGGTGTATCAAGTCAGTGCATGTCTTACATGTAGTTTGTGGAGAGACACTTACGCCCACGCCGAACATGATCAGATTCGTCCACCAAAAGAGTACCGCGGTCGCCGTGATGAACAGGAAAAAAGTCCAAAGCCAAGGAACCACATCTTCCGCTGGTGGTGGCAGGAAGTCAAAGATACCCTTGTGTTTGCCCGGCTCGTAGCTTTCAGCCCAGGACTTGATAAACCAGGTCTGCGCAACGTCAAGCAAACGGAACAACGCCATGACGAATATAGCGACAGACCACCATCGGAGAGTACCTGCTCGGATATAGCGCCAATAGACACTCCATTTGACACCTCCCTCTGCGCGATGTTCATCTTCGATGAACTTGTCGGGTACAGCCGCTGCTTGTTCTTCCTCTCGCTTCTTTGCGTCCTCCTCTGCCTCGGTTTCGCTCGTCTGAGTGCGCTTCAGTGCGTTCGCATCTTCAACTTGACTTGGTTCGTGGATCGTAGCTCTGCCCTGCTCTATGTGAACCCATTGCTTCGCAATGCCATGGCATATTTCTGTTCGATGTGTAGCAAGGACGGTTGTTCTACCTTCGAGCAATGGTCCAGCTAACAATTTTGCGACGATGAACTCGGCTGTCTGGTGGTCTAGAGCTGACAACGGATCGTCAAGCAGCAGTACTTTTGCGCGGCTATAGACAGCTCGCGCCAGCGCCACGCGAGCTTTCTGGCCTCCAGACAAGCCAATGCCGTTCTCTCCAATATTTGACAAGTCTCCATGCTTGAGCTCAGTCATGTCGGGTAACAATGCACATGCTTCCAAGGTCTGTTTGTAGCGGCTCTCTTCATAGGGGTACGAGAAGAGTATGTTGTCGCGAATACTCATGCTTTGAAGCCACGGGGTCTGCGCGCAGTACGCAACTACCTGATCAGGGCGCACAAGCTCACCGGCTGTTGTATCAAGCTCGCCCAGAAGAGCTTGCAGCAGCGCTGTCTTACCGGCGGCAACCTCGCCGTATATCACCGTGACCCCAGCAGGGAAAGACAACGTGATGTTCTCGAGGACGTTATGATCTACTCCAGGCCAGGCAAAAGATGCATGATGGAGACCGAGATCAGCAGATCCTTCTGGCACGACATCCGTCTCTTCTTTATCTGGTTCAGCCATGAACTCCTCAATACGGCCCATCGCGACGTATGCATTGAGACAAGTAGTGACGAGTTGCGGCAATGCTCGAAGGTACGATTCCAGCAGGTTAAACAGATCAAACGCAGGAAATATTAGATCAATGCGCAAGTTTTGGCCGGCCAATTTGGTGAAGGCGTAGAAAGCAACCGCAGGAAACAGCCCAGAACCAAATCGTAGAATGAAAGAGAGGGATGTCGAAAAGATGATGTTGATGATGCGAAGATGCAACTCTTTTTGACGAGACTCCAGTATCCCATCCAGCCATGCGCTTTCCCAGCCGTACCAGCGCAAGTGACGAATAGACTCTATAAATTGGCTCGTACGCTGCAATTTCTCGTCCGTTGCCACTCTGCGTTTCTTCTCGAAGTGGACCTGAAAGCGAGCAATGACGATATTGAGTAGCTGTGAAGCTGCTAGTGCCACAACACCGAGCAGGCATGCCCAACCCAGCATGCGCCAAATTAGTATAGTCGCAAAGATGGCACCGGCAGGCTTAGTAACGATATCGGAAAACTCCCAGAAGCGTTGTGCTATCTCGTACGCATCATTGCGCATCAAATTGAGGATCTTTCCCATTGATGCGGCGTCTTTACCATCTTTGACCTGCGCTGGGGCGCTCTTCGTAAAGACTGATCGGACGGACATGTTCAGACGTCCTAACCAACTTTTAGGACTTGCTTTGATCGTTGCGTCAATATCAACACCATTCACGCCGTTCGTTGCGTGTGCCTCATGGTTGCTGTGGCCATTGGTCTGGTCTTGTTTGACTTCCTGTTTGGCACCCAAGATCTTGCGATGCAGTGTCTTCTCATAAAGCATCGTGATGAGCTCACCTCTACATCTCTCGTACGCTCGTCTCTGGTACCATAGGTTGAAGGTGTTCAACTGAGCAGATATCAGGCGCAACCCCAGGATGACACAGGCGTAGGTAATCGTAGCGCTGTTGTTTTTGTCCTCCAAGGAAGCGAGAACTCGCTGCAAGAGTACCGGCGTGAGTAGAGCTGCTTTCGTCAGATCCATACTAAGCAAAGTAGAGGATTTAGCTTGTAGACTTACTCGCACACAATCGTATCACGTTCAAGATAGTGGTGCGTACTAAGTCCATACCATTCGCGACAAAGATTCTTTTCGTCACCGAACCTTGGAGCTTTCGGAATGCCTCGTGGAGCCGAGCATGCTTGAACTCCCAACCCAAGTCCCAGATGTCCTCATCTTCCATTTGGCATGTCACACCTTTTTTGATCAGCGGTTCCATCCAAGACACCGTCATGTACTGCCAGGGAGTCAAGTTGTCTTCAGGAGTCCGAAGTTGCACTGTTGGGGTGTCAAAGGCAGGGCAGATATCTTCTCTTGGTAATGCAGGATCTCTAAGAGGCATGTTGAGTATCGTAATGATGCCCAATATAGCGGCCGCAGGCGCGACGACCCAGGGAACATCCTTAGCTAGGAATTTAGATGACCTATGGGACATTGCGACCAGCTGTTCCAGTAAGAGACCCGTGAACAGAAGCAACAGTGGCAAAGAAGCTTTTCTTGGACGCTCTACGAGGATAATCGCCACTGTAATGGCCTAAAACAATCGTTAGTCGACAATCCCAGCTACGCTAGAGCTCACGTACCCATGCGATAGCTGGATATATAGCTGTTGGTTGTCGGATGGGAAAGAAGACATTGAGGATTTGGAATGACAGGCCGATCGTAGCTAGGGCCAAGAGGGAAAATGTCCCAATTACAGGCCGACGTGTCGAAGGTGTTTCTGCCTCACTCGACTTCTCCTTTGCCTCGTGTACAAAAGGTTTCGTCCATCTTGGCCAATACCCATCGATGACCCGTAGCGAGTACTTGAGCAGTACTAATGCCGCGAGTATAGCTGGTATAGTTGCAACAAAAGGCAGAGCACATGGGGTGAATTGTGCCGCTCTTGTATCCTGGTGAGGTCAGCTGTATGCTTAGAAGCTATCTGAAGCTGTACTGACCCAAATTCGATGGCAATGCGATATTGGTGGTATATCGGGAAATCTTGGAGCCGAAGACAATGGGATCTGGAAGGACGCCATAATGCTTGCCTCTTACGTTTGCGCGTCAAGACCTATCTAGATAACAATTCCTTCCACCTGAGCCCCAGCCGATGAACACTTGGTCGAGCAGTAGTGAGCATGTATACAATGTCTTACGCGGTTTTCCTAGGCATCAAAGGAAAAGGTCCTCAGCGAGGCGAATGTCGGTGAAGTCTTCAAAGGCAACCGCAACGGCGCGGCGACTGGCTCCGGCCGCACTAGCGTACCCCACTGATGGCCATTGCAGATGTTCGGGAAAGAGCAGAACATCATCGCAGTATGAGGTATCTGGTATCCTACACGCACCGGAGCATCACAGCTCGACCTTTCTCCTGCATGAGGTAGCACTAGAGCTAGGTTGCATGCGCGCGCTCGGGATGTTAAACGCATGCCGACGGGATGGCCTTGCCGCTCACAGTATGACGAAAAGCGGAAACGCGTCATTGACACAAATAATATTAGAGGATGCAGTTTGTTCACCGATCAAACCATGATGGGGGTACAGGTCGATGACATCGTGGTCCTTCTCTGTGTTCCCACGAATACGCGCTAATGTAGCAGGCACTAAGGAGAGGCGCAATCTTTGGAAGAACAGAACGATAGACGAAACACCACGCTCCCTCCCAACCACCTTGACCCTGTTGCACTGCATCTGCCAGTCCTATCTCGCTTTTGAAGGAAGAATCCTACTGTTCGATATCGGCGCCTCGACCATGCGAAGAGAGCACAGTATGACGCACCCCACGTCGCTGCCTGCATCTCCTTCGTCAGCGCGCCCAGAACACAGTCGTTACTTCTTCCATGGCATTGCCAGCCACCGCCACTGCAAGCCACTTCATCATTCTAGACAGGTCCAGTGTCTAGACTGCGGATCTAGACGCTCGGTTGTTGGGTTGCGCAAGTATGGCACCGATCCTGGGAAGGCTGCGAGGCTCCTACATTGCAGCCTTGCCTACAGTAAATGCGATGTAGGGACCAAAGCCATCACCAGCCTGACATCCATCAGACATCCGTCCTAGTTGTATCTAGGTGTCTTGGACTGGGCACAGCCGTCGGATATGCACGTCTGTTGCACCAGACAAACACGGCGTAGTCTCACTTACTGCAATCAGCACTTGCGAATGATGGTATCGAACGACCACATCGTTCGTCGCTGGCTATCACTCATTACGTCCTTACTCGAATCGTATACTGATTTAAAATAGACATGGACAGTATCGATTGAGGCTGATGTTGTTGAACGTGCCGTTCTTACCCTGTTGTTAATGCGAGGATGCGTTATGAAACATGCGAAACAAATGGTACAGCAGTGACATTCCGCACCGCCACACGTACGCTCATGCGATCCCTGCATTTGCTGGAGAGCAATCCTACAGCGCTTCAATGAACACAACTGATACGTTTAAATGACAACCTTAGCGTATGGACTTCTTTTCTACCACATGGCCAGTTTTCTATATCGTACATCATCTATCATCCATAATTTTCACACTCAACTATGGTTTCCCGCACCACTTCAGACACCTCTTGCCTCCGTCAGTTGCATGGATCAAGACAAAGCTCACTATCAGAATCGAAAATTGAACCTAATGATTCAAATCTCACAACCATAAAATATCCTGCGGTGAGACATCGACTCACAGCCACCAACAGCGAACCCACAGTGAGTATCCCGGCACAAATTGGATGTGGGTCGTATATTGACTTCGTACCACCGCATTCAGACTTTATCCTCTACTGGTTCACCCATCAGCAAGATCGCCACCCGATCGCACAGCCTAGTTGACTCGGCTACCTGCAACACTCGTTTGAATCGGTCTACTTGGTTCGTCTCTGATCCATTCCAAGATCGAGAACGAATTGCTGCAGAAGCAGTTCGAGTTCCCAGGGAATCTGTTCCGCGAAAGCGTCAGCGGTCCGATGGTAGTCCGGATCCGGACGTGGATAATTCATCCACATCGAGGTCTTCGGCTTCTCTATCGACCCCCGATACGAACAAAAGAACGACTCGACAAGTCCGTCAAGACAACAATAGTCATTCACCAGGCATGACCCCGAAGACCGCCAGATCTACCCACGATAGCCTATATAGGGAGCTACGGAGAAAGTTGACTCCTACTGATCAAAAAGGCTTCATGTATGTCTTGTGTGATCCACACAATAAGAGAGGAGGCTACAAGATTGGATGGACGACTCGAGTATTCAGAGAACGTATCGTCGAACATGAGAAGGGCTGCAACTTCACAGCTGATATAATCCACGTCTCGGATCACGAGATTGAAAACTGTTCTCGCCTGGAAAAGCTTGTGCATACTGATCTGGAAAGCCATTGCGTGCCGCTTCATTGCGACAAACATAAATCGGTACACAAGGAATGGTTTCAGGTTACTGAAGAGATGGCAGTCGGGACCGTGAAGAAATGGGAAAAATTCATGCATCGAGAAAAACCATATGGCTGGAACAGACAGCTGAAGATCGTATGGGAGTACCTCCTCGAGACAAGAGCGCCTACATCTCTCGATGTACGTACGTTGGCACATGATGCTCGTCGAGAGCATTGGGAGAGAATAATTGCGCCGCCAACAACGGACGACTACCTTCAGGCTTACCGAGCTCGCATTCAACTGTTGCTGAAAAACCTCTTCTGCAACCTATGCGATACCTGGTTGTACGTACAGAAGTTCTTCTGGCCGATTTCCAGCTTGATCTACGGCATGATCACATTAGTCTTGGCTCGAAACCTCCTGGCATTCTATGCGTTCGTCTTCGTGCTTGTATGCGCCAGTGTACATGTCATGTCTCATGTAACTCTGAGTCCTCCAAAGCGAAAGTCTCGGACGCCTAAGAAGATGAATGCAGTAGTTAGTCCGCTGCAAGGGTAGACAGTGAAGAGGGATGGGACATCCGGCGCTTGATGAATGCCTTTTAGCCGCAATTCAGCAGTCATGATTGCTTTTGAGATAAATGCCGAAAGTAGGATCTTGAACCCGGGGATAATCACCTTTGCAACGTATGCATTGAATGCATACACTCTCTTTTGGGAAGGTACCAAGTTTCCATGCCGTTCTTCCTTTACTCGACGATAGGCGGTAATCAACATCCAGAGTTCCGACCTTTGTCAAGACTACAAATATCGCAGTCCGGTATTTTCCGCGCAATCATTCGCTTCGCGTTACCTGGGGTCTCTAGCGCTCTCTGAATGATGCAGTGGATGTGATGCGGGGTACGTATTCTCGCGAAACGGAACCTTCGATGTATGCACCCCACATCACGAGTTGTCATCTCACCCAGGATGATGGTTCGTTGCATCCATGAACACTGAACCGTGCCTCGGCTTCGATTCGCGAGCTTGACCGCAACGCTCGATAGTGTCCTTTCGATCCCGCAGCAAATCCTCGTCCCCGTACCACGCGACCCATCCATCCCACCATCAGCCGTTCATCCATGTCTACTTCATATGCATGCCTGGACACAGATCCCAGGCACAGATTCCTGGGCCGAGGAAGCTCAGATGCGACCAAGATGCTTACTGGTCAGACTGTCGACAGTCAACAGTAAACACCAGATCTCGATCTCCCAAAGATGGTATGTGAACGGCTACAGCACTCTTTGGGGACAGCATGTCCGTTCATCAATGTCAGAGATGCATTCCAAGATGCTAGGCAGCTCAGATACCGAGGCAGTCGTTGAGGGTGCTAATGTGAAGACGGTATCTTGTACATGTAAGAAAGAGCATAAAAGGAAGGGGATGCGTTACGATTAGAGACACAGCACAGCCAAGCAGTCGACTCTCAACTTCCTCAGAATAATCACTTTCCAGAGCCATCAGGCACAGTCTATCGCTATTTCAATCGCCAATATGAAGTATCTTGCGATCCTCTCTTTCTTCACTTCTCTCGCTCTCACTTCGCCCATCGCCGTCGCAGTACCCGTCACTGCGCCCGCTGATGAGCCTCAACTTATTACTCTCGAAGCCCGTCAGTCTAGTGCCACCAGCAATGAGCTCGAGACAGGAAGCAGCGCTGCATGCCCACGCACCATCTTTATCTTTGCAAGGGGAAGCACCGAAGCTGGAAACATGGTGAGCACAAACAGGTCCACCACATACTTCTCTATGTCAGTGGTTGACCATCATAGGGCGCACTTGTCGGCCCTTTCACAGCAAACGCTCTTGAAAATGCGTACGGGGCGTCAAACGTCTGGATTCAGGGCGTAGGTGGCCCCTCCACCGCCGGTATCGCAGAGAACACTCTTCCAGCCGGTACTTCTCAAGCCGCCATCCGCGAAGCTCAGCGTCTCTTCAACCTTGCCGCAAGCAAATGCCCGAACACGCCCATCACTGCAGGTGGTTACTCTCAAGGTGCTGCGGTCATGTCTAATGCGATCCCCGGTCTCAGTGCGGCTGTGCAAAATCAGATCAAGGGTGTGGTGTTGTTCGGCTACACTAAGAACCTGCAGAATGGAGGGAGGATCCCCAACTTTCCTACCAGCAAGACCAGGATTTACTGCGAGATTGGAGACTTGGTCTGCACCGGTACGCTCATCATTACGCCCGCACATCTTTTGTACTCGGACGAGGCTGCTGTGCAGGCACCCATCTTCTTGAGGGCTCAGATCGCCGCAGCATAGTTGGCTCTGAGGTTTTGGAGGAGCACCGTGTAACATACATGGATAAAACTTTGTGTGCTATCGTTTCGGTTGTCAGTTCAAGCAGGTGCTTGGATGTCTTATTACATGAAGGATGCAGTCTTTACAGCAGTCGCTAGTCTTCGAATTAAGCCAATCGTTGATAAACTTGACCGATGCGTCGTGCGAGATGATGCTAACGACGAAGACCAAATTCACCTAGTAGCTACTCGGTACTAAGCTATTTGCCCATTCCTCCACGTCTTTGAATTGTTCTTCGACATCGTCGGGTATGCCATTACCGTTCGCGTCAACCCATTGCTCTCCGCCATCAATAGTTCCTGGTCCGGCCATTGGACTAGCATTCTCATCACTGATCAACTCTCCCATCTTCCCATAGCTCTTCAACTCCTCAATGAGTCGCGCATCAACCGCATCGCGGACTTTGCTTGCACCAACAGACTTCCCAGCAAGCGTCAACGCATCGTTGGCTGACAAGACTTTCTCGGGTGCCGGAAAAGGAAATTTTGCTGCCTGGATGTTCATGCCGCCATAGTTGCTGGATGCTACACCAAGCTCCGATCCGTCCAATACACCATCGCGATTAGAATCATAGAAGTTTCCTTCAACGTATCCCTTGAAGTTCTCGTTTCCTCGCGTGAAGGCTGTTACGCTGGTACTCGGGCCACTAACAAAATAGTTTCCAACAATATTCGCTTCGCTCGCTGCACTTGAATCTCCAGCAATGTATCCGCCGCCTCCTCCCCAGTTGTAGACAACGTTGTTGGTAAAGTCATTCGTACCCTTGACTTTTGGATTTCTCGTCTTGTTGTCAATGTACAAGTTGCGGAACAGACTGATACCATTCCCGACATTTGTTTGCATCAAACCGCCACAAGAATGTGTCTGAAGACCCTGCCCAATGATACTGTTCTGGATGGTGATGTTACCGACTTCTGAGCCAGATATCGAAAAAGTTTCGTCGCGACCCCAGGTTACAGAGACATGGTCGAAGATCATGTTGCTCCCCTCTGCAATCGTGATGCCATCTTTGCCACTACTACCTCCTTTTCCCATTCTGATGCGCAAATACCGTACGACTGCATCGTCAGCATTGCTGAAACTCCAGCCGTTACCGTATACTGTAATGCCATCACCAGGTGCTGTTTGCCCAAGAATGGATATGCGTTTCGACACGACCATGCGCTCAGTGATCTTAATCAACCCACCGATGGCGAACACAACGATGCGGTCGGATTTAGAAACGGCATCACGGAGCGAGCCTTCACCGCTGTCGTTGAGGTTGGTGACAACGTAAACCGTACCGCCACGACCACCGGCCGCGTTGCGACCAAAACCTTCTGCACCTGGAAAGGCAAGGGCAGCGGCGGAAGCCACTAGGAAGGGAAGAAGAGCAAATATATGCATGTTTATGGTGATAAACTGGACGCGATGAAAAACAGAAACATGGGCAGACAAATGTGTTATTATACGAATCAACTACATGGTATGCCTTGAAATGATGAAAGGAGCTAGCGATATTGCAGCTCGCTGCTCGTGGACAGCATCCTGAGTCGCGGTTAGGTGGACAAAACAGGGTGGATTGTTCCTTTAATTTACCCCAGATGTTCATGATCGACAAGGGAACTAAAACGTTAGTCCGCCAATCACGGCACAGGATGCGCTCAGACAAGTATGGGATAGAGCGATGCAGTGCAGATCCTGCAACATGTGTAGCGTATACAAGCATACACTCGGTTCGTCGGGGCATTGTGTCCCGTAGAGGTGCTCCCACTTGCTGCGCTCATCTCAGTACATACTGGTGCCTGTCTTCACATCCCCAGAAATGATACCAGCGTCTGCAAGCTCAGCGACCAAGTCCATGAGCGTATGATCACATCCTGCAGCAGCTACCATGCCAATTGTAATAGGCAGCGTTTCATTTCTCTCGGTTACCCTGCTGAAATAAGTCCTTTCACCAATTGGAATAGTGTAGTCAGGCAGTGCAGCCAAAACAGACATCTGATTCCCGCTATATTCAAAGACTCAGAGTTAGTATATGTCCCAAGTGTGATTCATACAGAAGAACTTACGGTAGCCCCGCAGCAAAGATACCACCCGGTGCAGTGGTGTATATGTCGCGATAGTCTTCCGTACCAACGCCCATGGGATATAACACCAATGTGGATTCACATGTGGGCGTTAGAATTTCTCGAAACCATGATTGAAACATCTCTGTGCGCTCGATAGCAGTGGTGTAACTGGAGATTGGCAAGGTAGCAGCCCGGTTCCATCGCGCTCGTGTTTGTGGATTCCAATACGGTGCTCTGCCGAACTTGGCGATGTACTGCTCCCTGAATGGTAGACCTAGGTCGCGGTATTGATCGACGTTGGTGATATTAGAGTATGTCGGGCCAATGTATGATGCCGGGCCTTCGGAAGTGTTCGTGTATGCGTTAAAGCTGGCATTGGCGTTGAAGGTTGTCAAGTTGGCATCAAGGAAGGTAGCGAACTGGGAGATGAACGAATCGAAGATGTGCATGCTTGTTCCATTCACAGTGGACCAGAACAGGTCGGGTAAAACGATACCCTTGGGATAAGACGTATACACCTTGGCTGGATACCATCTTCTATGTACGGCTTGTAGCAGCCGAGCCGAGCGAGCCAATACGCCCGGCGTATCGAAAATTGCTGATATGGGTAGAATTCCATTAAGCGGCAGTGAGGCGTTAGTGATACGCATGCCGAAAAGACCATTTGCCATGGCTGGTAGGCGAACAGATCCACCCGTGTCCGACGCAGTTGCAATGTCCATCCAGTCGTATGATGCGAGTCCAGCTCCAGAACCCGCCGACGACCCTTGAGGATGCTGGTAACCATCTCCCCTGGGGTTAAAGGGTGCTAACTGATCCACATGGTCAGCGGTTGGCCGCTCTCCAAGCGCAAATTGTGTGGTCTTCGTCTTTCCGATAACGATAGCACCCAGACCAATCAGCTTTTGTAATGCTGCCGCGCTCTCAGGGGCAGGGTCGGCGAGATCTCGGTACGCTCTGTTCCCACTACTAGTGCGAACTCCCTTGAGGTCGTAGATATCTTTGACCCCGAGGCGCTTTCCTGATAATGGTTTGTCTTCTGTGGGGGGTGGATAGTATAGTCGAGACGGCACTGCGATACTAAGAGCTCCATAGGCATCTGTCAAAGCCAAACCTGTGACAGGAACGAAAGTACCATTTGGACCCTCAGTGACAGACTCCACGAAAGCGAAGTTGTGATCCCAATACGGTCGATAAACCCTAGTAACAGCATTTGATGGGTGGAGCAAATATGGACCAGAACTCAAGTCGACATCCACCACGCTATAAATTTTAGTGCATCCGAGCGAAGTAACGTACCTGAAAGGTGCGCGTACGAAGTCAGCGTGTGTCTCCTGTGCAGTTCGTACATGAGCTTTTCTTACGCATGCGCGCCGTCCGTCAGGGTACTCGAGCCACCAAGCACCAGCGTCGAGAGAAAAGGTTCTGTGTACACATCATCGTGAGAAAGAAATGAAGTGATGGTCGATTCCAGTAGCTCCGCAGTAAGGGTAGGTTCGGCGAAAGAAAGGTAGGTAATTGGCACCGCTTCAGTTCTCTCGTTCTCAAATGCGAGGGTTGCTGCGACAAGGTCTGGGGAATAGTACGACGTGGAGTTAAGCTGAAAGACAGTAGTTGCTTCCACGATAGTTGCAAAGTACAAAAAAGATGCGAGCCTCATGCTAGGCGACGCGAAAGCTTAATATTAAGGCAAAGTTCAGATGCGCCATGACAGGGCATCTTAGCAAACTTATATAGTCAACACTTCGGTTCGATATCGCAAGTTATTGTAACGCGGAGTGCAGATATCGTTGCATCTGGTACTTTGCTCTGACAGCTCGTGCAGAAGTGGGAGAGACGGAGGCTAGCGCATCGTTGATAATGTAGGCAAGAGACTTGGCATGACGTCACGCAAGAAGAACGAGTTCAGAATCGACATCCCACAGATAACGATTTAGGAACATGAGTAACATCCATGCGCTAAATGACAAACTGATCGATCGACTGATTTATATACTACTAGAAGCTCTCTCTCACGGGAGGGGAGGTAGAAGTACCTATCATAGATAAATGAATATGACTAAAGTCTGATTTGTCGAAGCCGCGCCCTCATTAACGGCAACCGACCTTTCAGCCCTTTCATGGGAGCGGATCAACAGTGGCATTATGCTTCGAATGGGAACTGCCCTTTCAACAGACAAGTCAAACATGGGCTCCTGCTTCCTCAAAAAGTATCTACTTACCCTAAAAGTCGACAAAGCCAAGATCTGATGATGCACCGATCCCACATTCAACAGTGGATATCTGTTGGTTTCCATATGCAGCTTCCATCTCATGTATAGTTAGTTTGTTGTTTGTTACATTCCTTTGTTCATTCACCTATATTAGGTGCACCTACTTCACGTACGATAGATCATCCAATCAATCTCATCTGATCTATCACCTGTTCTGTTCCAAGAATATCTGTCAATTTGCAGGACAAATGTATGCTGATTCTCCCAAAGAACCATGAAGACCTGATAAGACAATCGCTCCCATGTGAAGGCGATATTGATAGCATGCCGCTATATCTAATAACGGGACATTCCCAAGATGTGTCTCAGATATTTCCCTAAATCAATGCAGGCTCAAAATGCAAACAGCTGAATGTTTGCGCAGTCTTATCAGTCCTCATATCCAGAACGCCTAAGCTATGCCCGCAAGGCCAAGAATGAGCCAACGGTTTGAACCACTTCAAATCAGAGTCCACAATGCCGTACTCCGCTGATCTGCATCATCAAAGCATAAAACTACTGCGTTTCGTTTTACATGTAAAACGCGATAGGCTATCTAGAAGGATCCTGGAGTTTTCACTAGAACGCCCGGGGTCTCTTCTGTGTGGGACGACTCGGACCCGGTGATACACTCGGTCTTTTACGCTGGATGAGACTATCTCCATCAGGCTCCTCTTTAGTAACGTGTTGTCCGTAGAAGTTACAGCCAGGATGATCGTCATCTTCGCCACAACAATCCCACATAACTGACCCGTCTACCTGTCGAATCTTACGCCCAGCGTGAGAAACACAGGGTGCATTCACATCCACGAATTGCTCGTGGCATACGATGCAGGTTTTCGTGGAAGGTGTAGGCGCTTTGCTGATACTGGTTGGCTGTGGAGTAACTTTAGTCAACAGCCTTGGGCTTTGGCTGAAAGTGGGTCGGTGCCCGGGCGTAGTCCTTATTGGCGTTCGTAGTGTGGGTAGATGTGGTGTAGTTCGAGGATAGGCTCCAGGAAGATGCAGCTCATTATCCGAATTAGAGGCCGAACGGCCGCGTGTCTCACGCTTTACTCGTGGTGTGGACGAAGAGCCATATGATTCTTGTAGGGCTCGACCTCTGCTCTCTTCACGAGATTGTGCGTGATGATTGCTGTGATTTTGGGCTGGATGTACAGACCTAGCTAGCCTCATTTTAGCGGCTTTGTAGATGTCGTCACTGTCTTCATCATCTTGCGCCTTAACATTAGGCTGTCGCGATCGTATCCAATGCTGGCTGATTATGCTCTGTGCAGATGTTGAGTGAGGTGCAAGTCCACGCATGAGGGCACCAGAGAAGGCCGGGGATACCTGGCAGAGCTCGAGCAGCACTCTCTGCAGGGCGCGCGGGTCGGCTGTAGTGATGATCTGTTTAATATGCTCAGGGTTGATGGGACGCGCTTTTTGTGGCGCAACATGGTTCCGCGCGGAAGTCACCGGCTGGCTAGCTTCCATCTTAACGTTTGGCATCCCGTACGGGCGTTGCTCGCGTCCGAAGTATAATTGAGCTTGTCTGTGAGGCGGCATTTGCTGTTGCCGCGGTTGTGGCTGTCGTCGAGGTTCTGGCTCTGGTTCTGGGGAAGAAAGAGTGAGGTCGATTGTCTGATGGCCATTGTTGTGGAGTGAATCCCAATCAATGGGTGTTTGTGAGCGCGCCATTGTAAGGATAAGAATGGCAGTAAGCCGGAATCCAACTTAGTATAACGTGAATAATTGATGCCAGTGCCGCTGAGTCTCGTAAGTCGGCCCCAGCGTCGTACAACGGATGGAAGGTAGAGTTCATCGTAACGTGTCGATCTTAGCGCAACGCCAAATCACGTGAGACGAGCACGGACTGAGATCCCATCTGATCGCTGTACCCCACAAACTTCGCGTCGCACATCACAATCCCGAACATCGGCCTATGATCACACAGGCGCATCCGCGGATCCAACAAACGCGTCAGCTGTAGCAACCCCAGCAATGCGATACGAACAAGCGGCGTAACTCCGGGGATCAATTCTCCACCCTTCATCAGCCCTCTGTAACACGCTACAATCAAACCAAATCACTGCACGGACAACGACTAGTTTTCCACCAACCAGCCGCCTATATGCGCAGCCGTTCCGCGACTCGACAGCCTGCATTCTGGGGTACAGACGTTGTAAATTTTCCGATGGCTTGCTTTACTTGTTTCGACAAGCTTTGTAGCGGGGAAACAACGACGACGTAGCTCGCTAGGCGGTTGTTTCGAGGTTTTGGTCAGGCCGTGAGAGTCCACCAATATAGTTTGCATACCCGGCATCCCGAGCTTATTGCATGTATAGATACTGCGTGTCTTCAAGCTTAATTCAACATTCGCTCACTCACTCACTTTCCTTCCTTACAGCTTCTTGTTACTTCTTCACAATGCTTGCATCCCTCGCTTTCGTTCTTTCGCTCGTAGCATCTGCTGTCGCAGCCCCAACGGCACTGGTGCCACGCGCTGGGCGCACATCTGCTCCTGCAGGCTGCTTGGCTGTCGGTGGTAGCGGAAAGTACAAGACTGTCCAATCGGCCGTTGATGCACTCAGCGCTTCCGGTACGGCTGCGCAGTGCATCTACATCGCCAAAGGCACCTACAAGGAGCAAGTCTACATCAAGCCGTTGAAGTCAGCCTTGACCATCTACGGCGAGACTACAGACACCAGCAGCTACAGCGGCAACACCGTGACCATCACCCAAGGCAAGAGTCAGGACAATAGTCCCAACAATGACGAAACTGCCACTCTCCGCGCATGGACTCCAAACCTGAAGGTTTACAACATCAACCTAGTCAACACTCGTGGAATGGGCTCCCAAGCTCTTGCCCTGAGCGCCAACGCCGACAAGCAAGGCTACTATGGGTGCCAGTTCAAGGGCTACCAAGATACCATCCTTGCCCAGGTTGGTAACCAGGTCTATGCCAAGTCCTACATCGAGGGTGCCACCGACTTCATTTTCGGTCAGAAAGCCACTGCATGGTTCGAAAACGTCTCTATCGGTGTTCTCGCAGCTTCGCAGGGCTATGTTACCGCAAACGGTCGCGAATCAGACAGCAATCCCTCATACTACGTAATCAACAACTCGAAGATCGCCGCGGCCCCTGGTAACACGGTCAAGGCCGGTGCGTACTTCCTCGGTCGCCCTTGGAGGAACTACTCTCGTGTCGTCGTCCAGAACACCAGCATGACCAACGTCATCAACGCCGCGGGCTGGAGGGCCTGGAACACCGACGACCCCAGGACCGACAAGGTCACATATGGCGAGTATGCGAACACTGGTGATGGATCCAAGGGTACCAGGGCGTCCTTCTCGAAGAAGCTCACGGCTGCTGTTGGCGTCTCTACGGTGTTGGGTAGCGACTACAAGAACTGGGTTGATGCAGCCTACATGTCTTAGGTTGAACGCGCTCACGGATGTAGCTCGTACGTGAAGGCGTGTCTTCTTGTATATATTTTACTGACACTGAGTGTCGCTTTTCTTCATCAATCATCCATGCTGAAACCATTCTGCTTCTCAAATCTCTCATAACAATTTTAAAAGTTTGTGCGGATCGTCTCTTACAGCAAGTGCCGATAGATGGTGTTTGATGACTTGAGCAGGTCCAGCTGATGTAAGCAGGGCTAGACACGGCTCCCGGCCTAACGCGACCCACTAGTGGGTCACCTGGTCTGGTCTCGGTAGGATTTTGCTCTTCTTTGCTACGACATCTGTTGTTGCATTCGACTCTGCAATCACCAATATATCGCCTCAGACAAAAGATGTCATATGGAACAATAGATCCGCCAACGGCGCCAGGACATTCAGATGTAGATTTCGTACAACATCTGCAACCTGCAGCTTCAGACACTGCGCGAGATGCAGAAGAAGCACATCAGCCAGCCCTGTGGAGAAGGGTAACGGCAAGTTTGAGGGTGTTCTATGACCGCAACTTCGGATTGTTCTTAGTGTTCTTAGCTCAGACCTGTGGGAGCATCGTACGTCTGGCCTCTTTCTCTGTGCAGTGGTTGCATTTCATTCGAACCTGGTACTGACAGCCGTTTTAGATGAACACAGCCGCCAAACTTTTGGCCAATGACCCATCGATCAAGTTCCATGCCCTGCAAATCATTTTTATCCGCATGCTGTGCACGACAATTATATGCTCGATTTACTCCTGGTACCACGCTGTGCCTGACTTCCCTCTTGGTCAGAAAGGGATCAAGGGATTGCTTGTGTTGAGAGGTACTGCGGGTTTTGTGGGCCTCTTCGGATTATACTGTAGGTATCGCTTCTTCTCCACTCTTTTTGCATGAATTGCTGGCGTTCCAGGACGTGAGGCGAATACTATTCATGAGCCGAGCACGAGGAAGTTCTAACGCACGATCATAGACTCTCTGTCCTGGCTCGAAATCTCGGATGCAACAGTCATAACCTTCCTGATCCCAACCATGACCGCAATCGTATGTTTTGTCTGGTTACGTGAGCCGTTCACCTGGAAAGAAGCGCTTTGCAGCTTCATCGCTTTCTGCGGCGTTCTCTTCGTCGCGAGACCACCATGGCTCTTTCCCTCCTCACATATGAACCCTGTAGTCGATGACTCGGACCGGAAAGCGCCAGCGTCGTCAATAACGGCAGAACAACGGACTATGGCGATCCTCATTGCTATCCTAGGCACTTTTGGAGCAAGCACTGCGTATGCTACTATTCGTGTGATAGGTAAACGCGCACATTCGCTAATCTCGGTCAACTACTTTTCCTTCATTGCAACGATGGCCTCTTTTGTGCTCATCTTGGTTCATCCTTCGCTGCATTTCGTTATGCCCAAGACGCTCGGCCAATGGGGATTGATCGCAATCATTGGACTCTTTGGATTTCTGTTACAATTCCTGCTGACGGAAGGTCTGCAGAGGGAAAAGGGTGGAAGAGCAACAAATTTAACCTACCTACAACTTGTATTTGCACTGGTAGTTGAAAAGTTAATCTGGGGGACTACACCGCCGGTTGAGAGCTTGGTAGGGGCGGTGCTTATTATTGGAGCAGCAATCGCGGTCAGTCTGCAGAAGGAGGGTGGAAAGGACAAAAAGGTTGAGGCTGGGAACGATGAGGAGAGGAGGCTGTTGCGAGAAGACGATTAATTGAGAGCTGGCTATATAGTATCGTGACGAATGTGTGCATGCATGTGCGCATCGTTCTTCGTTGTGGGATTCGATGTGTTTTAGTAAACACAGATCCTTTCTTCCAATCTTACGCTACCCAGATTATTCTGCCGTCCGGCATCCTCCCCTCTATAACTTCGCTGACTAGTAGCGCAGAATTTGGGAGCAGCTGGCGTCGCGTGAGTTGGTATTCATGTTGGTGCACAGATCGTGACTAGGCAATACCCACATATGTGGTGTATCGCGTGGCAGCCGATGGGATCTCCTCAGGCATCGCTTTGCTGAAAAGCACATCGCGAGGAGAAGGCAGATTCCGCGGAATTCCGATCAACGTTGCCGCGTCACCTGCATCACACGTCTCGTCTGTTTCTACTCATAGACTCATGACCTGTGAGGTTCGCATGTGCTTTATCTGTAGTGGTTGTTTCACACATCGTCTCTCTCTTTTCTTGAACTGATCTCGCTGCGAGGTCTACCCGCTGGGCTGATGATATGCTCCTCACTCTCATTCATCATCGTGTCCATATTAGTGATGTCATGGACAGTTCTCTTTTTCCCCTTTCTCTCAACGTGCGACAACCGAAGACTATCCGGGAGACCGTTGCCAGAACTGTTGTGTGATGGCTTGCCGGAGGAAACAGCTTTTTTGGCCTGAGTAAAGAAGGGTTTGAGGATAGGTGCGTTGACAGCTATGATCCCGACGAACTAGAGACATGCATTAATAAAGTTCAAGCGATGGCATACAGGGGCGAAGAAAGCATACCGTTTCGCGGATCGACCATATGGTACCAACGTTGATTTGGGAAACGTCTTGGAGACACAGAATGCAACGGAGTAATGTCGCAGTCATGATGAAGATCCCTGTGCAGAGCCAGAGAAAATAAAGCAGCTTCCTTTTGAAAGGTAAACGGACGCCCCACAGTAGAGGCAACGGAATGAAAAGGATCATGAGATCGGTACTGAAGGCCAGTAAGTATTGTGTCAACGAAGACAGCAGTATCGGCGATTACTTACGTTACGTTTGTGACTACCAAAGCTAGGTACTTCGAAATGTTGAGCGCACAGTCGTCACCAGGATACGGATAGACTTGCCATAACCGATGAATGGGGTGGCAATGTGTAAGAAATGCAATGATGGTGGCGATATATGCGGCGGTGCAGACAGCCCCAGTGATTTTGACGAGATTCCTTTGCTGGAGATTGAGGCTGTTTCCGTTAGCACAAAGTGATCAAAAGACGGCAAAGGGACCATACGTGAGCCTTCTATAGAAGAATAACATACAAGCTTTCACTGTGATACCGAACTGTTAGCATATTCATTTGTACCGTGAGCAGCAGGTCCTTAAAGTAGTACGTACAACACCAGATCAATGTGGTGTACCTAGAAAGTGCGTGTACAAAGTCAGTTCAAATCACACGTGCAATTGGTACAGGGACATTTCTTACAGAATCCACCCAGTGAGAAGGCATTTGCTACCCATAATGATGCGTTGTTTTTGCTCAGTTGTAAGTTGCAATGCAATCTCATTACTCATTCCTGTAATGGAACCGTATCTACCAATGAGCTCTAGCATGACAAGCTCAGCGGTAAAGAAGAGGGCGCAAAGTATGGTGAAGTAGTCGTCTCCATCCCAATTCAATCCGACCTGCCAACAACGTGCTGTGATGCGGGAGAATATTATGACCATACCGACTGCATACTCCGTCCATGCTTCAGTCGTGAAAGGGTTGTACATGTTGCTAGGGCGAGCATAACCAGTTGATGGTCCTAACTGAACCTATTCAGGGCAACAAGGCCCTTAACAAGGAGTATTGGTGCAAAAAGTAAACAATAGGAAAAAAACGAAAGACATGCGATTTACGATGGAGATCGAGAATCTCAATCGGGTGTGGATGGACCCGTGAGGGTGCAAAGGCAATTGGTATGGGTGTCCTTGTGGGACAGGAAGCCGTCAGGGCGCAGCAAGTTCCCGCCTTCGCATCGGAAATGATCGTCGCTTCCGTATGCTTTCCAACCTTAGAATATGACCCTGAACAGGCTTGCAAAATCGGCATGAAGATCAAACGGCCCGATAGCTATGACGACGCGGAGACCATTGGTTCGCAATATGCTTTTTGTCTTTGTATGGTGTTACGAGGTGGGGGTAGCAGTCAGCTAGACACGAGCTTGGATTAGCGTCTGTTGGAATCATAGTCCCTAACGATACATGATCGTTCATGCTTTAGCGGCAGGCGAACAAGCGCATGAGGAGTCGTCGCAAATGAAGATCTCGGATTTATCAGTCTCTGCGGAATCTCTAGGTGGCAGTGTCGAAGCGCGCATACCCGAAGATGCTACGTCAGTCCCAGGCCCGTGGGATCTTTGCACACAAAAAGGAATTCATCGCCACACAGACACTCAATTTGGGTCTGGGGGTATGTCGTTTGGTAGAGCTACGGACAAACGACAGGGTGTGACAGGTCTAGCGCGAGGTCCGGCCCTTCTTTTGAGATGCTTCTCCGGTCCGCTAAGACGCTTGTGAACCTACTCCAGATCATTGCTGCCGTCCCGCGTCGGCTCAAGCACGCTGTGAAATGCGAGCAATATAACTCACCCAAAGCTGCCTCTCGATAGACTTTTGTTTGGAACCGCTTTCCTTGGTAGAGCGAATAGATACGAAAAGTTCGACCTAAATTGTTCCACACTGTCAGTATAGTCTCGGAAATTTCCCAAGATGCTGGAATGCGCGATCCCAGAGCATCTCCACAAGGAAAGAACATGCCCGGTTAGCACACCGCCCAACTATGTTCCGCCTTTCCCTGCGTATTGCGCCAGGTTTCCCACCAAGATGGACGAGCTCGTCATGGCAGTTATAGGAGCACAGTATGCCTCTGTCGCTGGAAACGATGGCACGGCCATCTCTAAGCTGCAAGATTTTGTCAATAAAGCGCCAGAGTCAGAGCGACCGTCGTTTTGGGAAGTGGCTTCCGTTGTCGACAAGAGAGGCGCGTGCAGCATTGCTGTCATTGCATACTGGCGCAGCGCAGACGTGCACAAGAAGTGGCAGCAAGAATCTGGTTTCGATACATGGTGGCAGAGTCCAGACAGGGAACAAGATGGACATGGCTGGTTCCAAGAAGTCCTGCGTCCAACGATCGATCGTTTTGAGACGGTATTTTCGAACCCCGAGAATCCGGAAGGGGCCGCCAACATGCAGGAGAGGATCTCGGGCGAGATGGAAGAACATGCATATTGGGGTAGCATGCGCGACCGGCTAGCAGCTGCTCAAGACAATAGACTTGATGGCCCCAAATTGAGCTCTGCCAACAGCAGCGCCAATGGCTCGCCTGTTAGCGACAACGTTCCAAAGCGCGTTCGTGTACCCGGCAAGCCCAACCTGTGTGTAATTCGGTCGGGTCAGGATTGGTCCGACACGCTACCTGAAGAACGCAACCTCTATCTCAATACCATGCATCCCGTGCTCATGGAGGGTATGAGGTTTCTGCGCGATGAAGGTCGTGAAATTGGCTGCTATGCGATGAATTTGTGGGACGTCGTAGACTCTAGGTCGTTCTCAGCAAACCGTGAGAGGACGTTCGGTCTCGGTTACTTTGATGACCTGGCATCTCTCGAATACTGGAGTAAGAGCCACCAAACTCATGTCAATATTTTCGGAGGCTTTCTGATGTATGCGAAGAAGCTCAACAACGTTTTATCGCTCCGACTGTTCCACGAGGTTTACGTGCTAGAGCCGAACCAGCAATTCTTCGAGTACATTGGATGCCATTCCGAGACGAGTATGATGAATGCACATTGAGTGTAGATCCGATAGATGAATTCGCAACAAATGTATGCCTTGAAGATTGACATCTGTAGTTAGACTGGACTGAGATTGGAATCTTTCACCATAGTCTCGGTCAATTGCAAGAGCAACCAGTCCGATGGGCTGGGTGCTAGTAATGCACGAGATTGTGCGTGCTGATGTTGCGCACTATCACGTGTAGTCGAGCAGGGTGATGAGGATTGTAAAGGGTTGTACTTTACAAAGAGTCGAATCGAGACAGATGGAGCCTTGGCGCTGCTGCCTTATCGCCTTATCGGCCTCGGCTGTGAGACGCGACTTGGTACGCGTCAAGCATCGTCGAGGTCTGTCATTTTAAGGCGATCCACGGCCGCTTGCATCAACATGTAGGTGTCCGCCGAAAAGTAAAAGGCGCCTCCTGATATGTGGCGAGATCTAGATGTACGGCGCCACGGAGTGGTGACGCGAACAATCGATCACGCGGAGGGTGGTAACGTACCCCGCGAAACATGATAAGCGGCACGGAGCTTACGCGGGGATATGGCAACGCCATCACTCCCTGGAGGTTGCCTGAGCGTTCCGTCTCGTTTGGAAGTCCTATCTCTGTCTTGAACACGTTTCTGATAGCACCATCCTCTTACCCTGGGTGCTCCATTATCTCCCTCTGCGAAAGTCGTCTGGCTATTGATGTAGCCACTGCCCCTTCACCTAGGCTAGCTCCGAGGAGCTGCTGGTGCCTTGGACAAGATACCACAGATCGATACAACCGTATGTTACGTTTCATGTTACATGGTCAATTGACACTGACGAGATGCAGGGCCAAGACCTTCAGCCCAATCTTCTGACTTCAGCTCCATTCGGACCACTCCCCAGTCTCGAACATGGCTTGGTGGCGCCGTGACCCGACCTTCAGTCCCATTCAACGTTACGCGCAACGCATCCTACGGTCCCACGAGGCTGCTCTCCGTACCCGATGCTTCTCTCGTACGCCCTCCGAATCTGCACAACATGAAGACAACCATGACAGCAAGCGTCCATCTGGCATGTCTAATCTTGAGTGGCTGCAGCTACAGCAATATCAGCGATGGCGAAAGAGGCTGATGGACGACCCATACCAGGCTATCTTCGGTGCTAGCAACGATATGTTAAGTGGAAAGGGGTTCAAAGACTGGGAATGGACCAGCAAAAGCTTTCCAAAGTGGTTGCTGAGAGAGCTGGACATCCACGACACCACATCGTCGCCTAAAAATGATAAAGATGGCAATCCCAACCCGAGATATCCGAGACGAGTTGAGGTCAAGAATGAGAGTTCCCACGAGCACAAGGAACGAGCATCTTACTTCCCACAACCATCCTTCCGGGCAAGTCAACTGCTCCGTGATGACGCGACTGGGGTTGAATCTCCTTCAGACTTCAGGAGACCTCGAGATCAGCCTCATGTCAGGTCTTCCGGCCGCCTTCCAGAAGTGCCGAGCAATCCCGAAGCAAGCGCGACCAACTCTGCATATCCTGCAAGTATTTCACAGAGCTACGATCTCCAGCAGCCTACGCCACCGAAAAGCACAGAATTCTTCGGAGAGTACATTACGAAGACGAAATCCGATGCGGCCTCAAAGATCGAACAATCTGCCAAGGTTACATCGAATACGGAAAATTCCTCCATGGATCAATTTCTGACGGAGACGCCTAGACACAAGGATCCGTATTTCGGTGGTGCAACTGAGAATGGTACTTGGAGAGAAACTTCGCTACAAAGGAGATCTTCAAAAGATTTCGTAGCAAAGCCTGAGGTTTACACCGTGCCTCTGCAAAAAGCAGAAGACAAGCCCTCGGCACCGGAGTCAGCGACTGTGCAGATTCATGAGACACCCTCAGTGTCACCCACAAAAGAACACATTACATCCTTTCCTACAGATTCGGGCCTTCCAAGCACGAGACGGCATGTTCCTCAAGAACAACTTTCAACACAACAAGAGCCTGCCCCCCAAGGCACTACTTCATCTTCCCGGTCTACGTCCAAGATTTTGAGTCAACTGCCTGAAGATGACTTGGACTTCTTGAGTGCAGATCACATACGTGCAAACATGGCCGCGAGAAGGAGCAAAGTCCTCGGCGACGAGCTCAGAAAGGCCGAACGGGCCAAATTAGAGAAGACTTTTGAGGATACTCACAAGAAACACCATGTCATCGATCCGATGCTTGAGGCCAAGGTCATCAACGATCAATTCGTCCGTCGAGTTGAAAGACAAATGCAGCAGCCAGAGAAACCACTTGAGCCTCAGGAGATTAACAAACCGCAAACAAGTACACCAATTGGGAAAACACATTCTGTGGAGACCGAAAGTCAATTGGAGTCTAGTGTCGAGCGAATGAAGTCATGGCTTGAAGAAAGCGGCGCCAAGTTTTCCAGCTTCTTTTGGCAAGACCCTACTGAGGAGGCGGACGTGGTAAAAACACGGCAATTCTTCGACAAGATCTTGGCGCGTATCCGCAAAGGCCGTACGACTATGAAGCAAGTGATTGATGATCTAGAGGCCGAAATTCCAGCATCTAAGCCTCTCTTGAAGCGCATGAAAGCCGACGAGGATCTACTGGACTCTGCTATCAATGCCCTTCGGCAGGGTCCAGGAACTGGCAAGATGCATTCCTTGACACCGAAGAAAGTCAGAGCTATCCAAGAATTGCGCCTTAAGTACCAGAGCACAGACAATGATCTTATTAAGGCATACGCACAGCTCGAGGAACTGGGCAAGTCGGATGCGGCAAAGAACGTGTCTTCAGCTTTCAAACAGCGACTCAACATTGCATCAAAAATCACCCAGAAAAATGCTCACCTTACGCGTTGTTTGATCTGGAGTCTACAGGGTCATCTCGAGGATGCGGAAATTGCCCAGACTATGCTACCAAACTACAAAGCTGTCGCAAACAGCTTGTTGACCCTTAGAGACACACAATTGGCTTTAGCGCGATTGCTAGAACGTGCCATGCTCATTTATGGTGTAGCACCGCATACGTGGGAAGACATCAAAACCTCCAGTAAACATCAGAATGCGCAAGATCCGCAGGATCATGGGCAGCCAGCCCAAGGTAAAGTACACACTGGTATGACTGAGGTTGACAAAGCTCAGCTTCACGCTAAGGTAGCAGCTGAAGAACGTCTTGCCAACGAGGTTGATGCACAGAAGTCCGCTATGCGTGGGCTCTCAGACGATGGATACGCGCGCATACCGAAGATGGAACTGAAAAAGTCGTTTGAGGAGCGAGGATCTCTTGCTCACAGCCTATTCAGGCCTTTCGGACCCGTATTGGAGAGCCTAGAGAAGGAGATGCCGTCCAAAGTAGATACAACCGAGGTCGAGGAGAAAGCGATTCACCAACTCAACGACAAGACACCCGTTGATGACACCCAAAAGGCATATGTGGATACGCATGGATCAATTGCTGTTGACCACGAGCAGACAGAGATCCTGATCAAGGATAACAAGGCCGAGGAAGATCATGAAGTGAACAAGTTTGATATGCTGAAGGATGATCCTACAATAGGCGAGACGTTGACCCAGGTGAACGAGCCAGACAGCTCGGAACTGGTGGCTGAGAAAGAGGTTACATCAGTTGCTGCTCTAACCGAAACTGCTCAGGATACCATGACTGCTGCTCACACTCCATCATCTCCTGTATCCGCTACCTTGGATCTTAAGCCGGGCAAAGCGTCTGATGAGACGTTTGTTGGGGTGTCGTCTCCGGTCACATCACCTCGTTCATCAGGGGCGGACTCACAGATGCTTTACACGATCCTTGTGCACGATCCGGACACTGGCAAGCTTTCGCTCACCACCTCTACATCGGTTGTATCTCGTGACCTTCCTCCTGTGATACCACTACACGAAGCGCTATCGCAGCTCGATCAGCCTGCGAAGTTCGTTCCACATATCAAAGACGGCCTCGAGATTGTCACTGCGAAGAAGGATATGCTTATACTGCGCGATGCTCTCAACCCCACATCGCCCACTAAGCCCTTCGCCACTGTGAACACCTCGAGCGCAATGGAAGGCAACACTGACAATACGGTGGAGAGAGGTAATATCAATCCCATAGATGGGACGACCCGTCTCTCACCTACTGGCTACGTCGGACCAGAAGAGAGCCAAGAACAACTTGAGAAAGAGTTCACTGAGCGTAGGCAAGCTGCTGAGCGCGTTGTCAGCACAGAGGAAAGCAGTAACGAACAAGGACCAGCCCAACAGGAGACTAAAGGCAAGAGGAAAGGCCGCAAAGGAGCTGGTGTAGTTAAGACAGCCATCTGGGCTGCCGCAGTATGCTATGTGGCCGGCGTACTTGGAGAAGTTGTTAGCTGAGTTGCTCTACGAGAGGTGATTCTCCACTCGCTTTCTTTTGCTATCCTTTTTTGTTTGGCGTTCGCGAGGCTGTTCACCGCTCTGGTTTGGGTCGAGTGTGTATGTAAATCATTGTTCTAGTGTCATATCTTGTTATCATACCTGCCCTTTTTGTACATTTCAACTTACTTCCTAAACACACCGTCACAGACGACAGCTAAACGGAGAACACAGCTTTCAGATGAATAGAATCACAAGCACCGGATCACACCATCTACTACGGAGCGCTTGGCCTTGTCAAAGCTATAGAGGCAGCACAAAGTACCTAGATGTTTCTGGTCCAACTCATATCTGACCTTATCGTAGTTCTTGATGGGTGAAAGCTTGGGTTATCATGAAAAATTTCGCCGATGCTGAAGCAGTGAAATAAAGAGATCATCGCACTATCTACATGCAAGTGTTTGGAGTCTGTGTAAGTCTCAGATGCATTTCGTACGTGCATAATGCTTATTGTCCCTTAGATCGAATGTGCAAACCAAGTCAATCGTAGCGATATTTACAAACGGCGGAACTGCACACAAATTTGGATAGATCCACGCTTACTACAGCTTTAAATAATGCACGGCCTCTCAACGGCTGTTTCCATGAAGTTTTGTTGGGTTAGCTCTATTCCTATAGAATTTTGCTTAATTTTGCAAGGTCGAATATTTTCGTGAAAGCAATTTTCTGCTTTTCATGCTCTTTCACTGCACTTTATCTTTCCATATCGAGTCATTGGGGCCCGCGTGTATACCAAACATTCCAATGAGTCCTCCATCGTGCGAATTCTCCCTCTATTACTCTGTCTCTGGATAGTTTATGAGCCAACCAATTGCGCGACACAACTTGCTCTTAGATTCGTCATGAGGTGGTCAGTCAAATCGAGTCACAAACTTGGCTGTAGCAACAGGAGTTGCTCTTCTAATAGCCCAGTTGCCTAGATGGAGGCCATCGCATGAGCACCGGAAATGTAATCCGCCCCATCTCGTTTCGCACGGTTGGGCTTTGCATCACGGTAGCCATTTTTGTGGTTCTCTGTCTGTTTGGTGGAACTTCTTCCATGGTCAAAGCTCTATTTACTGGCATCGTAAAAGCTCTGCATTGGACTGCCATATTCTGGCTTGTATGTATAACTCTATCTGTGTTGATTTGATCGCAGGCTAATATAACCAGACACAAGAAGTACAGTGGGAAGTTGCGCCCGTAATCTGGGGCTATGTCACAGCGTCAGCTGATGCCTTTACTACGGATGTGACTACATCACTAGGGGGGTTTCAAACACCTGCTTGTACAACGATCGCCATTCTTAGTCTGTGCCAAGTTATTTCTTTCCTACCGAAGAGTTCCAAGGGGCGTCTCATACTATATCTGTTCGCCATCTGGCCGGTGCTGTCACTTGTACGGCTGACTTCGATGGGGAGGCAAGTTCCTTTGCTGCCTGAAGCAGTATGGCCGTATGTGACAACTGGCGCTGTACCACCAAGCTCACTTCACGCTGTCGAAGAGCTTGCTCTGAAGGCTCGGAATGATTTCGCACATCTACAGAAACGACAATCTAAAACACTTCGTTCAGCCGAAAAGGAGTATCGAAGAAGAAACTCACGCGAAGCACCGCCAGGATTTAATAAGTGGTTTTTCCACGCCAAAGCCAACCAATCTCCTCTGATAGATGACTTTGACATGATCAATGAGGATCTCATGCCATTCTGGAAGATCGAACCTCGCCGTCTACGCGAAAATATCAATAACGTCACTGAGCTCGACCATCTTGCGCTCCGTAAGTGCGCCTTTGCGGATGGAGAATATAATTCGGCAAGTGACCACTGGCTTGGGAAGGATCTCGGAGGGCTCTTTGATGAAGTATCGCGCAACATTCCTGACGTTGTATTTGCTCTTAATTTATTGGATGAACCTAGGTTCATCATCAGGCGACAAACGCTCGATAATGGCGGTACATTACGTCCTTCATTCGAAGATGCAAATCACAACTCCATATGGGATAAAACCAATGATCTATGTTGGGGTAATCCTCGTGTTGAGGCGAATCCCTTCATCTTCAGTTATGGCCTTTCTTTCGTCCAAGACAAATCGCACGCTCAGGAAGTCTGCTCACATCCCAAGTTCGAGAGTATACACGGCTTCTTTTCCTCTCCCATGACTGGTCTGACGACAGAAGCTTCAATCCCCATCCTTTCGCAAGCTGCGCCTTCTTCGTTCGGCGACATGATATATCCTAGTCCTTGGTATACAGATAAGGTATATCAAGGAGACTATAAGGAGGTAGATGATCCTGCTTGGGAAGCAAAGAGCGACAAACTATACTGGGCTGGTAGCATAACTGGAGGCTATAGCTGGAACAGCAGCTGGCAACATTCCCACCGACAACGTTTCGTGAAGTTGGTCCAGGCCATCGATCACACCAGTCATACGTTTCTCAAGCAATCCAAACTAGGGCAATGGATACCATACAGCACGGTAAAGAATCAAAGCAGTCTCTATGACGTGAAATTCACGGCTGTGTTCCAGTGCAATGAGCAAGATTGCAAAGAGCAAAAAGAATTCTTTAACCCTGGAGATATAGAGGAACAAAGTCAACAGCTACAATCCCGCTTCGTGTTTGACATCGACGGGAATTCATTTAGTGGGCGATACTACACGCTGTTACAATCGCGGAGCGTTGTGCTTAAGCAGACGATCCTGCGAGAATGGTATGATGAGCGCTTGATACCATGGGTGCATTACATCCCTATCAGCCTCTCCATGGACAAGCTGCCAGAAATTATGCGATATCTAACGAGCCATGAAGATGGTAAAAGGAGAGCGAAGGAGATAGCCGATGTGAGTCGCGAGTGGCATGGGAAGGCGCTTCGAAGAGAGGACTTTACCATCTATCTATACCGCCTCATGCTGGAACTGGCCCGGATTATGGACCCGAATCGTGAAGTAGAATAATCAACAACTTGTTTCCTCAAACTTCACCTGAGTACAAGTGATCCTTCAAGTACATGATGTCTGGCAAAGCGTCTTTGTATGACGCTGTCACAAAATATAAATTCCACCCTCCATAACTTCTCCATTTCGATTACTCAAACAAACAATCCCTTTACCAACCCCTCAACAGCATCATAGGCCTTTCCTTCCTTCTGCCCACCCGTGGCCCGCTCTGTAATGATAGGAATCTGATCTTTGCCTACTTTGTAATTCCTCAAGTCACTATCCAACCCTAGATCCTTGACCAGCCCCAAGATTTCGTCTCCAACCTTTTCAGCATCAGCTTTGGCATCGCTAGACGCCGACTTTCCGATGAATGGAAGCAAGCGAGCTACCTGCTCTGCCGCAGCGGGTTCTTGAGCCTTGAGCTTGACTACGTGTCCCAGAGTGAGGCATGATGTGATACCATGAGGAATACCATAGGGAGAACCCAGCGCGTAGCCTAGGGCATGGGAGAGACCGAGACCGCCTTTGATGTTGTAGCCCAAAAATCCCAGGGAAGCAAATGCGGCAAGCTGCAACCTCGTAATAACATCCTCGTCTTTGGGGTTTTGTTTGTATTTTGGTAGGGCTTCGAAGAGGGTAGCTGCAGACTGTAGAGTCAACCATCTAGCGGGCATCTCAGTGGCGGTAGGATGATAAAGTAGCTCGATGGCGTGGTCCATGGCGCGGAGACCAGTTGACATCCATAGGCGTTCAGGGGTGTATAGGGCGAATTTGGCATCATAGATGACGACGTGAGGGACGAGTTCTTTGGCTCGAACACCAGTTTTCACGCCGTCAGATTGTGTGTAGCCGGCCATCAGGGTGCATTCACTTGCACTTAGGGTTGTCGGGATGGCGATGTGGTAAAGGTATCTTCCCGTCTTTTCGTTCAGGCGGTAGCTGATGGCTTTTGAGCTGTCGATTGGGCTTCCGCCACCAATGGAGATCACGGTATCGATGCTTTGATCCTTCTTCACAAGGTCGGTTGCTTCGTCTAGTTGGGCGACAGGCGCGTGTTCGCCTATCTTTGAGAAGGTCCCTGCATGTTTATCGCCCAGAAGCGCTTCAACTTGCTTCACCAGAGGCGTCTTGCTGGCCAGAGAGTTTCCAGTAATGACAAAGGCTTTGCTTGACTCTTTTGGAAGACAGGAGAGGAGATGTTGTTTCACAGAGTCAGCACCATAATGCAGTTTCTGGAGCTGCGTAGGTTGCCAGAGGCCAGATAAGGGGTGATTCGTTGCGTCTGTCATCTTGGGCTTGGCCTTTGTAGAGCTATATCGAATACTACAGGGAGGTTGGATGTGTCCGCCAATCAATGCTTTGCTGGCAAGTGTAGGATGTGAAAAGGTTCTGGGTGAAGAGTATAGGGATGCGATGGTAATGGATCTAGTGGTGTTGGATCTGCGTGCGAAGAGGAGAGTGTGCTTTATAATGCCGCGAATTGGAATCATAGGAGGTAGTTCGCTACAAAACTGACTTTGTGTACTATTAAAGAACGGAGGCCGCGGATTAGTAATGACGTAAGAGTTTAGCGGGTCGAAATGATGAAGCTATCCCGAGGTTCAGATAGCGGGGCACATCACATAGTAAGATCCAAAATGATTACTTGTACAGGGCGACTGTTAGTCGGCAATGAACGACGTCACTTTGTAATAGACAGTAATGAACATTTCAAATCGTAGATTGTAGAGCGGAGAAGTAAGCGAAGTGCTACCATCTCGCGTCTCTAAGCTATGGTACACTCATTGACTCCGCCATTATGTCGTCCCTTCCACATCATGTCCTGACCACCAGTGGATATCACTCTTTCGTTATTCCGACGTGTACCAAGGATCCGTAAGGGTAATAAAACAAACGCTAATGTGAGAAGAGAAATCGTCGGAAAATATGATACAGAGATGCTCAAACATGTGTAGGGACATGTACACGTCTAGACGTGACCTAAACCAGACCAATCATGACAGGATGCAAGACGCCTGCTTTTGGACGTAAAGAAGCCATCAACG